TAAGTGACCAGAATTCTGGTAAGGAGACCCACCACTCCAGAACCATTTCACAAAGCCTCAATTACCCTACCAAGCTTTCTTACCAAGGTTGCCTTGCCATTCTCCAAGCAGGCATGATCCTTTGGATACTTCAGCCAGCTTAGCTCAGCTGCCACCACCCCTAGGCCTCTATTTCATCCAGGATCAAAGTCCTGATATGTATAGATGATACACTCAGTACAGTGCTGCTCCTGGGCAGTTTTTTTTTTAAAAGAAAATGTTGTTATGTCCACAAAAGAGGGAAAGAAGAATTACCTGACTCCAGTACCTAGTGTTTTGATTTTTAAACTGCTCACCCAGATATTATTAGCCTTACACAGATGTGAGTTCCTGTGTACCTCTTTCCTTTTGAAAGCTTATATATGAGAGGAAGCTGATAATTATATTTATACATCACCTAACTGTACTTCTTTCATTATTCCTTCTATTTATAAAAAGTATAAAAATAATGTGAAATGATTTTGTATCATATAAAAAAGTCAAGTTTTATATCAATTTCAAGAACTACTTAAACATTTCTTATCTCAACTGCAATTTACCAACTCTAAAAATGTTTATAAATAATACACAACCTAACATACCTGAGTGTAATAAGTAGGCAGTTATTTGCCATATTTTATTTGATTGATGAAAAATACAAAATCTTGTCATGCTTTAAAAAAGAAATATGGTTTGAATGAACCTATTTGAAAGTATAACAAAAGGGTTATTTTTTTCTGCTGTCCATGAACCCCAAATTTTATTATACCACTCATTTGAGAATAAATTGTCTGAGGGACCCTTGGTGCTCGCTGAGCTTGCTTATTTTCTTGCAGAAGTTTCATTACCGTAACTAGGTAACACCATCAGTGCTAGTAAGGAGTGCTGTCAGTTTATATTCTGATGTCTTGCCCATCTGGGTGGGTGGGGGTGATCTTAAGGATTCTTTGGTTGGGCTGTTTATTAATGGCTCTTTGGCAGTTTCCTGATTGGGGTATTGCTAACTTGATTGTTGGTCTGAAGTTGACCTTGGAATTAATCTATGCTGATCTGAGTGCTGATTACTGGTGGAGAGGTGCTGGAGTCTTTTTCTCTTTTGGGCTGGTTTGTTGTCTCTTTTGCATAATCTATAGATGTTGTTAATGTCTATGTGTCAATAAATTGTCTCCTCCAAGGCATCACATTTTTTGCCAGTATCAACATTAGTTTTTAAGTTTTATGTAATTATTATATTCAGTGAACATACCCAACAAACCTAACTGAGGTCCACTTTAATTTCCTAATAGTTTATTTTGCCCATTTTTATAAACATTAAATTCTAGAGCTTTGAATCCTTGGACATATCCATTATAGTTAAAAACATATGACTTTGTTAATCCGGTCCTTCCTTCCTTCCTTCCTTCCTTCCTTCCTTCCTTCCTTCCTTCCTTCCTTCCTTCCTTCCTTCCTCCCTCCCTCTCTCCCTCCCTCCCTCCCTCCTCCCTCCCTCCCCGAAGTCATGTACTATCTATAAATTATTTTGATATATTTTTTTCTAATTTTGGCAAAGAATATAAGTCTAGAAATCTCAAACTTATTCTTATCCCCTTACTCAATAATAATATGTAGGTGATTTTTCTATCCTGAAGAACAGATTTTATGTTCTAATGCAATAGCATATAGTTTAGATGTTAACCTTTTGTTGAACTTTTGATAGCTTGAATTAATGTTCCAAGTTTAATAAGTTGACTTTAATAGCTTGGATATTGTATTGAGAGGAAAAAAGGAAACTCATCTGTAGAAAATTAAATCAAATAGGATTGACTTCTGAACAATTTTATTTGCTCAATGGGAACTACAATAGTTATGCTACATATCTTGCATTTTAATTCAATTGTCCTTGGTCTTTTCATGCTTTCCAAATATTTCAATACAAAATAACAGTCTACAGTTAATAAAAGTGGTGATAGGATGTGCATGAGGATGCCAAGTTTCCAAAATTATCTTCAAAAACATTTAGCATTAGAACTTTTTTATGTAATCAGCACAGGAATCTAAGCTTTTGATTCTTTTCTAAAAATTGCCATGGATTTTATGGAAATTGATGGTGCAAGTTCTGTATGACATCCTATATCCATAATATTTTTCAGCTTGAAGTTTTATAATACATCATAAATAGGAATATCTAATCTGCCATAATCTGATTTAGCATGTGGTTCATTGCATGCAAGACTTGGACTTTCTAGCATGCATAAAGGCAAAATTTATTTGCATTTTTTAAATTCTTTCTAATATACACATTAGTCATGTTGGCTGAAAATGATAATTATTGTACTCTAACATATCTGGATGGCATCAGGTTGATAGGAGTTGTTTTAGCTGAAATAGTTGTCAATTTAAATCAGGAGTGTCAAACTGCCAGTCCACGGGCTGGTTTCATCATACCGAAGCTGCGCCCATCCCATTGCCGGCAATGCAAAAAAAATTGTGATATGTTGCGACACATCACATGACGTGGCGAGTTGACACCCATGATTTAAATAATCTCCCCTATGACTTGGCCAACCTGCTGTTCCTCTCATTCAGAAACCTCCTTAGGGAATAGTAAGGGTGGTATATTCCTTTAGAATTTAAGCTTTGGCATTTATCATCTATCTTTTCCATTTTCATATTTTCTGACCTTTTTCCTGAGCTAATGATCTTATGCAAATGTTATCTAATAGGGTTTGTTTTTACTGCTGCGTTGTTTTTTTTACTATTCTAGCCATTCTACTGACCTGTTAAAATTAAATAAACACAGAACTATGTGCATAGCTAGAGATGGTCCACTGAAAATAGGATTGCTACTAAGTCTTGGGTATTGCTTGTAGAGCAATCGATGCTCAGCATGAGGTGCACATATTTTTTTTTCCTGGGAAATGCATTGAAAACATAATTTGGCTTGTATAGAAAATAAATGAGGCGTAAGAAACAACATGGACGGGAGGGTCTAGTTTTAAATTTGCTCAAGTTTGGTTTTCCTTTACAGCATTGAACCATAAATGTTGCATGCTTTATGTCAGTAAAGAGTCTACTAACTTTGGCATGTCATTAAATAGCAGCATTCTTCATGATGCTGTTTGGAAAGCAAACATTTGGCAAATGTGTTGTTGATATGTTGGTGAACTTTTTGCTAAACTGTTTTTTCTCCTGTACAGTGTAACTGCCAAAAAAAATAAGATATGTGATTATTAAGGCTTTACATATTCTTCAAGACACTTGGAAATGTTATGTTTGCTAACATATGTTTGCTTACCTATGCCAAGTAATTTTTATGTTATGCCTCGTATACTATGATATTTTTCTACAATTTGCTTCAGCAGATGAAATTTTCTTGATTGAAATGTCAGGAATCTATTAGATTTATTTTGCTAGGAAGAAATCATTTCCCCCTCTGGATAATTAACAAGGAATGTTGAAGAGACAGCTGGTTATCTTACATTCCTTGAGACAAATAAATAACATACTATATTTGAAAACAAATTAGTAAGGGAGAAATGCAGATATATATTGGAAAGTGTAGATTGGATGCTTTTCATACATACTGTCAAGTAAAGCACAAATTATACACAATCAGATGCTGGCATCAAAAGATACTGTAAAACAGGTATGTCAAACTGCTGGCCTGCGGGCCAGATGCGTCACGCCAAAACCACGCCTACCCCATTGCCAGTAATGGGGAAAAAGTCACGATACATCGCAAGTTTGACGTGTCTGCTGTAAAAAGTCTGCTGGATTAGGCCAGAAGCCCAGCAAGAGACATTCGGGAAGCCTGGAAATGTTGTTGTTGTTGTTATTGTTGTTGTTATTGTTGTTGTTGTTGTTGTTATTCTGTCACACAGTCAGCCAGATGTTCAGACTGGATTTGGCATTTTTATCCACCTATCAAGCCATTCCCAAGGACCTGGGATAGGTGTTCAAGTGGTGCTCTAGTTCAGGGATCCCCAATCTCTGGGCCGCAGCCCAGTACTGGGCTGTGGCCTATTCGGAATTGGGCCACACGAGTGGCTGGCTAGAGAGTGCACACGCAGCTCAACTTGCGTGAGTACTGCCACATCAACTGTCCAGACTTTTTTGTCTTTCTGATCGATAATTGTTAAGTCTGGCATGTTATACAGTAGATGCCTGCCTGTTTGTAATCTAAAATCCCAGAGTACTTTCTTGCTTGCAAGCAAATGGTATTTCTTGCAGATCTTCCAATTCACCATTGTTGCTATTTTGTCATACCATTGTTTGTAGTAAGTCTGTGCAATCTTTTTGAAGCAGCTAAACAAGTGGTCCATTGTTTCTTCAGCTTCTTTGCAGAGGCGGCACTTGCTATCTGTTGCTGTCTTCTCAATTCTGACTTTGTATGCACTTGTACTTAAGGCTTATTATTATTATTAAACATAGATCTATTGCATATCCATATTTTGATAGGTGAAATTTAAGATATTCTAACTTAAATTATTAAATAAGTGGCAAAATTAATTAAGATCAGATGATCTCTGTTAACTTTAAAATAATTATATTTTTAAGGGATTTTATAAAGTGAGATTTGACAAACCCAGTATCGATATGGGCTATAAATTTGATATTGTTCCCTCCTCAAATGGTGCTCCAATTCATGAGTTTACCACTTTTCTACAGTCTGCTCGTGAGGAGCAACTGTCCAGAGCACAGATGGAAATTCTCTCATCCTCTCCTTATCTGAGGATTCTCTGTTGAATCAGACTTATCATTGGTCCATCAGTCTTCCATCACAGTGCCATCTCCACTCCTTCAGCGATGACGTAATCTGCCATTCCTTCATCCAGAAGTTTAGTCTTCAGCCGTATTTATGGTCTTTAAAAAACCCCAATGAAATCCAAAATGCAGCTGCAAAATACAAAATATTTTTAAATATGTTTCCTTTAGTTGTTGTCAAACTAGTTTGAATAATTAAATAAGAACCAATCTTCTTTCTCTCTTTCAATTTCATACAGTGTCAAAGGGGCAGATGCTGGCAATGGGATCCGAATTTTTGTTCCTGATATTCTCATGTTTATTGCTAGCCTGATCACATGGCTTGTGTGCAGAAACATTGTTCAAAAGCCAGTACAAGAAAATTTGGGAGAATATAATGCCCAGTTTGAAAATGAAGACATGGTATGTGTGTATATTTATTCTTTAATTTTTAATTTTTTTTTTCTGGTGTGTTTGACACTAGGGATAGGCTTTGCAATTTACTTTTCCAGATGAAGGGGAAATGCTTTATTATTAATTTTACACTAACTGAAGTATATAACAACTCCCAATTGTGTACTTTCCCATAAATGTGGAAATACGTTTTGTTGCAGATAGCTTTCATTTTTTGCTATCTCTTTAGTATTTCTCAAAAGAAATTCCTTTTAAAAATAAAGCATCCTACCATCCTTTTATTTAGAAATATAAGCCATAGGATTTTGTTATGTAAAAAAAATCATAATGTAGTCAACGTAGTATTGTGCAAATGGTGTGATTATATATTTTATGTAAGTCACATCATGACATTTGATGCAAGTATGCAAACCATGTCAAATGGACCAATTTGTGTAGTGATTAAAGCACCATGTTAGAAACCAGGAAAGTGTGAGTTCTAGTCCTGCCTCTTTCTTTCTTTCTTTCTTTCTCTTTCTTTCTTTCTTTCTTTCTTTCTTTCTTTCTTTCTTTCTTTCTTTCTTTCTTTCTTTCTTTCTCTCCCTCCCTCCCTCCCTCCCTCCCTCCCTCCCTCAAGAAGAAAGCAATGGCCCCATTCTCTACTAACTCTGCTTTTTGCAAGCTATTTGAGAAGCATGCAAATAGTGACCATATGACTGCTTCCAAAGCTGTTGGTTTTGTTTTTTCACATGTCAGCCAGTCAGTAAGAAAGGACTACTTGTATTTGCAGAATCTCCAAGTTTTCAGAATTTCCAAATAATCTGCTAATATGACATTTGGTCTTATCATCTGTACAGGTCAGTTATAAAAATGTTGAAACAGATGTTGCTGAGACATATCCTATGATATGCAGATCCCTTATACTTGAAACTTTAATTTTAGAATTAAATGTTTTAGAAACATTAACATTTCCCATATATATATATACATTATTTTACTCACATGTATTTCAGAAACATTATAAATACCAATCCAATAATCTGGCACACGTTCACTTTTAAATCTCCTATTTATATTATCAGAAATATATTAATGTTTCTTCAGTTAAAAAAATTAAATATGTAAATTATCTAGACTTCTTGTAAAATCTAACACAGAGCTTTTCTTTATTTTCCTGGTATGTTTATTTGCTTATTCTGTCAAGGATTATTTCATGCCTCAGATTCTGAGACCCCCCCCCAAAAGAGGACAATAGGTGAGAAGCAAATTTCATGAGTAAAGCAAGGCCAGAGAGAAAATCTTTAGTGCCTTTTTCAATTTCTCATACTACACTTTAAAGTACTTTACCACCTCCATCCCTATTCCCTCCAGGATGCAATTTGCCTAAGAGATCAAGTTAGGCAGCAGTAATCAAATAACATATGTACAGGGAATAAAGCCTTCATACTGTTCATCCTTTTGCTTCTGCTGTCTGTTACAGAGCAAATGATGAGCATGTATAGACATTGTTCTTTCTGAGCACAAAACTATTCAATTATCTGGCTAGGTGTCTTAGTAGTACAGCCTATACAATATAGCCTTGTAACAAAAATCCACTCAGATCCAATGCTGAAATATTTCTATAATAGCATTTCCTTATTTCTAAAAAGCTTGTTAATAATCACAACACAGTGTTTTGTTTCAGTTTGCCCTTCAGAAGCTGTTCCACTAGGTAAGGATGTGGAACTGATAAATATTGCATTTTGGTTTGGCATTAATGTATGCCCTGCATCCTATGGTTGGCCTTAATTGATTTTGGGTTCTGAAATGAACATGCATTAAAGGCTGCTAATGCAGTACTGTTTGGGAAACTCTTCCTTCATTTGTGATTTACAACACTGCTTCTAAATTTGGGAAGGCAGGTGAGAATCTGCAAACAGAGCTGGATCTAGTAGGTGTCTTTAAGCTGTTTCAGAAAGATCATATTCATTTTCTTTCTGTATTATTTCAGAATAATAATACAGAAAGAAAGGAAGTAAAGGAAAGTGAAACACTCCAGCACTTGTGTCAGGCTCCTCTGGGAAATATTCACAGAGACAAAGATCCTTTTTCAGGAAGAAGTTGATAATCACTTCTCTGTATTCATGCACCCTAAGGGCAATGCCCATCTAATTCTATAAAAAAAAACCCCATCAACTGACAATTCTGAATATTAAAAAAGAATCATTGAACCATGAATGACATTTTCATTATTTATCTATTGCTGACTCGGCACAGACTTTCAGCAGTTTATAAGTATACACACAACATATCTAAAAGCAATGCAGGTCTAACGTATCCTGGTGTACCAATAAGCAAAATAATATAAAACCCCTGAAAAACAAAATTGGGCATTCTGCTGAAGAACTCCATTATGGCTGCCTTCCTAAATGTCATCAGCCATCCATATATCTGGAGATAGGTTATTCCATAGGGAGGGAGCATATACTGAAAAACAGTGTGCTTTGCTCAAAACCCAAATGGGAAGAGAGAGACTCCCAAATTCCCAAGATTAGATACTCACCTTAAATTCCTAATTAATGTGCCTATATAACATGCTTTTCAAATATTTTCAGTTAACCTTCTAGCTATGTAAGAAATTGATGTAAGTACCCAGAGTTGGTAAAGTGTTGAAAAATGTCATCATAGCATATCATTGTGGTGTCTGAATGTCAATCATTGCTGCACTTCAGGAGTTGGACTGAAAAGACTTGGGGATCCAAAATCACCCAACAAACTCTCAATGCTAAGGGTGCATTTTTATTGGCCCTTCACCCAACCCCTCACTAGGTTTCATTTATGCAAAAAAAAAAAACCCATCAATATATTAAATTTTCAGCGAACCTGTCAGTCTGGATTTGTACAAAGCTGTGTTCACAGACTACGCATTTTTGTTAGATAGATAGTAATAAATTAATTCTTTTAAAATTAAATATGATTTTTGTAAAAAAACACCCCTACCTAAAGTCTAAAGCAAATCATTATAAATCAGGGCTTTTAAAGATTCAGTTCATGTTCCTCCTGGAAAGAAACTGTTTAGATTTTTTAAAGCAGACAATTTCTCTTCCATCCTCATAAAGACATTACATAGAAGCTTACCAATATTTTGAGATTAATATAACATACGATACTTCAGTTATTTTTTATATGAGTGTTATTCAGAACAAAAATTGTGAAGTATTTAAGCAATAAAGGCAAAAATGGTTAATAATTATAGTACATTGTACAATACAGTATAAGAGCAAGACTGTTATAAGTTCCAGTCATTATTTTGGAATATGTTTGTGCATGAACAATTTGTAATACTTTACAAATTACAAGAATGGATTTTGATTCTGACTGGAACCCCCTGTGTCAATAAGATCTATAGTACACTATTATTTTAGCATAATGGTGCATTTGTGTGTTTGTGTGTGTGTGTGTGTGTGTGTGTATGTCTCACAGAGGAAATATTTAAAAGCTGGATGTTAATAAATCATACTAAAATGTAACTAATGGACATTCTGGCTCAAAATATAGTAGTAGCAATCACAGCTGCTGTGGTAGCTGTGATGCTTCCGGCCTGGACTTTATCTGAATTTGACAGTTTTAAAAAAATGATGTTGAGTGATGGGCTTTGAGACTTAACCTAAATGAGCCTAGTAAAAAAAAAACCCCAAAGCATTAAAATGGCAGTCTTAAAGCTATGGCAGCCTGAAATCCTTTTGGACTTCTGAATAGATGTGGATCAAATTAGATAATTATCACACACCCCGGTTCTGCATTGTTATTACTCAGCAAATACTATGTCCTTTGAAGTGTGTTTATATGATTGAATAAACTTCCACAAAATTGATTACATTTATAATAAGCTTTTTATAAGTAAAAACAAAACAAAACCTTTTCCATGACCCAAAATCTCAGTGAGATTTCTTTTCAAATAGTCATTTCTTAAAGGGTGCCCAATGTCAGCATGTTTAAAATTTCCCTGACTTGTTTGTTATGTGTTATATAGCATGAACATTGATAATTTTAAGAGGATCTTGCCAAGTAACTACAAAAAAATACAATTCTTCAAATGTTGCTCAATACAATATTTTGTATCATAATGTGCAGTGAAAAAGAATTCAAACAGATGTTAAATTGTCAAATGCTGAATGCTTGAGTAGAATATTCTTTATTGGTCAAGTGTGATTGGTACACACAAGGAATTTGTCTCCGGTGCTTAAGCTTTCAGAGTACATAACAACATAGTGTATAAATCACAAATTGTAAATCATAAGATACAGTCATAAATGATAAGATACAAATAACAAAGTTTGTAAGATATCAACAAAAGAAGGTAATAGGAAATATGAGAAAGATAATAGCAATATAGCCCTACTACATAGGTAAATATCCATAGGCATAAGACAGTGCTGTGGGAATAGGTGTTAGCAGAGTGATGGAATGAGAGAAAAAACTGTCTAGTTGTTTTGGCATGCAGTGCCTATAGTGGGCATCTTGAGTTGAAACATGTCCAGGATGTGAGGGATCTGTAGATATTTTCTCAGCCCTCTTTCTGGCTCGTGCAGTATACAGGTATTCAGTGGAAAGCAGGCTAGTTGCAATTGTTTTTTCTGCAATCCTAACTATCTGTTGAAGTCTGTACCTGTCCTGTTTAGTTGCTGTGCCAAACCAGACAGTTATAGAAGTATAAATGATAAACCAAAAGCCTAATAAACTGGAAAGTGTTACAAGTGACCTTTTAGACTAGAGCATAAGTGGTATGATGGATAAAGGACCAAGTATTGCCTGGAGTAATTTATCACTCCTGAATAAACAGGTAAAGTTCTATTTAAAAGGCTATGTGCGTCTGTATGTGGATGTGTGTTTCCCCTCTTTACAAGAGGAACAATAGCTTGAAGGGAAACAGTTCTGAAAGAGAAATGCTTCAGAAAAAAGAGAAGGGGAAAAGGAAACAAGCAGTTCCTTTTTACATTTAACAGAGAGCTACAGAACAGTGCCAGATATATTGGTCCCGGTAGCATTGAAATAAACCACCCGGAAAATGATGTAGGGGAAGACAATGTTAAAAGTCTGAACCCCTCCCTACCACACTTTCAGGACAATGGTTGTGCTTGGGTTTCCCACTAGTAGATAATGCTGAGCCGAAGAAAGAAAGGACAGCTGGAAATTCACCAAGTGTTACAATGACAACAAACCATATTCCATTCCACAGAAACAGCAATAATAAAAGACTGTGTGGACAGCATCTATATCAGTGGTTCTCAACCTGTGGGTCGGGACCCCATTTGGGGTCGAATGACCATTTCACGGGGGTCATCAAACCATGCTGTCCGCCATTTTTTTTCCTTTTCCCTAGCTGTCCTACTCCCTCTTATTGGTGGCCACACCCACTTGGGGGTCACCACAACATGGGGAACTGTATTATGGGGTCACGGCATTAGAAAGGTTGAGAATCACTGATCTATATAGATAGACTATGCTCCCATCTCTTGTGGGTGAGCAATGTGGATAAGCAATGGAAATAATAGTAGAGAAGATTTTATAGGGAAAATTATTGGATTGAGATGATTAGGCAAAAAAGAATGTCATGGATGGAAAACAAGATAGGAAATATTTACAGTTATTGGAACAACAGATGACCAAATAGCCAAGATTATGGGAATATCCAGTTACAGAATAGAATAGAATAGAAATAGATAGACAGCAATTGTTTAGGCAACATGTAGGAGAAAAAAATAAGAATAAACTGTTTATCCACAAAGAAACAGAGAATAGTTAGCATTAATTTAGGAAACACTTGCCTTTGGACTCATAATCAGTATTTTTGGTGATTTGTGTTAAGTAGATTCATTATATATTTTTGTAATTTTCTATTTGTAGAATGAAATTGAGAGAATAGAGGCGGAAGATGCATTAATATGTGAAGATCTAGATGATGCAGAATGTGGAGAGGAAGAATTTGAAGAAACGACAAAATTAAAAATACTTCGCAGAATTGCCTCAATAGCTTCCAAAATGAAGGAAATTATTGGTAATCTTATAACCACAGCTGGAAAAGTTGTTGTTACAATTTTACTTGGTACAACAGGTGGGCTCTTTTCCTTTGCCATGTTCCTCAATAATGGTTACAGTTATGATTTCCTTTAATACTTTTAACACACTTGAATAGAGTTTTTGATAAATAAATATATAGTGATCTGTTTTATGTCAAATTTCATTGCTTTTGCATACATTTATTATCCCTAAAATGGCATCCGGCCTACAAATGGCAAGATACACAAACAGGTAACTACAGTATATTATCATAAGAACAAACAAATAGCTGTATTAGACTGATTCAAATAATATATAGATGATCAAATTTGTCGATGGAAAAAAATATTTCTGGTTTGTGTTCTTTTAGAATATATAAATGTATCACTTTCAGTTACATTTTGCTATATTCTAAAAAAAAGAACAAGTTTTAATGTGCATTCTAGAATATACTATTTTTTGAAGTACGTTTCCTGATGCTTTTTTCTCAAAGTATATTTTAATAGTATTTTATGCACTGAAAATTATATCAAGTCACTTATAAATAAGTTCAACTTTGTGCAATACAGAATATTAAAATGCTATTGTGATTACTTCTGTTACAATACTTTTAAACATCATGCTTAATTCATATATTATGAGTATAGAATATTTACCTTCCATTAATTTTTTATAGGAATGATGTTGCCTTCCCTGACTTCAGCTGTATATTTCTTTTTATTCTTGGGCTTGTGCACATGGTGGTCCTGTTGTCGAGCATTTGATCCTCTGATCTTCAGCTGCCTTTGTGTGTTAATGGCAATATTCAGTGGAGGCCATTTAATTGCACTTTATCTATATCAGTTACAGTTTTTTCAGGAAATCATTCCACCTGGTGACTTTTATGCCAGGTAAGAAGTTTTATCAGCATTTTTTAAATAAATGGGATTATAGCAAAGTAGAACAGCTGGGTATTGGAATAGATGGTAAAAGATAAAGATGGAACATATTCAGAGAAATGTAAAATACATGTCATAGTGTAAAATTAATACATTTTAAAGAAATTTTATTGAATTTATATGCCACCTATGTCACTACCCATAGTGACTTTGGGCAGCTTACAATGCCATAAAAACATAAATATAAAAACATTGCAATTAATAAGAATTAAGTAAAGACTAAAACTGAGATAATGAGATGATGTGGGCATAGGCTTCTATTTTTCATTCAACCAATCACCTCCAGCATAGCACATCTCCGTCAGGGCCCTATGCCAAATGGCATAGCCATATTTTAAGGCCCTTCTGGAAGGCCGGAATGATGTAGGCAGATCTCACCTTTGGCAACAAGATGTTCCAAAGGGCAGAGGCCATGGCAGAGAAAGCTCTGTTAGACTCCCACTGGCTGAAATTCCTTGGCTAATAGGCTCTACAGCAGTGGTTCTCAACCTGTCTAATGCCACGACCCCATAATACAGTTCCCCATGTTGTGGTGACCCCCAACCACTTATACATCACCGGGTGCCAGGGGCGTGGCCAAAGAAAAGGGGGAAAAAATGGCGGACAGCCTTGTTTGGCGACCCCCGTGAAATGGTCGTTCGACCCCAAATGGGGTCCCGACCCACAGGTTGAGAACCACTGCTCTACAGAATGCCCCTTCTGCTGCTGGATACATGTTGATTTGGAGAAAAAAAGAGGCATGTTACTTAAGGAGAAAAGGGTTTGAATGGCAAAATCATACGTGTGGCAGATATTATGTGTATTGGCTGCTGAACCTATGGAACTTCTGTAGGATTGATGCGGAACTGATACATTCAGTAGGTAAAAAGATGCTGATTGGGGAAACATCAATTTTTTAAAAAATTAAAATTTTAGGATAAAAAATGTTGTTCACAGAATAAAATAATACAATGAATTTCAAATGTAGAGACAAAGACTATGAAGTTGAAAAGATAGATAACTTTTCGAATGCAAGATCTCTATCTCCAAGTAAGCCCAGAAAAAAATAACACAAACCCAAAATTAATTACATTTGGATGGATAACATTTTTGTTTACTTTGTTAAGCAAATTTGCTTGTTTTTTTAAATATAAGAATCAATCTTGTAAATGTATTGTTATATAAAGATTTCTTTTAGGAAAAAAAAATGTGGTTTCTGTTCAGATTGCCTAAACCTTTTCCTATAGGGCTTGGGGGGAAAGAGAGAGCCTTAATATCTGTATTGTTTGTTTGTTTATTTTTGGGTGTGACAAGACAGTAATTTGTTACAGGTTGAGCTTCTAATAGACAGAAGTTTTAAGGAGTTATTTTTCTTATTTTATTCTGCATAACAATGCTACCTGCCTTGCTGTATGACTGAATGTGTGTGAAAATGCAAGCTTTCTTCTGCCATCTATAGGCCAGGCCAGGTCAGGTCAAGCCATGCCAGGCTAAAGTAGAAAAAAAAGTTAAAAGGGGGCCATTAAAGAAATCCTTAAACAATCATTTATATTTCATTATTCGAAAGTGCAAAAATGTATGCAGCAGATTCTCTTTATTGCTAATTTTCTACTCTTTCAGGTAGTATTTTAAAATCTTTTGACACAGGATGTATTTATTGTATTTTTAAAAATGATTTTTTAAAAAAAATATTAGAAAGTTTATGATTCTAAACACTAAATTTAAAATAGACTAGTAGTTTGGGGCAAAAATTGCTAGGCCTCTTGTATCTTGTTTGAGTAGATGTAATCCACTATGTTCTTTATTTGTGTGGGTTTGTGTGTGTGTGTGTGTGTGTGTGTGTGTGTGTGTGTGAGAGAGAGAGAGAGAGAGAGAGAGAGAGAGAGAGAAGAGGTATAGCAATGTTTCAATCACAAAAGAGAAAATAATCATTATTAGGTACTCATCAGTATCTAGAAATTGTTAAAATTATTGAATTCAATTTTTCTAGCAATATAAAGTTAATTCCCAGCAGATTATTTTTGTCATACACACATATAACTCTAGAAGTGCCCATATAAGCATTGCTTTTTTCTGAGGAATTTTTGGGGAAGATGTCCTTTTACAATTTTAATAACAAAGCGAGGTTCAGAAGGATTTGCTAAGACCATCCATGAGTGAAATGAATAGATTTTATGGTTTGTACATTTCAGTGAAAAGTGATGAGATACATTTTTTGAGATTGAAGAACTTCAGCTACAAGTCTTTAATGGGTCCTAGAAAAATCAGGTTTCCCTATGCTCTAATGAAGGAGCCCTCTTACAGCAGAGGTCCCCAACCCCCGGTCCATGGACCAGTACCGGGCCACAGCATGCCAACAACTGGTCCGCACAACAAACAAAGCCCCATCCGTGAGATGCAGGCAGCACAGAAAACCCCGCACCCTCCGGTTCACGGAAAAACCTCTCTCCACAGAACCAGTCCCTGGTCCCAAAAGGTTGGGGACCTCTGAGGTAGAAGAACATTCTTCCTTCTGTATATTTTTATGGAAATTCCTTTGATTGCAAGCCAATAGCTATTCTTTTCATTTTATTTCCTGAGGATTTAAAAATACTGTAACAATCAGTGCCTGCCTTATGATCTGCATATAAAGTCAGGTCTTGAAGCTTTCCAGGGATGAAACATAGAAATTGCAAAGACAAAACCTATTTCCTCTTTCTCTGGCCTTTAAAAGGAAACATCTGAAGAATTTTAATTTATGTTAATGGATGGAAAATTGTCAATGTAATTTGCAGTCCCTTGAACTGCACTGAACCTGCCACAAGAGAAGAACATGTCTGTGCTTAGTTTCCCTTTCTTCACTAGCAACAAGATACTCACTTAAGTACTCTTATCTAAGAGGCAGGCACCATTATCCCTAAACAGCTGAGGCAAATAGTTAACTGAGAATACAGTTATCTTCCTTTCTGTTGGTAGCAGAAACCACCTACCTACAGTATTTAATTTTTCTGTGGCCCTATCTATTATTTCTGCATTACAAAAATATAAAAAGTCAGGTTTAAAATCAGAACTCAGAGCAGTTTGTTTTTATAACCCCACTCTTCTTTAATGTTTATGAAAATAGGTCTGCCTTTTTCTGTGTTTATTCCACTTCTACTAAGATGGAAAACTAACATCTCATATTGTAATTTCACAGTACACAAGAAGTACTGGGAGGAGGTGCATTTTTAATAGTGGTTTCTCTGTGGGTCAGCCCTGTTCTTACAACTCATTGCCTTAATGCTGGATTAATGCTTTACAGGACCTAACTAGAAAATCTTTGGGTGAGGTGATTAACATCTTTTAGTTACTATAGAAGTCTTGAGAAGTAGATGTTATTTTATAATTAATCAACTGCTTTGAATTAGATTTGTGCTTTTAAAAATATTACTCAACGTATCCCAAAATACAAATTATTATATAAAGTACAGAAAAAAGAAGAATTGGTAGAGGTGTTCCATTTTATCATGTTTGAGAACAAACTATCATTTATACTTTTCTAATAGATTTTTTAAAAAAAAATCAATAAAATCCTATATTGCACTATAATTTGTGCAGGGTAGCACTCTTTTTCTTCTTCAGAAACAACTTTCAGTAATATTCAATTCACAACAAAAAAAATTAAAAATAATTTAGCATTGTCTTCTGGGATTTTTTAAATTTCCTATCTGAATTTTAGGTATTTCTTGGTATTCTCCCATTGAAGAACTAATGAGGTCTGTCACTTTTTGAACTCCATCAGAGTCAGTAGATACTGCCAGCCTGATATGCTTTCTACAGCTTGCTATGGGTTAATTACACTAATTTAACAGCATTACACACTTATCACATACAGTCAATTTAATATATGCAATGTATAAAATTTGAGTCAACATATCTTCTTAAAACAATAGACAAATTTCATTAAATCGAGATATAACTTTCTGGGAAGTGGTGGGAGATTTGAATTAATAGGCCAAACCATTGGCAGAAATAGCAACAGAGTGCAGAAAATTAGAGGCATTGGCATTGCCAAAAATTATTAAATAAATAATAGAAAAGTTTTGATGTGGTCAATAATAGTAGCCAAAACTCACTAGGAAAAATGTGTATAAGAATTTAGAAATATTGCCCCCAAGATGCTATAGTACAGTAGTAACAGTAATAATCCAACCTTAGTACGTATGGATTGTATATTTATTGCAGGTATATTATTTTCCCGGCTTATGCTTTGGGAAGTAAATATATGTAAGTATAGTTTACTTGGTATATAGAAAATTCAGTTATTAAATATTACATGTGTGAACTCCAGCTTTTATGGACAGAAGAGATGATAGAATTTGATCATAATGTAACATTATTACACATTGTTGACAATTTGATATGTATACTTTAAATTTATCTTGCATATTTATATGCATCCAGATAAATCTATGAAAAGTATGTCTTATTTGAGAATAAATACATAAGAGTATCTGCAGCAGGATTACCTATGTGTGAATTTTCATCCATAGAACCAAATATAAACATTTACATGAATTAAAAAACCTCTTAAAATCAAATTTATAATGTGTACAAAATGAAGAATTTCTGGGTAGAAGCAGCAACCAAGTATACAGACATTCCTTTCAAACAAGGGAGGAAAAATGTTAGGAAGATAAGTGTATCAAGGAAAAGGGTAGGTAATAAATCCTTGTTTGTGTGTGTGATGGAGTTGGTTTTTTTTTTTGGTAATCAACTATTCTGCTTAGTAAAACAAAAATAAACGTTGTTTTCCTGTTTTTGGAAAGCAGCAATATTTCTCCCTTGACGTCATCATGAAGCTTAATGTTGCATCAGTATCATGCATTTGTATTAAGGTCACAGGTTGCAAATGTGTCGGGAAAAGCAGTTCAAAGTGCATATACATAGAGATATGCTTATATTAATTTACTAAGCTTTTGCTGGGAAAATACATTTACAGAGGAACGCTGTTACAGTCATCTGCTACATTTACTTTTACAGTACATTGTGTAATGTTATTTTAAAAAGTCATAACATTTTTTGGCATCCATAGAACATTAATGTTCTATTCTAACTTGCCCATTTTAATGAAATATCAAAATTGTCATTAGAAAATTTAAATTCGTACTTCCTTTTCTCTGTTTATAGACATTAATTTGATTTAAAAGATTTATACATTTCTTTCAAAGGATATTTTTACAGTACAATATATAAAGCAATTTTTCAAAGACATAATAAAAAAATTAATCAGTTTAAAAGTCAGTATAAATCAATGAAAAAGAACTATAAAAGCAGGATATTTTATGAATGCAGATGCAAATAAACCTCCTTAAGATTTCTCATGAAAATAAAGAAGGAAAGGCCTGTATATAATTCCTAGAAACATAGAACTTAAATTACATGACCTTAGAGGCTATCCAATTCAACCCTATCTTGGTGAAAACTATCCCCAACAGGTGGCCATTCAGCCTTTATGTGAAAACCTCCAGACTTTTATTGATAGATTCTGCCCTTGTTAAACAATTCTTACTATCAGGAAATTCCTTCTAATATTTAAACTGGGTCTTTTTTTTAATGTCAATCTATTTGTCATGCACTCAGTTTTAACCAAGAACAGATCTTCTTTTTCCATGTTAACTTTTCAGATGTTTGTAAATTGCTGTCTTATCTCCCCTGTCTTCTTTTTGCCTGGCTTCTTCTACCATTCTCATGAGGCTTGATTTCCAATGCTTTATAATCCTGGTAACTCTCTTTTGAATCTGTTCTAGAACTGGACACAATACTTGAAACATGGTCCAACCACCATACAGTACAGGAGGAACTGTTATCATACATATGTGTATGTTGACAGATCAAAACTGCATTGGACTTTGTATATTGTCATCTTGGTATTTTATGTATGTTGTTAGGAATAATCAAATATATAGGTGCGCAGTTGGAAACTTACAGTAGCTTGGTTGTAGTTAGTATGAGAAAAATCTTGAAGTTCTAGAGCAGCGGTTCTCAACCTATGGGTTGCAACCCCATTTGGGGTCGATCGACCATTTTACGGGGGTCGCCAAACAAGGCGATCTGCCATTTTCCCCCCTCAGGGGCCGCCGCCGCGCATGCGCTCTGCGCATGGGGGTGCCTCCACGCATGTGCTCTGTGCATGGGGGTGCCTCCACGCATGTGCTCTGTGCATGGGGGCGCCGCGCATGCGCGGCGCGGCACGTTTGTGTGACGGGGGTCGCTGTCACACAAACGTTGAGAAACGCTGTTCTAGAGGATCACCTACTTAGGTATGAGCAAGCAATGGGAGGCAGCAATTAAAATACCAAGAAAGTATGCATCCAATCAGTATACAGTGTTTGCTTAGACACTTATTCTAATCAGATTATGCAAATCCCCATTTTCTATAAATAACTTTTCCTCATTGGTATATAATAACCCCTCACTTGCCTCTTATTTCTTACAAACATGCATTTTGCTAGATTAAAGTGTTTAATGTTTTAATGTTTCTGTCTATGTTTTTATGATGATGTAAGCTGCTCACAGTCACTTGAGGGTGAGATTGTGGACATACATTTAATAAATGAACAAATAATAAGGTGTTTTTGACTGCCATTATCCTATACTTCAGAAGAATGGAATAACTCTGAATTTATCTGAAAATCTGCTGTTTCTGTATAAATTACTTCCTATAGTTACAAATTTGCTTTGGAAGCTATCAATGTGTTCCAGCATCAAGGGGATTGAGAAGGTAGGGCAGGTCCTTGGTTATAGCAATTAGATCAGAGTACCTTGGTGTTAAATTTGTTTGTCCTTTCTTCAGTTTTTACCAAGTTATTAAAACATTTCTCTTCTGCTTGGCTTTCAAGCACAGGAAAATTTCACTGCTTAATTCTGCTATTAATTTTATGAAGATTTTGAAAACAGAATAAGTTATCTGTGGTATATAACTTTTATTAATCTGAATATTGAGAATAAAACAATCTGAAACGATTCATGAATTTTTCAGCAACTTTCAGTTCTCTATGTTGAAAACAATGAATACAGTTTATTAAGATAGTTGGGAATTAGGGAAGTTGAAGTCCTTATTGAATGCAAAAGATTGTGGAAGGATGGCTTAGATGAAATGTTATGTTTATATAATGCCCTATTTTTACAGGTTGTTTGGTATCACTCCAGTTATTCAGACTAACTGCTCAAGCACCTGGAAACTCATAACCAACCAAAATTTGAATTGGTACCATCATACCAACCCTATCTTGCTGCTACTCTTGTATTATACCCTATCAACTCTGATTCGACTTTGGTTAAATGAACCAATTGTACAGGTGAAATAATTATCTTTATTTTTTTTTTTTAAAAAAAATCTTTATAACAAAAGCCTACAAATCTGTTCAAATTGCGTTTGGCCTTTGTGCATAAAAAGGGATTACCTTTGCATTATAAATTAATCTCTTTCCCTCCTCCAAAATATTATTAATATCTAACATTCATCTGTGATATGCCACAACAGTTTTTTATTTTTCTAATGTTACCTATCTCAAAAAATCAAGAAACTGTAGTGCCAGCATTGAACAATTGCAATCTGCAAGAATCACAAAACAGAGCCATCTGAGGCTCTGTTTGTCCATCCTTGACATAAGGTGTCTAAATTAAAGCTCTGTAATATTTAGAAACATGTTTTATAATGGTTTCCTAGCATATACGTGGTTTTCATTGACTGAAATTCATGAAAATAATTTAGAAATTCCATAAAAATACTTTAATTTTTAAAATATTACATTTTTAATTGTAATCTATAATTACAACATTTTATTGCAAGTATAATGGCTATCATAAATTTCTTTCCAAATATTTTGGAGGAGATGAATAAACAATCACAGTAAATTTTCAAGCTGGGATGATGTTTCTGTCTATGGTTAAATGCACAAATACTGTATATAGTTCTACATAAAATAATTACATATATTTGTATGAACTTATTTATATTATATACAATCTAATGCTCATATATCCTGAGGAAAAAAAACCAGCATATTGTTTTATTGGACACATCTTGTGATAGCATGAAAGCTGACATGGTAGAAAATGATTAGGAAAAATGTCACTTATTTTACTTTGACTGCATTTCAACTGCTTAAGATAATATATAATCATATAGCTAGGCAGGAAGATCCATGAAATATGGATCCTGTTTGGCATTATGCAGTTACTGTTGCCCACTGATGTTTGTCTGTTATTTAAACTTGTTCATGGAGAATATACTGTACCTGATGTGGTAAATTCTTAATTTGCAAGGACTAGAGTTAAAAGCAATTCAAATTGCATATAAATTATGCAGATAATGGTCAATGAATTTTTATTTCAAAAGTCAATCTTTTTAGATAGGTTAACATTTATTCTCAAAATCATTCCAGAATTAATCTTTTTTTCTTTTTTCTTTGCTCATTTAACAGATGCCTGATGATGACAAATCAGATATAAATAAGGAAGAAGGAATAGAGTGCACTCCAATTCAAATAACTGCAGACAGAAGACGCAGCTTGTGGTATACCAGTCACTACACAACTGATGAGAAAAAAGTAAAGTCTAAAGGAATCAGTTCATCTAATTTGTATTCCTTAGATCTTTTAGCAAGAACGGAGTGTGCAGGTTCACTTCTGATCTGAAGTCAATTGCTAATTTGAGATTATCAGCAGTAACTTTAACCATGCATTTCTCCATCAATGAGTAGTTACAGGTAGTCCTTGTCTTACAACCATTTAACAATGGTTCAAAGTTACAACAGCCAGAGACAAAATGATTTATGACTTATCCTCAACATTCCCACAGTCACATGGTTGCAATTTGAATGCTTGGCAACCAGCTCATATTTACAATGATTGAGGATTTTGCAGCCACATGATTGCAATTTGCAACCTTTCCAGGCAGTTTCTGACAAAGAAACCCAATTGTGGAATCCAGATTCACTTAACAACCATGTAATTTGCTTAATGAACAGGGTGATTCACTTAATGATTGCAGTAAAAATGGCCATAAAAGCAAGTTTGGTGAGGTGATTTGGATGTTTGTCTGTTATATTTAATGTCTGCTAAGTGATCATCTGTTAAAGTAAGATTTCCTTGTAAAAGGGAAGTATTAAATGTTCCGGTTCATTCAGCATCTTCTGAATTTATTTTAGTTTGGTGAGGTGATTATTCACTTAATGACAGCATTGTTTAGCAACCAAAATTCTGATCCCAAATCAAGACTTACTTGTATGTTGCTATTGTACACTTTTCAGAATAAAATTACACTCCCCCATATTTAGTTCAATATAGAATTTCAGATGATTACTAAGCATGCAGTCATTCTAAAGCTAAGATCTATCATTCTTAAGATTTATTTTATTGTTATTACTACTATTGCATCCTATCACCTTCTGAACTAACAAGTTATTCTTGCTTTGCTTTTGCAGCTTTTGTCAATGACTCAGGATGAACACAAGCCATCTGATGTTAGTACATGGTTTCAAAATTTCAGACAATTTGCGCAATAACTTTGTTTCTGTTTGTGACAATTTATTATGTAGGGATTCAAGGATTGGGTTGAGTAGAGGTTGATGCAAATTAACTACAGTATGTTCAATCAGTTTAAATGTCTGGCTTCCTGCTGTTGTCTCCTGCATCTGGGATTCCTTTCTAACCATGCAACCAGTGGTGGGATTCAAATATGGGAACAACCGGTTCTCTGTGTGGATGCTGCTTCCGGAAGTCGATTCTGGGCCTGAGCCACAAAATATTAGCTACCGGTTCTGCTGAAGTGGTGCGAACTGGCTGAATCCCACCACTACATGCAATCAAGCCAAACTGTCACAGCTTTAGTGCCTCCTTTTGGTAGCAGTTTCTGTCTGCCCAGGACTAACAAAATTACATCTGTATAGCTAGCAGTCTCCTTGCTTTTCAATAACATTTCTAATATCAAAGAATATATATGTAGTCCTGATTTAGTGACTGCCTCATTTAGTAACTATTCACAGTTATGATAATGATGGAAAAGTACCGTAAATGCCGGCGTACAAGGCGACCCGGCGTATAAGACGACCCCCGTCTTTATAGCCGGGCCGCATTCCTAGAACGTCGTCTTATACGCCGGAAACTACCAGTATTTCCGGCGTATAAGACGACTCGGCGTATAAGACGACCCCCGTCTTTGGCGCCGATTTCAGCGCTCGCGGAAGTCACCTTATATGCCGGCATTTACGGTAACTCTCTGACCAAGCCTCACATTTACAACTTTTGCAGGAGTGTAAGGCAGGGGTCCCCAGGCCACAGCCCACTACTGGGTCTTCAGAACTAAACCACGGAAATGGCAGGCAAGCATGCATCCCCACTTGCACAAACAGCGGGCAAGCAGAGGCAAGGGCACTCCATTTGTGTGTATGCCTGCCACTCGCACAAATAAAGCTATGCACATGCACTTGCCCACCGCTCATGCGGAACCATCTCCTCTTTTTCCCCCCTCCGCCTGGCTGGTCCACAAAGCCAGAAAGGTTGGGGAACTTTGCTGTAAAGCAAAGGAAAACTGATGTAAGATTATACGTGCAGTTGCAGTTTTACTTAGTAACTACTTCATGTGACAAACAAGTTGCCAGTCCCAAGTGTGGTCACTAAACAAGGACTACCTGTATATTTTCTGCATAGGCCAGATAGACTTGTCACTTGTTTCTAAGCATGCACAGTGAAAGGACATGGCTGATGGGATCTGCTATTCTCTGAGTATTGAAATGGAGATCTATAACACAAATCACACTCAAAGTAAAGGAGAATGTTTGTAGCTCAAGGTTGAGATGAGGGGTCCTTGGTTGTCCTTGAGTTTGGTTGTTTTCTTGCAGACATTTCTTTGGCTGTTTACTGTTAGCTTGTTTGGCAGTTCCTTGATTGGGGTATTGTTTACTTGAGCAACAATCAAGAAATAAATGATGTCCCAATCAAGGAACTGCCAAACAAGCTAACAGTAAACAGCCCAATTAAGAAACTATCAAGACCACTCCCACCAATACTGATAGGCCAAGTCACTAGAATATAAACTGAGAGCAAACCTACTCTCTGTTAGCACTGATGATGTTACCTAGTTTGGTTAATGAAATGTCTGCAAGAAAACAACGAAGCTCAGAGAGCACCTAGGACCCCTCAGATCATGATCATTTGGAGTCTTTCTTAAGAACATGTATTTCCTAATTTGCACTGCATTGGACAGATTATTTTGCCACATATTATCAAGTATTTATTAATTAAGAGTGTTAGGGCCTTTCATAATTAAACATTCACCTCTTGATTGTCCTATTTTGTAATATTATGTAATTTATTAAAGCATAGTTGTGATATAAAAATAGTTCTACATAGCCCACATTTTATTTTATTTAATATTTCCTTATTTATTAAGATAATGTAATAATTGCAGTCTTATGAAAATACAAATGCAACCATTTTGGAATAGATTAAAAAATATTCCAGCATCCTGTTTCCGTAATGTAGTCAGATGTGTATGAAAATACAGGCAGGACATTATGGTAATAATGAGCTGTATTTAGAACTATTGTGATTCTGGAAATGTTGCAGAAAACCTAAAAATGGCCTTGAAGGACAGTGCCATTACAGAGGCCATGATCAGATAAGCGTATCTTATGTCCATTCCAAGAAACTAATTGGAGAAAATGCTTCAGATTGATCCCTCCCTAATTCACATAATGTAAAGCTATTCTAATAAAAGTAACTTTGGACCTGTATGACATTGGTTTCTTAGTCTGGTCTAGTCTCTAAAGCTGATGGGTATACTATAACTATTATTACTGTTGAATACCAAATTGCTATTGACATTTGCTATTGACAGTTCATGAGCAAAATTATTTGAAAATAGAGTTCATCAAATTAAGTTGAGTATACCTCTATATAAGGGTTCTTTAAGAAGCAATTGATTTGAGTATTAGATGTTTGTAGGTGTACCATATGCATTTAATCTTCTGAATGTCTGAGTGTATCCTGTTTTGTATTTAATCCATATGGTTGAAAAAGAAAATTAAAGCAGCATTGAATTTATATCAAGAAAAGTAATAGAACTGATTGCTTTAACACGTTGCTTGTTTTCAAAGGATTCCTCTGATTGTCATTCAACAGGTTCTGCTTGTGACACTGAATGGTACACCTGTTGATTATCAAAGCATACATCCTTTGCGCCCTATAGAAAATGGACCTGCCAAGACAGATATGTACTCAAGACCACAATACAAGTGGGATCCCTCGGCTAATGCTCTAGGTAGTCATCAAAATGTGAGAAAAAATGGTTGTATGGTTTAATTGTTTAGATATATATTTATCTACTTTTTTCATTTTACCAAGGGAGGACAATGTGCCATCCTATAAATTACCTATATCATCCATTTTGGCATTCCAATCCATACCTCCCTATGGTGTCTGCAATTAAATTGGGGGCTGTTGGATATGTATCTTGCTGGAGATGTTACTACATTATAATAATAATGTGTACTTTCCATGGGCTGTCTTTAAATGGATTGGCAGAATATTGCTAGCACAGCAAAAAAAAGTAATGGACCTTTGTTTAATAACAGTGGAAAACCCATTGATCTAAATTTCTTAAAAAGTTAGGTCATGTGGCTTTCCTGGTGTCTAACAATCTTGCTTATGCTACACAGATCTGCAAGAAATAATTGCACATTCCTGCCATAATCTGTCATTTTGTTTATAGCTTTCAGTTATCAGATTACCTAAATTGGTTTCTGAATCTATATCACATAAACATTATTTGCAATCCATAGTTTTTTTTATTTCTCAGAAAAGAAAGAAGAGGAGGAGGAGGAAGGGGAGGAGGAGGAGGAGGAGGAGGAAGAAGAAGAAGAAGAAAATTCAGAGGAAGAAAAAAACTCCAAAGTTCATGCAATGGTCACAGTTTTCCATTTTATCATGAAACAGAGTTATGTCTGTGCTTTGATCGCTATGATGGTAAGTTATGTTGTCTTTTGGCTCTTGGTCCACCTTGAAAATGACATGATGCTGTGATCCAGGACACATTTTATAATTAGTGAGGTTGTTTAAACTTGTTATTTCTGATCTTTTATCACTGCAAGTCTGCTTGAATTAATGAAAGAGCATCTTCATACCTTACATTCTGATCTTGAAGCTTGAAAACTTTTTGTGGTCTTGAGCCTGGGACAATATACGGAATATTTTGGCTCCTGCTGCTACTTTTTATGTGGTTTATAACTGTTATTATACTCAATTCTGCTTAGTGCTCAGGTAGTAAAGAATGCATTAAAATGCATTAGAAAACACACACACATGTTTATGCTATTGTTTATTTTAACAATGGCTTTAGACTCCAAGGACTCCACATGTTGGGTATTTTTCTTCTTTCCTACATGTACTGTATTGTTTGATTGGGTGACTTATAAGATAGAATTTTGTAGAAATCTCATATATTGATGAAGCAAGCATGCCTATGTAATGTTTGGCTTCTACTGCTAAGCTTTGCATTTTCCTTTAATTTGATTTCTACTGCAAGTGAAAGGCTACATTTAGTTCATTTAATGTTAAATTATCATCAGGTTAGTTTTGCCTGAACTGGGTAGCTAACTGTCTTAAGACCTGTAGTTTAAAAGTGCAAGTTGATAAATTCATATGAAATTGAAGGAAAGTAGCAGCAGGAGCCAAAATATTCCGTCTAGATGTTTTATTTTTTTAAAAAAAATTCAATGATTTAATTCAATGACTGGATGAAGAGATGGAGGCAATGCTTATCAAATTTGCATCTTATAATACCCTAGAACTGTGGTGACGAACCTATGGCCCACAGAGCCCTCTCTGTGGGCACGCACACTGTCACCCCAGTCAGCTGGGTTTTATAAAACCTTTTCACTTTAGGCCTCTGCCGTTGTGTGCAAAAAAAAAAAAGGTTCAATAAATCAATCAACTTCAACTTCTTGCAGGAAAAAAAAAGTTCTCGCAAAGTTGGAATTGATTGATTGAACTTTTTACTCCCACCCAGTCTGCCATTACCACTGCAGCCATGCCCACCCAATGGGCCACGCCCACCCAATTGGCTACACCCACTGAATTGGCCACACCCACCTAATTGGCTCCATCAACCTAATGGGCCACACCCACCCAATGGGCCACGCCCACCCGGTACCTGATGATACATAAGTGGTTTTTGGGTTACAGTTTGGGCACTAGATCTCTAAAAGGTTCGCCATCACTGCCCTAGAAGATAGACATAAATTTTAAAATGGGCTGAAAATAATCAAATGAAATTGAACAGAGAAAAGTGCAGGATTCTTCATTTATAAAAGAAACATCAAACACATAAGAAATACATAATGGATATTTGGGTTAAAAAAATACTTGTGAAAAAGAATTTGGAGTGGTAGTTGATTCAAATGGCACACCAGTCAACACTGTGATATGATTACAAATTTAAGGAAATCAGGCAATTAGAGAAATCATACAGGGATCTGTTTTTTCTTATGTGTAGTAAAGTAATATGTTTTATCTATATGCATATTCTACAGACACATGTTTTCTCCTTGCATAGGATTTAAATATTTCTTTTGCTTTCACCTTTGTTCAGAACAGAACAGAATAACAGTGCTGGAAAAGACCTGATTTCCCTAAATTGTTTGTAATCATATCATAGTGTTCGCTGCTTTCTTCTAGTCCAACCCCCTGCTCAAGCAGGAGACCCTATATCAATTCAGATAAATGGTTGCCTAATCTCTTCTTAAAAACCTCCAGTGTTGGAGCATCCACAACTTCTGGTTTGGTTTATTGTTCTCATTGTCAGGAAATTTTCCCTTAGTTCTAGGTTGGTTCTCTCCTTGATTAGTTTCCATCCATTGCTTCTTGTTCTGCCTTTAGGTGCTTTGAAGAATAGGTTGACCCCCTCTTCTTTGTGGCAGCCTCTTAGATATTGGAACATTGCTATCATACCACCCCTAGCATTTGTATATGTTTATGTGTATGTATATTGAGAAGCACAGGGTGAGGGGAATATTGTGGGTCCATGAACAGGACAGAGAAGGGGAGAGAAGATCAAAACAGGACAGTCTGCAGTATTTGTATTGGGGATTTTTTTTCCTGAAGTACTTTTCTTTGTAGCCTTTAGCTATATTCAGCTGACTTTTAACTTGAAGCATGAACCAAATTTGATCCTGTTCTGTTCAGTCTTTGGAGCATTATCTTGCTGATACAGGGGAGAGACAGACACAGTGTCTTGATCTTATTTATATAGTTTTTTCCCACTGGATTGCAAAAAGTAAGGCAATGCAACAAGATCATCATTTCCAAATCATCCACTATATTTTACTTTGGTCAGAATGAAGATGTAAAGTTGAAGTAGGATTTGGCAGTTTAGAACAATCAACTAAATTAATGAATCAGAAAGCTAAATCCAATCCTGAGAGACTGAAAGAGCTGAATTTGGATAGCCGTCATTGGGGATTCCACTGTACTGCTGCAATATCTGAAATGATGTCACCCAGTAAAGGTCAAAAACTGTTCTTTCCTGTTTCAGATTGCAAGACGAGTTTCAGGAAGGGTGTTTCCTGAAACATGCTGAATGTAGACCATTCTTAGCAGTCAGAGTGGTGGAATCAATGGCCTACAAAGGTGGTTGGCTTCCATTCATTGGAATAGAGAGTAGGAGTCCTTTTGTTTTGAAATCTTTATTTTACATTCCTGCTCTGAGCAAATTCTGAACTTATGGCCTGAAGTGCCCCTTCCAATTCTGTGATTCTAAAGTTCAAATACATTGAGTGTTGAACTGATGAAAATATATTTATTTCTTTTCTTCAAGGCCTGGAGTATTACTTACCACAGTTGGTTAACATTTATATTATTGATATGGTCTTGTATACTTTGGATGCTTCGTGACCGAAGGAAATATGCAATGATAAGTTCACCTTTTATGGTGGTTTATGGAAATTTATTATTAACATTTCAATATATATGGAGTTTTGAGCTGAATGATAAGGAACTTCCTCAAGTTTCTGGATTTCTAGAAAGGAAAGCACCTCCTGAATTAGGATCAAAGGTAATAATTGCACACAAGCCTATATGGTCGGCACATATACGTATTTTATAAGGTTCATGCATTTATATCAGTAGTGAATAACATCTAAGAAAAGATTTTTCAAAAGTACAACATGATAACTGTGATTAGTATCTGAAAATATATAACTAAAATACTTGTTATATTTTATTTTGACTGTAGCAAATGTCTTTCCATATTTAAGGAACAGCTTTAGGAACACAAGTTATTTGGGTCCATTAATTATTTTTTCCTGGATGAAAAATACTTTCTTCCTAGATTCCTAAAATAATTTATAGTTATTGTTACTATTTCTCCTGCCTTGCGCTAGGTAATTCTAGTCCTTTTATTCTCTGCTGGATACTCTTTAATTAATAATTCAAGTTAAAATGAATAAAAAACATATTATCAACTCCTAAAGTTAATATTGTTTTTACATGATCCAGATAAGTTAAAATGAATAAAAACATATTATCAACTCCTAAAGATAGTATTGGTTTTAGATGATCCAGATATTCTATTGGATATGCCTGAAATGAATTTCTCTCAAAGGATTTACATGTTTTAGAATCTAACTATCAATTTTGTCATTAATTAGGTATTTTATAAAATGTCCTTTCTAAACCTTTTGGCTATTATAAAAGATTATATTGTGAATAAAAAAAACAATCCTATACCTTAATAATATAGGAATATTTTCTGGATACTATAAACAGGATAAATTATGCTCTATATTTAAACACAGTTTTTCCTTCATTAGAAAAGGCTTATAAATTGAATATAATTCTGCACCATAATTCTGCCTACTATGTTATCAAAATATGCTTACTTTTAAAAAAATATAAGCATCATCTGCTTTGCAGAAAAGTTTGCTCCCTCAGGAGATTTTGAAGCAGATGTAAAGTAGATACATTGTGTAAGCATTAAAACAGAAAATGAAGCAACAACAAAAAATAAAAGCCAGTCATAATAATTACCTCTATGAGTGTGTTTCTTGGCAAAGAAAGAATTGCTCTATCCTTGAAGAAACCAGGTGATTCTTTTAAGGAGTATTAGACAACCCATGATCTGTTGGGTCATTGTTTCATTTGTGTCATTATTTCAGTCCTTCCCCCATTTAACCGCAGCCACTGACTTGCCTTGTGGTCTTGGATTTGCAACTTCCTGCAAATCTGTGGCTCTGTGGCCTTCTCTGTTGTGGCTCCTGACCTTTGGAAGATCTTACTTCCTGTGGTGGCTCCCACCCTTCTGACTTCCATAAGGCCCTGGAGACTTGGCTCTGTCAGATGGCTTGGGGCCCCAATGGGGAGAATCACACAAGAGGTGGTTGAGGAATTAATAGGCAATCCCACCTCCCCCTGTGTATTCTGCTCCCTCTCTCCCCATCTTTCAACAATAATTCTATTTTTGATTGTAATTTCCATTTTTATTAGAAATTTTTAGAAATATTTAATGTTTATGATTTTAATGCTTGTAATGCTGTAAGCCCCCCAGAGTTGCTTCGAAAAAAGATGGGCAGCAAATAAATTTAATAAATAATATCTAAATAAAATTGAGAAAAGAAAGAAAAAAAGACACATGTATAAAGATGGGTATTTAGCTAATCCCTAATTTTATAATTAGCTTAATTTATCAAATTCCAGAGAAACTAGTCTGCAAGCCAAAGCACAATAGGAGTAAGATCATTGGTTCTAATGATCATTTAGGCCTCTCCATTATGTATGACAACATTTCCCAACTTTTGTTCTTCCAGATACATTAGCGCTGGCTAATATGTTTTCAGCATTTGTAATCCAATATACATTTGGAAAGCAACAAGTTATGCCATATACTGTGATATATATTCAAGTATAGCTATGATGAAAAGCCAAAGATACTCCTTGAGGACATTAATTTCTACAACATGGCTTAATTTGGGGTCAAGATTAATTGTTGATATTTGGAAGATGTTTGGCAATATCATTCAGTTTATCTTAAGTGTTCTATCACCATACTGTGGATTGTGGAAATTCAATAAGTTATTCAATAGTGTGTCTCCTCTTTGGTTTCAATTTCTGCTGACAGATACTTTTTGGACTTACTTTTTGGCTGCTGTTGAGACAACACCTCACTGAGCGAAAGACTTTGCAATTAAATGAAACTGTTTTGTCAGAGGTCAAAATTGGAGAGGAAGAGAGTGAAGAAAAAGGTGAATGTGCATTTCAAGTAAATATACATGATAGCTTCATGATAGTGATGTCAATAGAGAAGTACACCATGAACTAGGAAATAATTCTCTTAGGATTCAAATACTGTATATAAGTACTTATAAAACTAGTAGAGAAAAATTAAGAATTAACTCTTAGTTTTATTTTGCTTCTGATTTTTTCCAATCAATTTAAGTTTTGTATTAACTTGCCATTAAAAGGTGGCATTAAAATTTGTACCCAGATTCTCAAAAGGTGATGCAAAGAATCTCTGTCTTTCCTTATTCCATCTTTTCCTACTAAATTATGTATTCGTGCATTTGTATATTGATTTTTATTTTTTTATTAAATGTACTATATTGTTGACTGATGTGATGTGTCTTTGTTTTACAGTAAGACAGTATTGTGTATCAGTCAATGTAACCAGTGCAGTTGAACTTTATATCAATAATTATAACATTCTAAAATAACTTATTTAATGGCATGTATTCTAATGTTACATTTTACAATTACAGATGAGGAATCCCAAAAAGAAGAAGAAGAATCCCCCAAAGAGGAAGAGAAAGAGGAAGATGAAATGGGGGAATTAGAGGAGAAGGAAGAGCAGGAGGAGGAGGAGGAGGGGGAAGAAGAAGAAGAAGAAAATGATGTCATGAAAGTCCTAGGGAACATGGTGATGGCGATGTTTGTTAAGTACTGGATTTACGTCTGTGGAGGAATGTTCTTCTTTGTCAGCTTTGAGGGAAAAATTGTCATGTACAAAATCATCTATATGATGCTCTTCTTGTTTTGTGTAGTCCTATATCAGGTAAGTAGTACAAATCATAGTTTTTAAGAACATTGCCATTCTGTTTCTTTCTCTCTTTTATTTTTATTAAATATGCTATTTTTACAAAGCATAAGGAGTCATTAGATTAAAAATGACTTAAAAGACAAAATTAATTAATCTTGTAAATATATATAAAACCATAAAAAATTAAAACAAGTGTGAGTCAATCAAAATCAATACAGGTTATTGATAGGGCCAAAGGAAGGGAAGAACAGACAGAGAACAAGACTACCAGCAACAATTAAGTTCAGTTTAATGCAGCTTGGCATTTAAGTGTATCAAACCACCTTAGAAAAAAATTCTGAAGTGATGATCACTGAATTATGATTTTGTTGTTGTTGTTAATTGCGAAGTCGTGTCCGACCCATCGCGACCCCATGGACAACGTTCCTCCAGGTCTTCCTGTCCTCTACCATCTTCTGGAGTCCATTTAAGTTCACACCTACTGCTTCAGTGACTCCATCCAGCCATCTCATTCTCTGTCGTCCCATTCTTCTATTGCTCTCAATCTTTCCCAGCATTAGGCCCCTCTCCAGTGAGTCCTTCCTTCTCATTAGGTGACCAAAGTATTTGAGTTTCAACTTCAGGATCTGGCCTTCTAAAGAGCAGTCGGGGTTGATCTCTTCCAGGACTGACCGGTTTGAACGCCTTGCAGTCCAAGGGACTCGCAGGAGTCTTCTCCAGCACCATAGTTCAAAGGCCTCAATTCTTTGGCGCTCAGCCTTTCTTATGGTCTAACTTTCACAGCCATACATTGCAACTGGGAAAACCATGGCCTGGACTATACGCACTTTTGTTGGCAGGGTGGTGTCTCTGCTTTTTAGTATTTTTAGTACTGTCCATGGGGTTTTCATGGCAAAGATACTGGAGTGGTTGCCATTTCCTTCTCCAGTGGATCACATTTTGTCAGAACTCTCTGCTATGACCTGTCCGTCTTGGGTGGCCCTGCAGGGCATAGCTTATAGCTTCATTGAGTTACGCAAGCCCCTTCGCCACGACAAGGCAGTAATCCATAAAAGGGTGAATTATGATAAATGACTGTAAATGATGAACATTAGGTAAACTTAATTTCTTATTTGCTAGGTTCACTATGAATGGTGGCGACGAATTCTGAAATACTTTTGGATGTCAGTTGTAGTTTACACAATGTTAGTACTTGTTTTCATTTACACATATCAATTTAAAGCATTCCCTGACTTGTGGAAAAACATGACAAACATGAATGATGATCAGTAAGTATTATTTGTTACTCCATTTGTTAAAATTCTGGTTATTTGGATGATGTATTATGAAACACTAATATTACTCTAGATGCCTTATGTTTTATAAGTGACTATACTTAGGAAATATATTCCTTTAGGAAAAACAAATATTCAGCTTCTCATTCGATAAACAGTACACATACATATTGTCCTATCTCTTCCATTTTTAACCAACACATTTTTTCATGTACCTTCAATTTTAACTCAATCCCTTCAGAAATCAGATATGAAACCATTGGGAGGCAAATAGTTGAAGAAGTTGCTTTCATTCTAGAAAGCACAACATGTTCTTCATGGTTTCATCAAAATAATAATAGCAGCATTGCATACTTATGCCACAAGGTCTACCCTTAAATTTGATGTCACAGTATACATTCAAAATCAGAAAAGTTTGTGTCATAATAATGTGAGACTGCTTTTAACGTTCTCGCCCTTAACTTTCCCTTCAGATGTTGCTGAATTCATACATTAAAAAACACTGTTTGCACCTATGGGTCCATTTGTTTAATGATGATTTCAGGGTATGATAGTGCTTAAAAAAGTGATCCTTCTCGAAGTTATAACTGTCACACACAAACATTCCTGCCCCACAGTCACGTGATCACAATTTGGGCTCTTGGCAACCAGCTTTCATTCATGATGGTTGCAGTGTCTTCTAGTCAATTTGCCAGTTTCTCAGCCATCTTCTGATAAACAAAGTCAATGTGGGAAGCCATATTTACTTAATGACCAGATGATTCACTTAAAAACTGCCTGATTTACTCAACAACCACGGTAAAAATGGTTGTAAATTAAGGTCTAATCATATGATGACTCAATTAGCAATGAAAATTCCAGGCCCAATTGTGACTGTAAGTTGATGCCTACCTGTATATCCTTGATCAGATGTCATGCTTTCACTTCTGCAGTTGACCATTCTTTTATATCTTTCGTTTTGTAGCCAAACATGTTGGGGAAAAACAATTGCCACTATAGTTTTGTGAAAAACAAAAAGACTTTTCCACTAATTTTTGTTTTGAGACCAGAGATTACAGGGTGTTTTTTTTTTTAACAAAGCTGTTTAGTGAAAGAATATTTTTCAGTTAGCCTTTGTTCACTTATAAGTGAATTTTGATATAGTCACAAAAGAAAATGATGAATGAGACATTTATCAGCCTTATAAAGTAAAAGACCAGAAATAATTCCAAATTTCACAATGTTGCTGGATTCAGAGAGTTCTGTAGTATCTGCAGTAAAGTGTGTATCTGAGTAAAGGCAGCCTATCCATTATACTAAACATCGTAAGATGGTTGCAGTCTTAGATTGGCAAAATGCACAAGCTACGTTTTATGAGCTTGAAACAATAGGCAACCATCTTTTTATTTTCGTAAGATTTTTAATATATTATGAATCTAATATTTTTTAGATTTTTGAATTTAATTCATCTGCTGTAAAATCTTGGTGCTGTACCAGATCAATATTGGGTAATGGAATATAGCTAAATTTAGATTTTTAGGTTAAGGAATAGATAAAGATAAGAAAGAAAATTCACAAATATTTTTAGAAGCATTTCTTCCAAGTCTTTTCTGGATCCCATCCGGGTAGCTATTACGGTTTTGTTGTTTTATAATTTTCAGAATTACTTACTATTTGTAAAAATAAAAACGTTTTAGCTTTTCCGTGTGCTTTCTGACAAGTCTAAAAGATTGTGATAGTTATTTATGAGTTATAAAATATAGGTGTAACTTGAATTATTTTATGTTTCAGGCTAAAGGATCTTGGTTTAGAACAGTATTCCACAGCAGAATTATTCACTCGCATTTTTATCCCAACCTCCTTTCTATTGGTATGCATACTGCACTTGCATTACTTCCATGACCGTTTCCTCCAACTCACAGATTTAAAAGCCATAGTCAGCAAACAAGACAATGCCATTTACAGGTAAACATAACAGAAAATTTTCCTTCATTTTATTGCCCCCAAGGTTGGTTGGTTAAATCTTCTTTATTATCTTATAGTCAAGTAATTCTGGATTTTGAAGAAAAAGAGCGTAATTAGAGAAAGGTGGTCTGTTCTCAGTGGCTGAATAATAAATACCACTTATAAATCTCATGATCTATAAACCTTCACTGCAATCACAAAAAGGCTATTTTGGTCTGAATTCTTTATATATGGTTTTCCCAGTAGCAGACAGAATTTAGTGAGATTTATTCCCTACCAAATATATTCAGGGTTGTTGCATTACTTATAATTTGGGAAGGAACTATAGGAACTTGTAAATTCTTTTAACATAGAATCAAAGAGTTGGCAGTTTCTTCTAGTTCAATCTCCTCCTTAAGGCAGGAGACCTTATATCATCCTGGTCAAATGATTGTTCAATCTATTTTTGAAAACCCCCAATGATTTAATATTTTATTATTTTAATTAAATATTTTATCTTAACAAGTTTTATAGAAATAAATTAAAAAATGGAAAAGTAAGAGACAAAGAAATGCAGCTTCTTTCCTACAGTCAAACTAAATCATGTTGATGCTTATTAGCAATATGGTTCTCCTGCAGAGAGAAGAAAATGTCATAAAACTCAAATTTGGAAATCTTTGTGAAACTAAACTACCCAGGATAAGAATATTGTATAACAAAAGAGTCATTTCTATATTCATTTCTGATTCTAGGTAGAAATGCTCTTTAAGGACAAAAGTGGACTTAGAGAATTAAAAAATAGCTACTTTCATAGAAATGAAACAAAGGCAGAATAATATATTGTTTAAATTTTTATCCCCCCAAAAATTAAGAATAACTGCATCAAAACTTAACAAGGAATTGATGAGACTATATGTCTTCCTATATACAATAATGATGTAATTTATAAAAGACCATTATGTTTGGGGAATTAAAAGCACAAACAAAAATGTATATGAAAGATTAGCAAATATGGATCAATTACATTATTTACATCATCAGTCTCCTATACAGTTTACATACATAGGGGTTTGCAAGTAGATTGCAAGTGACAACATATACATCATAATATAAATTCTACTCCTTAAGTATTTGGAAATAACATTGTGATGCAAGAACAAAAGGATATACCTCTCAGCGTGACATCATGATGACTATATAATTTTGGTGTCAGTGTAGTTAGGAAGAGACAGGTGGTATGTTGGGTGTTCATTTATTTTTCTTTTCTTCATAAATGGTATAGGCAATTATTTGAAATTTTAAACATTCCAATGTGAAAAAAATCAAAACTGGTCACCTATATTAGCAACTATATTTGTTGAACTGAATTGAAGAAGCTCTCTCTCCTGATAAGCTTTTCATCTTTAGTGGCCAAATGGCTGAAACTATAATTGAGTTCTCTCTCTGTGAGGAGTATCTGTAACTATTGTTAAACAGTTATAGATGATATATAGATACAGATATATAAATGTGGATATTTATCCTACCATTTTTATATCTTGGGCAACTTAAGGTGGCAACCATACCTAATACTCCCTTATCCACCTGTTTCCCCACAACAAAAAACCTCTGAGATAAGGTGGTTTTTATTAAAGTCACCCATCTGGCTTCCATGCCTAAAGTACAAACTTACAGTGTCCTGGTTTCTAACCCAACACATTAACCTCCGCACCACACTGGCTCTTATATATGTATAGATGTGCATCTATGTATATTATTTTATTTTATTTACTAACTTCCACATTTAATAAATGAGAACAGAAAAACAAGCCAAAAAAGAGAGACAACAAAATGAACAATTCATCTATTTTTTTCCTCCTAGTTCCTACCAGGGTAAGGAAATCATGGGTATATAGAAGTTTATAAGTTCTTCTTTCTGCAGGGGTTGTGATGTTTTTTCATTATGCATACTGCATCACTGCAGCTTTTTTTCTTGTGTGCTTCCTGAGAAAATATATCTATCTTTAATCTTGTTTAACAGTATTCTTCTCTTTCTCTAATTTTTCTGCTGCCACCTTATGCATTCTCACACTTTCATCTGTTACCAAAGCCATGCCAAAGTCAATGGTCGTGTTTATCTTATAATAAATAGGTGGGTATTTTAATGATTCCTTTTCTTACTTAAAAATTTAGTGTTTATTTAGTTGTACATTCAAGCTTTAAAATAAAAACAATAAGGCTATTCATGATACTCAGAGAACATAAGGGTACTCAGATAACACATCTTCTCAGTACTACAGTTCTTTTGTTAATGCAGTGGAATCTTAATAGTCTGCTTTTAAAAGCTAAGAATATATTGGTTCGTTTTAAAGCTGAGCAGAATTCAGAAAATGTTCAGCCTCTTTATATTAGTTAGACATAAATGTTTCCTCTGGAAATATGCTGGTATCAATATATTGTCACACATGTGCATACATTTGTGTATGTAAATTAGTTAGATTCTAATATTTAAATCAACTACATTCTAGTTGTTTGGATTTCAGGCTTTGGAGCTTCAATTTATGTTTTGATATTATGGTATGTTATGATATTCCCCTTGCTTTAATTGAAGCTCTTCTTTTAAAAAAATGACTTGCAATTAATACATTCGTTTTGTTTTATTTTCTACCGGATGTTAAGCCATTGTTTTATCAAGTAAATAGTAAGTTAGGATATATAAAGTAGTAAAGAAAACATGGAAGGCACTAACATATTAAAATAATTTTAAAAAATAGATTCCACAGCAAGGCTATCTGCAAGGTGTGATCAAAAAAGTCAAGATTGTGGCCACAGTGCGCATCTAATGCATGCAGAATAACAGAATAAGAGAGTTGGAAGGGATCTTGGAGGTCTTCTAGTACAAACTCCTCCTCAAGCAGGAAATCCTATAACATTTCAGACAAATGGTTGTCCAATCTCTTCTTAGAACCTCCAATGTTGGAGCACCCACAACTTCTGGAGGCAAGTCATTCCACTGATTAATTGTTCTAATACACAAGAAAGCAGAAGTTGATAATCACTCTGTTATGACTATCAACTTAAAGCTTTTGACACTTCTATTCCAGAATATAGAAAGATGAAAGCTATATTATGAACGCCTTATTATTTACCACGTTAGATAACCACAGTGTGACTTTAATGGTAGGTTAAGCAATTATCTAAAGGTTAGTAAGTAGAAAAGAGCTGAAGTGAAGCAAGTAATCCCATGCCACATTCTAAAAAGCTACAACTGAGAGCATCTAGAAGGTAACACAAAAAGGTATCTCGGAGGTAGCAGAATGGGTAAGCCTAATACCAAATGATCAGTTATTGTGGATGTTCTCTGAGTTTCGTTGTTTTCCTGCAGATGTTTTGTTATCAGACTAGATACATTATTAGTGCATAGCAGAGTCAAGTTTAATGAAGGTATCTTGCCCTACCAAGGAAATCTAAAAATCCTAGGAAAATCCTGGATATTGGGTATTCACACAAATCAGCCATCCATAGACACATAAAGGTAAACCTTTATCTACATACCATTTAAATTTTAAAAGATACAACCAAACGTGAAGGAAGGAAACAAATAGCCCAGAGCATATCCTCCCTAGCCGGCAACACCCAGATAGACAGAAAACAGCACCAGATAACAACCAAGAAAGAAACAATATGCTAATCAAGCAACCATCAAGGAAGAAACCACACCTCAATCAAGACTGACAAAGCAAGCCAACATCTATAAACAGCCAGCAAACTCCACTCCCCAATGCACTTACAATCTTGCTTAGTCTGGTAATGAAATGTCTGCAGGAAAATAACTAAGCTCAGAGAATATTAAACACCCACAGTTCAGTGTTGAGCTATCTATGTATTAATCTATCTATTCTCTCCTATCAGCTATTATTGTAATACTGTTCTGCTCTTTTTAAAGTCTTGATAGCTTTAGACTCCATCTGTTGCAGTGACTGTTTATCAGGGACTAGGCTCAAATAGTTATTCCTGAATAGACTTGTTACTCTTCAGTGCCTCCCTGTAACTGAACATTTCTCTTTCTGGTTTTTGCTTCTGTATCTCAATTTTCTATATCTGCATTCTGAGGGGCTCTGCACAGCATAATATTGATTACGGGTGGCTGGCTGCTGTAACTCTAAAGTTGGCAATGATGACTGTGGCTTCTTATTAATGACTGTTCTGTTTGGGCCTTTACTGAAGCACTCTTATGGCTGGCTTATTATGATACCTGTTTATATTCAGTATGGTTGAGGCTATGCAGCTTCATAGTATAGTAAGAATATATTACAATCTGGCCGGATACTAGTGGAAAATATGGCTAAGAAATAGAGCAGTGCAAGAAGAATAATTCATGCTCTGGTTTAGTTCTGATGCATCTTGCTCATGTCGGATCCTTTTGATTTTTCACACACATTCTTCCTTGCTCACTTACTGCATTATGCTAGGCACTGCTAGCCATTTAAAAAAAACACATATATTTTATTCATGATAATCTTGGTTTATATTCCAGGATTCAGGAATGGGTGATGAACAATGTAACTTACATTGCTTATTGGTAGAACAGAATTGTTTTTAAAACATTTGTTTTCATAAATTATTTTTATTCTTGTTCAAATGTTGAATATGTTATATTCAAAATATAACTAACCTGGATTAGTCTTTGATTTAAAACCATTCATTTAGTGATCATTCGAAGTTACAACAGCACTGAAAAAAGTTACTTATGACCGTTTTTCACACTTATGACTGTGGCAACATCGCTGTGGTTACATGATCAAAATTCAGACACTTAGTAACTGGTTCATATTTATGATAGTTGTAGTGTCCCAGGGTCACCTGATCTCCCTTTGCGACCTTCTGACAAACAAAGCGAATGGTGGAGGCCAGGTTCACTTAACCGTAAATCTGGCTTCCCCATTTACTTTGCTTGTCAGAAAAGGCTCAGTTGTGGTTGTACGTTGAGCATTACCTGTACAACAAAACTGCAGTATGTTAAACTTACCCTAGGAATGGAGAACATTTTTAGGAGGACTGTTCAGTTAAGCATACCCCTCTGAATTTTATCTTGGTTTGTAAAAGTTGCCTTTTTGTCACCTGCAGTCTCTCTCTTTCCCCTTTCTGTTTTTTACTCTGAAGAAGTTACTGATATGCAAAATAAAACTTCTAAATTGCTCTTTTCTTACATGAGTTTTTGAAAGGACAAGGTGTGTTGCAGTTGCTGTTTTCCTCTTCACTTATCGATCAGCAGGATTTTTTTTAAATGTTCCCAAATTAAGGCAAAGCATTTCTTTGCAGTATTCCCACTTGATACTGAATATTGTTCACTTATACTCTGATACTTTGTCCATAATTTGTCATGATTTATTTCTTGAAGTAATAAAAAACACTTTCCAGTTCGTGCACTTAGTGAATTATTTGGGCATGTTCATAGGGATTTGAATTTTAAAGAACTTGAAAATTGATTTTTGTAAAGTTCAATTTCTCCCTCATCTCTACCATGATCCACCAGAATAAAAAAAGAGAACTAGTAGATGAGTGGGGGGGATCATGAAACAGATCCCCAGGCTGGATTTACCCAGTTATGAAAATTAACTTGAACATACCTAGTCCATTCTAAAGTAAAATTTGTGAGCTTCATTAACTTCTGTGTGAAAGGAAGTAGTGTTTTCACCACTGTAGGCAGTGAGCAAGCTGTATAAATAATCCTTCAGTTATTTATATATTGGTGGAGTCATCTGAATAGAAATAAATTGTACCCTAAAAACTAAATAAAGTCTTTTTGTTTGTAACTATAAACAAATGCATTTATCAATGTAAGAGAAAGATATTTATGTTTAAAGTAAAGTGGGGTACTTGACCCCAGACATAAAGGTTCATTTATTTCTCTGAGCCATAAAAATGGATTAACATGTTTTGAAAACTATAATACCATTGCAATTTTGGCACTATTCATGTTTCAGTAGATTTTTAGAAATTATTTTCCCAATCATATTTTTATTTTCATTTTGAATTCATAAGCAAAGATGCAATACTACTAACAAATCACATTTTAATGGACCAACTGGTGGAGTAAGTGTCCATTAAATAAGAAAGTATGTTATGGCAGTAGTTTTTATCTGTGATAAAACTAGATTACATCATTTCAATCGTTATCAAATAATCACACAAATGATATACATTGTACATACATTTAATCAATCATATCAGAAATCCATTATTTCAATATACTCCTAAATTAAGTTTCACTTACTGTTTTCCTACAGCAGCTCACCAGTTAGGAAGACATATTAAGACATTTTTATACTGACAAAACTGTATCTTTCAGTTCAACGTATGGTTTTAAAAATGAAGAATTGGCAAAGAAAACTATCTAATCTTGGCAAGCATATGGGACATAGAATCTGGAGGTATAAGTCAGGCAGATAGATGAAGCCTATGGCTCACAGATAAGGAGTTTATTTCTACTCATAAAGTAAGAGCAGCCAAATTCTGAGAGAAGAAGCAACTGGTTTGAAAAGGATTGGTTGTTAATTGCATTAAAACAGAAAACAAATTCTTCAAAGGCATAATTCTGGCTTAATACTATCTCCTCTATTGTTTGTCCATTGTCTTTATACGGGAATATTATCAGCGGTGGTGAGCAGATAGGACACTGGGAAAAAAAGGATACTGTTTTTTATTAAGTTCAAACATCAGCCACTAGGTGGACTGACTTTAGGGTTTTTAGGATTTCAAAATTTGGGCTTTGGGAGGAGGATTGGTTGTTATCATTAGGCTCAGAGTACAGCCTGATGTGAAATTCAGTGGTTAGTGCTACTGTTTTACTTTGACTCATCCAAGTCAACATTGGCAATATGGCTATGATTAAAAATGAGCACCATAAATTGGATAAACTCCAAGCATTACTGATTGGAATTATTAATCGCTGTAGTTGTGTAAGACATATTGGATCAATACCAAAACCTTACAATAATACTTACGTGACAGTATTTTGGGCTAATCTATGTATGATACCTCTTAAAATAAGACATTTGCACTCATCACTTTATGGCTATGATTCTTCATACATAGAAAGAAATTACAATGAAATCAGTTAATTTATTTCAGTATAATAACATCGTCAAAGTATAACCTTCAGGGACCTTAACAGTATCAATAGTGGGAGGAAAAAAAGCCAACCAAGTTAGTAAGTGAAGATCCTTTGTAAAATTTTGTTCTAGTTCTTAATTATTTGATTTTTTTTATACCATCTTTAAATAACTAAAATAGATGGCCCATTTTTATCACCAAAACATTCATGTAGAGTATCCATTCCTTCTGGATATTCATTTAGATAATATTTTGAGCCAAGAACCATTGTTGTTTGTTTGTTTATTTATTTGCCAGCCAACAATATCTCCATTCCTATCAATTACACATAAGCTTCCAGGCTTTAGCACTGTTTTCATTGAAAAATGTTTTGAGAATTTAGTATAGCCAGCAATTTATCCCTGCATATCTATTAATGTATTATCCAATTATTTGCCTGAGTCTGCATGCGCTACAATGGCATATTTATTCCTCTAGTGCAGTCCAGTCCTTTCAAGAATTCGTAGCACTTAGTTGTCTAGTAAGTCTTGTAATTGTAGACATGGAATGAAATCTTTAAGTCTAGGCAAACATATTTAATGTTAGACAGATTTATATTAGTGCTGAATCTGAAGCTTCATTCTTCAGTCCCAATGTTTTACAAAGAGAAACTAATGCTACATCCTGAGAGTTTTGCTTATCAAGGGTAAATAAAAGTGTAACCTTGATACTGTGCATTCTGTTTTCAAAGAAGACAGAACAAATAATGTAACTTAATAAAATAATATCAAAATTCTAGAATACATATTTTAATTGCTTCAATTTTTACATTGATATAAACAGTGTACATTGTATCTTGTATATTTTATACTAAGCTACATAATTCTTGAAAGCATAACTGGAAAAATATGGATAATTCATAGCATGTTATATATTATCCTCTTCCAAAAGCGTTCATAGAATTTTTGCTTTTCTGTGCTTATCCTCAATTAGGAAAATATGCCAAGGAATCTAAAAAAAAAACAACTCATACTTTTAGAAATATAAATATATATTTAAGATATGATTTCTTTAAATTGAGAGGATTCATGCTCTCATTTTCATATATAGAAAGAGTAATTAAAAATTCTAGAACTGTACTTTTTACTTTTGCTAAAGCAAATGCACTGCATTCTGTTAAGAGTAAGACAATATATTTTTGAAAGCTGCCACAGATGGGTAATGCTAATGAGTCGTATAGCATCATATCTTATCTCTGATCTTCCTCTTCTCATTTCCTTTTTTCTTTCTGTTTCAATTATTTGAGCAGCATCAAGAAAAAATTACCAATCCATCAAAATGAGTAAGTCCCCATGGGAAGTCATGAAATGCTTGCTGTTACATGTCATTTCATGCTTCTACAACTTAAACTTTGACCATTTTTTCCCCTTGGCGGGGAAACGTCAAGTTTAGGTGACAATATCACTGATTACTGATGTGAATATTAGCATCAAAATAACGATTGCTACTGTGGTGCAATCCGTGTGGCATTTTCATTTTTTTTTGAACAGTGTGTGATTCATGTATTCATGCATTTCCAGTTTGTTTTAATTTACAAAATAACAAAATTTAGTGTTTTCAGAATCACAACTGTTCAGTCTGTTGACATGACCATTTCTGTACCAATAGATTGGTGCATCAAGATGAAAGCTTGCCTGATCTCACAATGATGAATTTGAATGCCAACACTGAACAGGAAGAGGAAAAGATGTTGCAAGATCAAGAAAAAATGTTGCAGGAAGAAAATGTAGTGGAAAGAAGAGAAAGTGAAAATGAAGTAGATGATAATGAAAAAAAGGAAGAAGAATTGGATGAAGAAGGTGAAAGTGAAGATGAGGATGAGGATGAATCGGACACAGAAGAAATATCAGGTAGATTTGTGGATGGATGATCAATTTTATTTTACTATTTGGATGATGAGCCTGGAATAAATGTAGATTTTTTCTGACAGCATTTTATATCTTATCAAATTTTCTTTAAAAAGAAATTAATAAAAATTATATAAGTACATAAAAATATAAAAAATATATTCAGTAATGAATTAATGCAGGTAATGAAGTGCATATTGGATTGGGATTGTATGATATTGGACTTGGAGTAAAACAATGTGGTAAATATTACAGAAGTTATAAAGTGCAGTACAACTACATTGTTAACAGTGACTGTGAATTAAAGAAGTGCTTTGCTTATTTGGGAGGTGTGTGTATAAGAGAGAGAAGAGAAGGAGAGGGAGAGATGTTGCATTGATTAGCTCTTCATTTTGTAGGGAATAAATGTTTTTGATGATAGAAGTGGCCTTTGAATCATGATGACATATAATGTCAAACAAAAATAAAAAAGTGTATCTGTTTTTACTAATCAAAGAATATTTGTCACTATGGCAGAGATTTTCTGATACCTTATCATAATATTTTGTACTGTTAATACTATAATAGTAAATTCATTAGTAAATATACGTTATTTTATTATTTCTATTTCATATACAAAATATAAGATAGGTTTGTCCCAAAAGTGCTTTTCCAAAAGGCAACTGGACTTTCTTGTTTTTTTCCTTGAAAATGTTTCAACGACTAGATGATTGCAAAGAATATAAATCCTTCCATTTCCTACCTTTCAGTTAGAACTGAAGAAGCTTTTTGGATGAAAAATGAAATATTTTCAACAAAAAACCCCAAGGAAGTCCAATTGCGTTTTAGAAAAGAACCTTTGAGACAGTCATGACCTAATGATTGAGAATCTCCAAAGACATAAGATAGATTTGTTATATTAGCTTGTGTTTTAGCTTTTTAAATTTTTTTAAACTTTTACTTTAAGATAAATATTGTCTTATTAATTGGTTAAGCATAAAAAATAAAATTTAAAAATAAAAAAACTTAATCTAATGCTTTTTTACTTTAAATACATATGTGTATGTGTTTATAACATTTTTATATGTATTTATTAAAAGTGTATTTCTAGCTGAAAATAACTTTTTTTTTCCACAGCAGTGGAAAAGTGTTTCACTGCGTTTTATTTGTCTTTTAGATTTAAGGAACAAATGGCATTTGGTAATTGACCGTCTAACTGTACTTTTCTTGAAGTTCCTGGAATGCTTTCATAAGCTTCAAGTTTTTGTATGGTGGCTTTTGGAACTACACATAATCAAAATTGTGTCATCATATATTATATGGGTAACAGTAAAAGAGGCAAGTATAAAATGGATAACCCACTTTCTCTTGCAGTATCAATATCACAGTAGAATATAAATCACTTTATCTCCTTGAATATATGAATCTGAGGTTTTGCATGACCCATGTGGTATTGACGTTTGCAGCTAATTTAAAGCTGCCAGCATAAAGGAGTACCCTTGAAAAATATGTAACTGAAAATGAATTTGCTTAGGCTTCCATAGTTTAACAATATATTTTGAGTTTGTAGGGCAATGTTGGAAGAAGGAATCTTTGCCTACCTTGCAAGAGTGGTTTTTTTAAAGTTTCTTATTTGGCGGAAATGGCAAAGATTTCGGCTTTCTTGAAAGACCAATCGCAAGAGAAGTATTTTTTGGTATGGAAAAAATGGATAGACTTTATACAATATAAGTTGGATATAAAAAAATATTATTTAGCTTTTCAATAACTTATATTTAAAACTTAAGATATTTCATAGATTTTATAGACTTTTTAGAATTTTTTTCTTTTTTCTTTTTTCTTTTTTTTTCTTCTTTTCTTTTTCTTTTTTTCTATTTTCTTGTATTTCCTTGTATTTTCGTCTTTTTATACATATATTATTGTTAACTATTTTATAATTTGTTTAATTAATGTACTTAGACTTATTTATGGTTTATATCTGTTTTAAGACTTTTTGAAATTTTTTTAATTAAGCCTGTATTCAGCTCTGGGAAGGTTGGGGGAGGGTAGGGGAGGGTTGGGGGGGTTCGGGGAAGGGATTTGTATTGTTTTGTAAAATCTAAAAATTTTCAATATATATATATATATATATATATATATATATATATATATATATATATATATATATATATATATAGAGAGAGAGAGAGAGAGAGAGAGAGAGAGAGAGAGAGAGAGTTTGAATTTTAAAACAAATGAACTTGTTTTTATTATAATTTATGCATTTCGTTTTTAAGCTTGAATCCTTCCTGGCTAACAAATATACAAAATATAATGTTTGTCCATAAAAGGAGTCCTTGTAAATTGTATCAGATCTCAAAATGTGAACGGTATCCATTATAAAACGTGTACTGTATAGTTTGAAGATTTGGTTGCACATTGAAAACAAAATTTTGTTTAGTAATCCATTCATTGAATTGTTTTAGTGTATCCCACATCTTTCTTTCCATTTGGTTGAGTTTAATTCCAAATAAAGCCAAGGAAATTAATCTTTCCATGTTTTCCATTATTTTTAGTAATAAATAAATACATGAGGTAGTATGGTAAAGAATTCTCCAGTTTGTCATCAAATCTATATGTTATCTTTTCTGTTTTGTCCTTGTAGGTTTCTCTCATTAACTATGTGTTTGTGATTGCCTGGGCTTTTGCTCTGCCATACTCTCAGTTCCGTCCATTGGCATCCGGTGTCTGCACAGTTTGGACCTGTGTGATTATTATCTGTAAAATGTTCTACCAGCTTGAATCTATTAATGTTGCATCATTTTCTATCAGTTGTCCAATGGTATATTTCATTTAGTTTTGTTTAATTAATTATAGATGCTTTAACTAAATATTTTTTTTTTAAACTGGAGTGACTTATGAATTAGAGAGATGGCAAAATGACTCAGAAGTTATCCTAGCAGTTTTCTCCAAAATCAGGAAATTATTCTGTAGTATACATCTTTTTTTTCCTAACCTTGTTGAGAAGGTAGTTAGTTTATTTTTTTTTTAAATAAGTAAATAGCTGGTAGGTATTTTTTTTTTTTTTTAAGAAAGGGATCTCAAATTTATTTTTCTTTTTGAATTTGCCTTGCACCACAATAGGGCAGAATTCTCTGCTGCATGATGTCCTTCAGAAAATACCGTACATTAATTCTATTAATGTGGAATGTGTCCACTATCTTCAGTTTTCTCGCATAATTTTGCCTTCTTAATTTGATTAGATCTTCATCCTGTCCTTAGCTTGTCAACTTGTGCTGCAAGATTCCTTCCATTTAAGCAGGATGTGAGGTTTGGGGGTACTTTGTGTGGGATAAAAAATGACAAAACTGGTACAGTTTTATATTTTTTTCATAGCAAGAATTTTTTTTAATCTTTATTCTTAATAGTAGGTCCCTGAAAGGGAATTTATAAAGTACTTTGTTAATGAGAAATTGTTGAATTATTTAGCTATAGATACAATACTAGCTTTATTATGACACAGACTGCCTAAAGAAATCAGAACTAACTTTGTTTTTATTATTTTAGCCTAATACTACTGAATATCAGGAAAGCCTGAATGAATCACTTCTCTACAAAAAACCCATTGATCCAACTGAGTGGGTTGGATTAAGAAAGTCCTATCCACTGCTTGTGTACTTGAGGGTAATTATAATCTGTTCTCTATTCAACATATTCAGTTCTTGTATTCTTCTAGTCGAGGTGAAATGAGAGCTCAATATTATATAATCCTTAGAAGTAGAGCTGTTCTCTTTGGAATCATTCCTCAAAGTTTATGAAGGTATGGGATGAAAAAGGAAATTACAATAATGAAGTGTAGTTCATTACAGCCCTGATGGCCTGGTTCATGAAATGAAAAAAGGGGTGGTCTATTTTAAGCATCTTTATCCATCCCTTAATTTTCAGTTCTTACAGCAAAATAACTTCTTTTTAAAATGTATTTGCACAGCATGTTTAAAGAAATAATACACTTAGAATTAACTGTAATTTCATCAATTGTTAATAAACAGTAAAACTGATAAAAGTAATTAAATTTAAATTGTAATAAACGAATTTTTAGAATTAGTTTATGTGAATAATTTATCTGTCTTTCTAATTATTAATAAGATAACATATCCATGATTCGTAAAGGATTTTTTTAAAAAACAGCTGCATCTTAGTTATATTTTGTTATTTCTGTGTCAGAACTAAGCCAGAGCTAGAGATGAATGGGCAATCATGGTTTCTTTCATGAAAATCTCACTACCTCATTCTGGTAAACTTTAGCATAATATTAGGTCACCCTTAGAGCAGCATAGCTTCCACCACAGGCTATTTTCTTCTGCTTCATCATCATCAATTGTGCTGCAAAAGTTGATTTGCTTGTCTGACTGTGATCCACTCCCCTATTTGTGACTTTGGGTGTCTTATAGATATTCGTATGCTGTAAAATAACCCATATATAACCACAAATGGGATTGGGCATTTTTACAATAAATGTGTTATCAATTAACATTTTGTTCCTACAATGCTCAACTAGTAGCATAGGAAAACAAATCAGCTCTTCAGCTTTATATAGAAAAGTCCTAAGGTTGGGAAAATGTTTAATAAATGAAGACCTAGATGTAGCAATTGTATACATTTTAAACCCATTATCTTTATAATTAATATAAACACATTAGAAAATTACTTAACTATTATGTCAAAATGCACATTGAGTGTAAGTAGTTACGAGTTCTGCTGTAAGTAGTAGAAGCAAAGTTTTTCTTGGATCTGAAGTATTTACACAGTTTTGTTCTCTTACAGAATAACCTGCTGATGCTGGCAATTCTGGCCTTTGAAGTTACTATTTACCGACACCAAGAATACTACCGATGTCATAATAATCTCACTGCCCCAGAAACCAAAACTATTTTTCATGATATTACCAGATTACATTTGGATGATGGCATAGTCAATTGTCTTAAGTATTTTATAAACTACTTCTTCTACAAATTTGGTTTGGAGGTAAATTTACACTAGTATGGTTAAAGCAGGACTGGTAGTCCTTATTTAGTGATCACAACTGGGACTGGCATTCAGTCACCAAGTGAAAAATCTGGCCAATAAGTTAAATGTATAATATATATTAAAACATACTGTCACCCACAATCAATCTAAAAAAAAGAAAATTTGAAATGTTTCAGTAGATGCTAGCATTCTTCCTAGGGAGAGAATTTCACAACTGAAGGGGAAGCTAGAAAATCATCTTGGAGGTTCTTGGGTGAGGCTTAGGATATTGTAATCTTGGTTTTGCAAATGTTTTTATAATATATCAAGATATTTGTGCCAAATACTTTTAACATTGTTTCCAATATCTCTTTACTTTTCAAGTAGACGTTTTACCCAGTTAATAGGGATAAGATAGTTAGTATTAATAAGGTGGCCTATAGGCAAAAGAAAAAAAATGATTTCTTTCAAACTGCTAAATAAAGTCTCATGGAGTTTCCAAGGATGAACCTAATGTTCTATTTATCATGGACCACTCCAGATGATATATACATTTTGTACCTTTGCTTTGTTATCACAGAGTTGTTTCCTCTTGTCTGTAAATGTAATTGGTCAGCGAATGGATTTCTATGCAATGATCCATGCCTTTGCTTTAATTGCTGTTTTGTATCGGCGGAGAAGAAAAGCTATTGCAGAAATATGGCCAAAGTACTGCTGTTTTCTGTCATGCATTATTACGTTCCAGTACTTCATATGTATTGGCATCCCACCTGCACCTTGTAAGGGTAAGTGTCCTTTTTGCCTCAAACCAGGGGTCTTCAGACTTGGCCCTTTTATGACTTGTGGACTTCAACTCCCAGAATTCCTCAGCCGGCATGCCTGACTGAGGAATTCTGGGTGTTGAAGTCCACAAGACATAAAAGGGCCAAGTTTGAAGATCCCTGCCTCAATTTTTTACTTCAATAATTACTGTATGTTAGTACCTGCTGAGAAGTAATAAAATAAGTACTTTTAATGGTTTGTTGTAAGCATTCTTGCCTCTATCATTACAGATTACCCATGGAGAAATCCAAATGCCAACTTCAACTCTAATATCATCAAATGGTTATACTTTCCAGATTTTATTGTTAAACCAAATCCAGTCTTTCTTGTGTGTAAGTAATTTTCATCCTTTAAACAAACTTATCATTTATTTCACTCCCAGAGGATATTGTAATACATTTCTAAAGTACATTTCTAGACACGCAACAGATACCAAGATGCTATTGCTAGATTGTAATTTTTTAGCTTTACCTATATACATGTAAGACTTAAAACCCATCATCAGTAAAAAGTTCTGCTCTTAAAAAAAACAGCACTGCTTCCTTTTCATCGTTGCAATAAAGAAGAAAAGATTACAGATATTTAACAACACCCGTATGGAACCTGAATTAAAAATTAAAACTGGAGAAACAATACACATCCTTTTTATCAGAAATAGGCAAAGTGGTGTCCTTTAGATGTTTTCAAGTACAGTTGTCATTATCCCTTATCAGTGGTTATACTGAGTGAAAATTGTGATGCAATACTAGCAATTTGGAAGGCATTAGACTGATCTCTCTAGTTTAACACTTTTCCTTTTGCTACCTGTGTGTGAAATTGCTTTGCCATCCAATTCTTGTATTTCTTATTTTAGTTTAAGGCAAGAATATTAATTCTGTATATGCCAATTTAGATTTGAAAAACAGTTGTCACAGAATATAATTCAGTCTCAGAGTTAACACAGTAGTCAAATAGTCCAAGATTGATATTCCTACAAATTTTCATGATACAGTAAATTGTTAGACAAAAGTGCAGTCACAGTACAGTCCAGCATTGAACACATCAAAAGTTTTGAATGAATAGTCAAAATTCAAAAGATAAAGTAGCAAAGGATCATCAGAGCCAGGAAAATGTAAAGTGGAAATATTTATGCTTTGTAGTCTCACAGCCTTCTAAATTTGTCTCAAACCTTGGACTTAACTGTAGAAACTAAGCTACTGAGGAGTAGCAACCTATTTTTAAGTAAGCCATTCTTCCAGAGAAAATTATTTTCTGAATATTGCTACTCATTCCTACCTCTTTGCTCTTTGTGTATCACAACATGGTTCTGCCCCCATACTGATGCTAGGCTTATACTGGGCCCTTAGTCTTCCTCTTTATATGAAAAACATGTGAGATGTCCATCACATCTATATTCAATTCAACACCTTCTTCCATCAGATGATTTCATGTTACTACTATGTGCATCCTTACAAAGGCAAACATTTGAAGATGAGAATAAGGCTGCGGTACGCATCATGGCTGGAGACAATGTAGAAATCTGCATGAACCTTGAAGCAGCTTCATTTAGTCAACACAATCCTGTTCCTGATTTTATTCATTGCCGGTAAGATCTGGATAATGACTATTAACATAGGCTTTTATTACTTTTTCCCAGAAATCAGATCCTCTTTGTGAGCTTTGAATTGGTAAGGTTCAGAATTGAATTTCTGCAACTTTATTGCAGTTGTCCTTCACACATGTTGTCTAATGTTGCTATTTTCTAAGGTGGGATAAGATTATCAAATAACAGAATTTTGTTCTTTATATAAGAATATATAAAATTGTAGGACAATCAGATATAAAGTATGTAATATATAAAATTGATCAATAAAAGAAGTATAAGATGTTACATAATGTCTATCTAATTGTCCTGCAAGTAGAACAAGCACCTGTAACAGAATAAATTCTCTTTTTCTCTTCAGCTCTTCTTTATCTTTAATATCTACTCCAAAGGTTTATAGTAGTTAGGAGCAGATTTCTGGCAGAGATAAAGATAGAGGAAGTCTTGTTGCATGATAAATTTATGTAGCATTGATTACATGCTATGTTCTTAAGTACATTAGATGGTCTCAAATCAAAAGAAATTGCAAGAGCTCAATTTTCTATAGTCAGCTCTCTGAATTTATCAGTTTGGTGATAAATTACATTACTACAAGTGTTACTATTTTACTTTTTGGCTCCAAAATAAAAGTTTATAGAAGTGAAAAAATTCACCTTTCTTCCATACTTTCAAAGAATCATTGCTTTTGCATGGAAAGAAGGAAGGAAATCATTGGCCACCTCAAAAAGACCTTTCCGTTTCTCTATTACAAATTCTAGAATTTACATACCAATGTTTTGATAAATTCCCTTAAATTTATCATAAATAAAATTACCCAAACATTATGAATGAAACAAATAAAAAAGTGAACAGTTGAAAACAAAGCTATCAGAACAATAATTACAATAGCTATCTAGAATTATAAAAATATAAATTAATTTTAAATTTGTTATTTTAGCATAAAGTATGAATGCTCCGAGTCATTTTCCTCTCAAAAGTAAGCAGCTTGCATGTTGCGGTTAAAACATAACCTCATCAAACATGCAGAGGGAAAGTGGACATTCTGTCAAATGTTCTGAATTTTATTCCTTATTTTCTCTGAGCAAACTAATAGCAAACAATTGCTGTGTCACAAAATTTGAGAAGCCCTGTGGTATTTAAATTACAGTGTTTTATGTGTGTGTGTGTATTCTTGCCAAATATAATCTCAATGCACTAATTAGTTTTTTTATTCATCAGTAATAGTGGAATCTGTTATAAATTCATTTACCACTTAGGAGCTCTCTGCATCCCAGAGTTTGAAAAACCCCTGTGTAATGGATAATATTTTCTTTTAAACACATAATCATGTCATCAATATGTATTATATGCTGAATACTTGTTAAGAAAAATTATTTCATTGTACATTAAAATGTATATGACCTGAATATAAATTTGATAACTCTCATTCCTACTTTGTTTTGTAACAGATCTTATCTAGACATGAGTAAAGTGGTTGTGTTCAGTTATCTCTTCTGGTTTGTTCTCACTATCATCTTTATAACGGGAACCACTCGGATCAGTATATTTTGTATGGGATACTTGGTAGCCTGTTTTTATTTTCTACTTTTTGGAGGAGATCTGTTACTAAAGCCAATCAGGAGCATCCTTCGATATTGGGATTGGCTGATTGCTTATAATGTGTTTGTGATTACAATGAAAAATATATTATCGGTAAGTATCTTCCTTTTTTGAAATTATTATTAAATGTTTCCGAAAATAAATGTATACTTGTTATTTTACTTATGTTAGTGCAAAGAGTCCCACCACCCTAGTTCATCTTTTTCTTGCTCTCTAGAAACCATTCAGCTCTTGACATCAAAGCGTTGTGGTTATAAATAACAGTGTTTTTCAACCTTAGCAACTTTAAGATGTATGAACATTGATTCCTATTCTGGGAGTTGATGTACACACATTGTAAAGTTGCCAGGGTCAAGAAACACTGATATACAGTATACAGTACTGAGGATAGGTGGCTGAATATTGAAAATATTTATTTCCATTCTTTCCTTGCCTTTGAGGCTTCTTCAATCTCCATTCAGTATTACTTGTTCCAGATTGCTTGGAGCTCTAAACAGAAACAATTAATGTTTATCATTGCAGCTTTAGCTGCAAGTTCCCTCTTTGTACTGAGATATCTACCATAGAGTTGATGGCCTTGATTGTATCTGATATGGTCACAAATTGAAATAAAAAATAAGGGGAATTTTGCAGTATTGATACTGGATTATTTATAAAGCAATTCTTGTTTTATTGTATTTATGACATTACAATGAAAGAAGTCAAAAGAGAATAACACTATTTAAAAAGTTATGGAAGAAAGTACTGCATTGAGCATATTCAGTTGAAGAGTAATAAACATTGAAGAAAAGAATAATTCAATTTCTCTTTTTTTATCTTTGTGTAAACAGTTATATCTAGTAGTATTAACAAGCTTTTATTTTATTATAATATTTATTTATTTGCTTGTCTAGTTAAAAATTATAGAAGAAATTACTGCAGTGAGTATATACAGTTTAGTTACAAACATTAAAGAAAAGAAAAATTCAATTTCTCTTTTTTGCATTTTTGTGTAGTATTAAAGTATTGACAGGCTTTTATTTTAATTTCTTTTGTCATATCAATTTCTATTTATTCCAGATAGGAGCATGCGGCTACATCAAGTCATTGATCAACAATAGCTGTTGGGTGATTCAAGCATTCAGTCTGGCTTGTACAGTTAAAGGTTATGACATTCGTAAGTATAGACCTATAAAGTTCTTTGTCTAATTCCATTAATGTCTTTCAGATACCCTTCATTTAAAAAACAATAAGCATACTTGTTTCTCCTCTGAAATTGAAAATTATTTTTATAATAAATAATAAAAATAAATTCAGATTGGTAAATAAATAGTTGGTGGAAAAAACATTTTTCACTGAGAATCTAGCACCATTTTTATACATTTTGTTCAAGATAGACAGAAGTGTTTTTTTTAAATTTTGAAGTACCGTATATGCCGGCGTATTAGGCGACCCAGCATATAAGACGACTCCCGTCTTTATAGCCGGGCCGCATTCCTAGAACGTCGTCTTATACGCCAGAAACTACCAGTATTTCCGGCGTATAAGACGACTTGGCGTATAAGACGACCCCCATCTTTGGCGCCGATTTCAGCGCTCGCGGAAGTCGTCTTATACGCCGGCATTTACGGTAATAGCATATATGAAGCACACTCTAACCAGATATTGTATCTGATAGTGTCATCATGCAGGTTGTATTTTGTTATTCATATAGACTTTAGACCTAATTACTACAAATGCTATTCTGCATTTTTAAAAATTATGTTTCCTTACTTTTCATGTCTTTCCTATTTAAAAACTGCTGATTAATTTCAGAGTTTGTATTCTTGCAGTTATTATAGTTAGCTTCTTGGCTTTTAATTATCACAGGAAAGCTTCTTGTGTTATAACCCTGTTGCGATTCATGTCACTTTGGTATAGAACGAAGAACCTATATATAAATGTAGCACAAAGACTACAACAATATAGAAGAAGAGAAATAAGGACCATCCCGTTGTGACATTTTCAATTCTTGGCCCTCTGAGATGTTCCCCTAAAGGAGATGGTCTTCTGCATTTATCTTCCAGTTGTTTCCCAGATTAGAATTTGAGTTGGGACACAGGAGAAATGTACATACAAGTAGAGTCACAAATAGATAATTCTTCTCCTGCCCTACCTGTGTGATGTTTAAATCTTGCAGACATGGATTGAAAGTTCCTAAACCTTTTTGTTCTCTTTGGTCAGATTAGAAAAAAATCTTGTAATATTTTGATGCTTTGATGCTTTGGATGTTTGTTTTTGTCAGCTTTGGATGACCCAGAGTGTAAATTGCCAAGCGGAGAGGCAGGAATAATCTGGGACAGCATTTGCTTTGCTTTTCTGTTGCTCCAAAGAAGAGTTTTCATGAGTTACTACTTCCTTCATGTTATTGCTGATATTAAAGCTTCACAGATTCTGGCATCCAGGTAAAGTTAAGCATTGTATTTTAATAACTGTATAGATCCATGCAGACATATGTTTTGATTAAATATTTTACAAACTATAAAAGTGAAATGAAATATATAATTTGTATAAATTAATCAAGGGAAGCTCTTATCACAGATCTGAAAATTCATATATTAGGAAAGTCAACCTTATGAATACATTTCAGAATATTTTCCTTATTCTCGCTGTTTCAGCAAATCTGTTGAATCAATTTCATGTTCCGTTTCCATCTTGGTGGCAAAATTGTGACTGTCATCCTATGTGTTTTTGTTGCATTGTTTTTATCAACAACAACAACAACAATAATAATACGTATTTATTTTTCAGAGGTGCTGAACTTTTCCAAGCCACAATTGTGAAAGCTGTAAAAGCAAGACTTGAGGAAGAGAAAAAATCAATGGATCAATTGAAGAGACAGTATGCTTTTCTTTTCCCTTAAAAATTCCTTTCTGGACGCTGGCACATAACACTACCACATTAATCAAAACAAAAGTATTTAATCATTAACTTATCATTGATGCTGTAGAAGGCAGTGAGAACCTTTGGAATTTTGAGAGCAGCTCATGAATATTATAGTTCCATCAAATAAGACATAGCTAATAACAAAATAAGTGAAAGTCAAGTAACATCTAGTGGTGATTACAACCCTATATAATGTACATATTAGTCCAGCACAAACATCTGTAACTTGGTTAAGCCATACTTCAGAAGACAATTTACAATGCTGAGTGTAAGTGTATATCAGCTCACATACCTATGAGTACTGAGATTCTGTTGACCCCCCCCCCCAAAAAAAAGATGATGGGGAAACACAAGTGGAGATATTACAGTTCTTCTGCAATTTATAATTTAGAAAAAAAATCAGGCATTCTCATTCAGTGTTATATACAACTTTGTATAATTTCTTTCTATGCAAATGTTTATTCTGATATAAGCAGTAATGTCATTTGATAATATATTAAAAATATCATATAATAGTTTTACATTTTTGTCCTCTTTGGGTCCACAAAGATAATGATTTAATTCTGAGAGTGCAAATTCTCTTTTGACAGGATGGATCATATCAAAGCCAGACAACAGAAGTATAAAAAGGGTAAAGAAAGGGTGATGAGCATGAGTCAAGAAGCCTCAGATGAGCAAGCAATTCAAAAGGTTGCTGAAGAAGAAGAAGATGATGATGATGGTACTATTCCTTCACTATATCCGACGTTGGTATTTATTGTTTGGACCTTAGTATTATTAACATAAATATATATAGGAAAGTACAGTGCCTCATCCAGACATTTGTTGGGGGGGGGATTCACAATCTGCTCCTCTGCATATTTATTTGGGAATAAATCCTACTTTCTTCTATAATATCCCTTTCTTGCCCTTCCTTTTCACTGCAGTGGAAGAATAACATTTGGTTATCTACAAAAATATGTTATCCCTTTCTCTGAAGAATGGGTTGGGGTTGGAATGCTAAAATATAACGTAAAATTGTAGAATATAACAGATCTTTTAAGGGTTGATATATAGAACACAGTTCATATTGGAATTTGAACTGGTTTTCTGTATGATACCTAAACAATTTCAGAATAGCAAACACATTTTTTTATCTTAAGAGATTTTTTTTTATTTGAAACAAAAATTGAGTCAAGAAATGTATTTTATGAATGCAAATAAATACTTTGGGTTTCAGTTGTTTTAGTTTTTATATGATGGATTTTAATTTGCTGCAACTTAGTTTTAATTTATAATAAATAAGCATTTTAACAACTCCTTAAAGATAGAGAAATTTGAAGGCAAATTCTATTTTATTTCTATATCAGATTAGCCAGGTTCTATGAATAGAGTAATTATAATAATAGTAAGCAAATACTTTTTGTGTTTTGTTTCTTGAAAGCATTAGAATTGGGTCTGCTCTTGCACAGATTGCAAAAAATGGAAAAAAATATAAGGCATAATATGTTTTTCACTTTGTAAAATTAATGCTTGGACATATTTCATTTTAGGAGAAGCAGACAAAGAAAAAACCAAGGGCAAAAAAAAGCAGTGGTGGCGGCCTTGGGTTGATCATGCTTCCAGTAGGTTTCTCAATCATCTTTAAAGTACATGAATTTAGCCCTTATATCCTTGACCAGAATGGAGGCATTCCCAAGACTTATTTGTTTTATGCATGGTTTTATACTTGTGACTTGGTAGTCATATGGACTCAAAAGATTTGACAGAGAAAAATCATGTTTCTTTTAGGCAACCATATCTTGATGCAAGTTCCAGTTAGCTCCTTAAGCAAATATTCACTATGTGGAAGAAAAATACAGTAAATATTTTGCAACTATTTCTGCTGTAGCAAAAATACCGATGCAATTGTTTAACAAATATTCCAGATTTTTATTTATGTCAAGTCACAAGTAAACTGTACCTATGCATATATATATATATATTTGTACATATATTTATATTTCTAAAGGGCATGATGAAAATTTATAGAGACCTATCCTATTTTCAGAAGACCCAGCTGTTGTTTTACTTTTCAGAAAAATAAATCATTACAAGTAATGTGTTTTGAATCTGTAGCTTTTCCAAAAGGACCAGGGTATGGTCTCTGTTAATCCTCATTAGTCTTGCTGCTACAGAAAAATGGTTGAAATTCAGATAATAAGAATGACTCAAAGACTATAGGGATCCAAGGTTATCTTTTGCAGTAGATTTTATTCCAGGCAGAAAGTGGAGTGAATTAGTATACTTACCCTCTTTCTCTTATAGTCTACTGTGAAAGTGACCTGCATCCATACATAAACTTGTTAAATTATTCCAGTTCATTTCATTCTTTTTGATTCATTTTACCCTCATTACATGTTTTAGGAAACCACTATAGAATCCATATTATTGCAATAATGCATATACTTGTGAACAGCAACCTGTGGCCAAGCCCTGAAAATGAATATTATCCACTAGCATTGTATGCCCTTTTAAAATAATTATCCACAAGTCAGAACAGTAATTCCATATTTGGTAAGCCAAGATCATTTCTAAATATTTAAATATAATATTTGAAGATTACTGTTGTATCTCAACAGAAAGTGTCCATTATCTTATGCCTTCTATGCTAACATAGAATTCTCAGGGCTTTTCTTCTGCATGGCATGAAAAACATGTTTTCACACACCGGTTGCTCTCTCTCTCTCCAAAACATTTGCAAAATCAATCTGTGGAGAAGAAAATAATATTGTTTCACTGGTTTACTTGCTGTAACATCCTCCATTTAAATGATCAGTTACAACCGATGTGTGAAGAAATGGTTTGTAAGTAGAGAGGTATGATCTTTTTGAAAATTAAGCTGCAATTTTCAGTTAATCATATTTCTTTACCACATTAATTAATGCCTGCAAGAGTGCATTATTGCAGTTTAATCATACCATCCTTCTACAGATATATCAACTTATATTAATCGGGTATAGTCCCTGCAATGTGCAGTTGAATTATATAAGACTTACTAATGACTTCTGTTAAGGACATTGGGAGACAATACTTATAATAAGAGAATAAGTTAAATTATTAAAGATTATTATAATTTATTTGTCAGTTCATTTACTAGTAAGAAATGGATGAATTATTTTAATACTTATAGTTATAAAAGAACAAAAGTTTAGATAAATGCATTTTGAGGAAAGAAACTGATAACTTTTCCTAATTGGATCCCACTGTGAACAACTATATAATTTAGAATTATTGTTCACATAAGATGTCATATATACTCATATTGCAAGTATGGAACACATTGTTACCGAGGAGCAGTGGTGGGATTCAGCCAGTTCGCACTAATTTGAAAGAACTGGTAGCTAATTTTTTGTTGACTTTGGCAAACCAGCTGATGCCCTAGCCCAGTGGTTCTCAACCTTTCTAATGCCGTGACCCCATAATACAGCTCCCCATGTTGTGGTGACCCCAGGGGCGTGGCCACCGAGTGGGTGTGGCCACCGAGTGGGTGTGGCCACCGAATGGGTGTGGTCACTGAGTGGGCGTGGCTACTGAGTGGGCGTGGCCGCCAAGTGGCCGCCGCGGGTCCCATCGCCGCAGCAGATGAACAGCTGCCCTTCCTCTTCCTTGACGCAATCTTTCGCCTGCCCCAGTGACTCCCTCCCCTTTCTGGGGTCCAGGCATACCCTCCGGAGCCCCGGTGTTTACCGACTGCAGGAAGCGCAGGGTGCCCACGTAATCCTGCTCGGTTGAGGACACAGAGGCGAAGACGCAGCTGGCGGTCCGTATCCTTTGCCGGTTCCAAAGGGAGAGCACTGGTGCCGGGGGCCACTGCCCCCGCCGCCGCTGCCACCGACGGCTCAGATACCGACTGCACTTCCATGGCTCCTGCCTGCCTCAGCTTCCAGATCATCCGACCCCACTTTCCTCACTCCGTGGCCGGCTTTAGGCGCCCTCCATCCCCGAGGCGCATGCCAAACGCACCACAAGGATCGAGTCTCTCGAGCTCGACCTACCAGCAGGAGCGCCGCGCTGGGACATGGCGAGGAGGCGGCGTCGGCAGCTAGGAGCAGAGCACAAACAGCGCTGAATGGAGAGAAGTGTTTCTCTCCATTCAGCGCTGTTTGCGCTCTGCTCCTCATAGCCGCCGCCGCCTCACCATGTCCCAGCGCGGCGCTCCTGCTGGTAGGTCGAGCTCGAGAGACTCGATCCTTGTGGTGCGTTTGGCGTGCGCCTCGGGGATGAAGGGCGCCTAAAGCCGAGCGGGGAGTGGAGCGTGCGCCAGCAGGAGCGCCGCGCTGGGACATGGCGAGGAGGCAGCGGCGGCTACGAGGAGCAGAGCGCAAACAGCGCTGAATGGAGAGAAACACTTCTCTCCATTCAGCACTGTTTGCGCTCTGCTCCTCGTGGCCACCGCCGCCACCTCCTCGCCATGTCCCAGCGCGGCGCTCCTGCTGGCGCACGCTCCACTCCCGCTCGGCTTTAAGTGCCCTCCATCCCCGAGAGAGACTCGATCCTTGTGGTGCGTTTGGCGTGCGCCTCGGGGATGGAGGGCGCCTAAAGCCGAGCGGGGAGTGGAGCGTGCGCCAGCAGGAGCGCCGCGCTGGGACATGGCGAGGAGGCGGCATCGGTGGCTACGAGGAGCAGAGTGCAAACAGCCCTGAATGGACAGAAGCGAGTGGTGAGTGGAGCGCGCGAAGGGACTTGACCAGGGCAGCGGGCAGAGGGGAGGGTCGGCTCCGGAGGCGGAGGTGGCACTCAGAAGTGAGGGAGGGGGTGGTGGCGAGACGAGCCCAAAACAGTAGTCTGGAGAGCGCAGCAGGCGACAAGGGGAGAGGCCGGAACAAAGAGAGAAGCGGCTGGGCAGCAGGGAAAATGAGGGGATTTCTACGATACGATGCAAAAAAAAAAAAACCTTGCCTTGGCACAATGGGAAATAGTGAGAAATTGATGCACAAAAGTAATTTGGGGCTCATGTTGCTTTGCGATCCTTGACGCTTAGAGAGATAAGTATGCAAGAATTTTTGATTCATTTATTTAACTTTAACAAAACGAACTACAAACTTAAACTCCACTGAAATAATTAGAGAGTACCCGTATACGCCGGAAAATACAGTACATATATTCCTCTGCCAAGCAGAGGAAGCTCAGCGGCAGGCCAGAGAGGAAACTTACTGTTTTTAGTTGTTTTCTCTCTTGCTTTCCGCTGCTTGCTCTCTCTCGCTTGTCCTCTGTATTGCTTTCCTCCACGTGCTCCGAAACCGAAACTTCCTAACTTTAAATAGAAAAAAGCTGCGCATGCGCAAGGAGGAGGGAGGCAGGAACGGCACTTTCTATATAGCCAAATAAGGAAGTAGAACAGTTAGAAAAGGGGAAAAAAATGGCGGACAGCGGGGTTTGGCAACCCCCGTGAAATGGTCGATCGACCCCAAATGGGGTCGCGACCCATAGGTTGAGAACCGCTGCCCTAGCCCTTTTTTGCAAGGCTCAGAATGGACCACCAGAAGTGCGTGGACCCCACTTCCAGTGGGGTGTTCTGAGCCGGGGAGGCCTCCCTGGCTCAGAACGGACTTCTGGAAGGGGCATCCATGGACTTCCGGTGAGCCGTTCTGGGCCTGGGAGGTCTCCCTGGCTCAGGACCATCTTCCAGAAGTGGCGTCCATGCAGAGAACTGGTTGTTCTAGTATTTGAATCCCACCATTGCCAAGGAAATTCATACTGTCCCCTGGGCTAGTATAGACCTATTCTTTCTGCAACTGTCACTATACATATTTTACAACCAATGTGATTTTTTTATAAGTAGATTTACATGTTTAGCAGTCATATTTATGCAAACAACTACTCATACTTTTAGGAGATACCAACTACACATACATCCTAGATTACATAGTATAATTTACAAAATATATATTGGTATATGACATTAGAATAACTGAGTCTAAAATTAACTCCAATTCGCAGCTAAGTAATTTTAATTATAATTTTATAATTATAATTTTAATTATAAAATTTCTAAAGTAGTAAAATTCAAATAAAAAAGAGTTTTCTATATAAAAAAATCTATACTATGGATTAATTTTGTGTAGTTCATAAATGAGGAAGATGTGATCAAAACCATAATTGTATACAGCAATAGCAATAACACTTTTATGTACTGCTCCATAGTGCTTTACAGCATTCTCTGAGCGGTTTACAATATCAGCATATTGCCCCCAACACTCTGGGTCCGTATTTTATCGACCTCAGAAGGATGGAAGGTTGAGCCAGTCAGGATCGAATTCTTGTGGGCAGAGTTTGCCTGCAATAGTGCATTCTAACCACTGCACCACTACAGTTTCTTCTATGATAGTCAAGCTTTTTGTTCCTCATTTTAGATAATTCTCTGACTACACTTACTTCACTGTTCAATTTTCTAGCTTTTCATTGTTCTGTATTATTTGGATACTTCTCTCAGTTGTTTCTACTTCTCTTTAACCTTCAAGCTAAAGAAAATTTTTCTATAGCCTAGTCAGGGCACAGTTTATCAATTTATCTTTGATCTAGGATACATTATTTAATACATGCTTTAGATAAAATAGAGGATAAGGTATGATTGAATAATTTATTTTTTATGGTTCAGAAAGCTATATAATGAGGGTCAAATATAATCTCAAAAGTCATTCTATCTGTGTTTCTTATTGTAATAATCAATATATTAAAATATTTTCCTTTATTTGAAAACATTGTCTTAATAGGCAAATGTAATGCTGTTACTTTAATTTTATCTCTTGCTTAATCTTTTATTTTTAATTTATGTTTTCCTTTTTTGATCCATTTGGACCTATTAGCTTATTTAATGTTTAAAAAAATGAGCTTCTGTTCAAGGATATAAGGCCCAGTTCATTCATATTATCTTTCGACTTGAAGATATGGAGGCATCCATTTCACAATTTACAAGCAAAAAGTGTATTTATCTTTTTCTTAATATTAAACTTAAAGATTATAGCAAAAGAGAAGAATGCTTCCAAATGCTAGCAGACTTTTAGCAGTATTACCTTTTTGTAGTTGTTCTTTTTGGGAGGGGGAAGGGAGCACATATTAATTTAATATGCTCCTCTGGAATTAAAAAATTCTCAACCTCTCACAAATGAAAAAAACAATTTTGGAAGTTATGAATGTTGCAAACTTTCATTAACATATTCCAACTTTTTTCTCAACTTTTCTTCTGATCATTGTATAAGGTTCCTATTATTGAGGTTTCTTTTTTGTGATGACAAACATCCCAAGTGATCTCTGTACCTTGCTTGTCTTTTCTCCACTTTTGTACATCCTGCCACTGATTCCTATAATCAGGCTTACTTCTCTGAGTCTTTGAGTCATGGCTCAGTATAGACCTTATGAGAATTGTTTCCTTATGAGAAATAAAAAGAATATTTTATTTTGCTTAGTGGTCAGAAGTGGAGACTATTATTTGTTTGAGTCGGACAGTGAAGAAGAGGAGGAGGAGGAAGGAAAGGAAGAGGAAGAGCCTCCCAAAAGATCTGCTTTCCAGGTACTGTTTTCACTTGCATGGTATTCCTACAAAAAAGAGTGGCTACCAGATGTGCTCAAAATGGTGGCCACAACAATTCTGATCACATCTATGCCTATTTTTTATGTGCATTGCCATCTTGACTTTTTCTCCATACATTTCCTAAAAAGACAACTTGATTAGTCTAAATTGCAGTGAAAGAATGAAGATGTATATTGATTCTCTTTAATTGATTCTTGTGTACATCATAGTTGTCATAGTTCTGTAATGCAACAATGGTATTGGAAATGGATTTCCATTCAATTATGCATGTAGCACAGCTATTTTTAAATAAGGCTTTGTGTTCTTAAATCTATTCTTTAATGTATCAGAGCAAAGTTATAAAAAAAACCCTCTCAGTTTCTATTACTTGATATTGTTTAGATGCGTTTTGGCTTGGGTAAAACAACTGCAGATTCGAAGATAAATGTTTGTAAGCATAGATCTTTGAATAAATCTCTAGTTACAAATAAGAGGCCAACAATATATTGAAAATAAATGTATCTAGATTACAGAAAAGTTAGCCAATACTTTTTGATACAACAGACTCCAGCAATCTGATTAATTTATGCATATTCAGATTCAGAACATTCATCTAGACATCAAAGGGGCAAAAACAAATAAGATGGATCCACAACTAGAGCTGTCCTCTGAATGTTTTGAACATACCCACACACCCATGGATAACCCTATATGTGTGTTCATAAAGTAGGACAACCTGGTATTAGATGTTTTCCATGGGCTAAATTCTTTGAAGAGACCATAGAGGTAAATCAGCATGGAAAATTATATCATAGTCCAGATACATGTGATCCTCTCACATCTGCATCCATAATTGTACAGCTGATTCTCAGTAAAATGATAGAAGTTTTTAAAATGAAGATTGGGATTGTTTACGTAAGAGCTTGTGGTAAATTGAGCATGTTAAATTCTATCATGTGTCATATAATTGGGTTCAATTCAGAGAGCAGATTCACTCTCTATACTTTACATTTTGCCTAAATAAGTATTATAATTTTTGTTTGTTAATTTGACTTCTTTTTCTAACTATCCCAATCCAAAGAGACTTTAGGCAGATAGCAACAGCAACATGCATGAATTAATCAATTCAGTTATCATATTTAAGCCTATATTGTGATGGTGCCTATAATCAGTATGGGCCAAAGACACTTATGGGGAGAGAGGACTCCACAAACAGGGATACCATAGAGAGGCCAGAATTCTTGTCCACATCTCATTGGTTTTGAAACCTCTTTAGAAGTCGAGACCAATGAACAAATTAAATTCAAACGAGATGTTATTCAAAATAACCCACTGAATAAATTAAACATTTTGATTTTGGTCTTGAAGCTTGCTGGTAAACAAATAGTGGCTATAAAATAGTGGCTTTCTCCATTGTTAGGATTGTCCTTCCAATAGTCTGGCTGCTGCATTTTGTATTAGCTGCAGCTCATACAGAGAATCTTGCATTAGTAGTTAATCTAACTGAAATTGTAATACCAGCTTCTCATGCTATCCTTTATAGGACAGATTGATTTTACTTTTTAATGATTGAATATATTTATTAATTTATATTAACATACACGATAAATACCAATTACAAAAGATGTATTGTTAATTTGAAACTCAGGCAGTATTTTCTAGTTTTATCAGAGATACTAGTTTATCGTTCATGAGTTGAAAGTAATTTTGTGTCTTATGGATTTAAAAATTATATAAATATCCTGAGTTTATATTGCTTTATCCTAAACTGTTCTGATTTTTATTGTACCCTTCCTATTTATTTTGCAGCAGATGAATTGGGTTTTTTTAATCTGAGAAATTATAGAATGGTATAGTATGTGTATATGTCTGTCATGAATTTTTTCTCCATTCATAAAGCTATTAGCGACAGAGACAAGGATTTGTAACTATATCTGTGAAATACTGAAGATTCATTTAGAATGTGCTTTCCTAATCCGGATTACTAATATATAATTGTTACTCGTGTAACTAAATAACTTTTATGCACTGTCCTGTAACTAAATCTAATGCGCTGCTAAATTGAATGCTCAGTTAACATTGTATAAGTCTGTTTTAACTTAATATCAATCCTATTGCTAATAGAATTGTACAGTGTGTTTCTTAAAATATTAGCCTTTACATTTTCACTAATTTGTCTTGCTTTATCCTTCTTCATAGAGAGCTATTGCGAAATTTGCTTCAGCCATTTTAGCCTTGCCAAAGTCTGTTATTAAACTGCCCAAAACTATTCTTCAATATTTAATCAGAGCTGCAAAGGTATTTGATATTCTATACCATGTAGAATAATATCTTGTTCCCATTGTATTCTGGCAGAATATCCCTTTACTGCATTTTTCATCTTAATATGAATTTGAGGAGGTTTTGGGACAACCAAGGATTTGACTTACATTTTCAATTTACAAACGTGATGATGAGATATCTTAATTTAGCTATAGTTATTAATATCGGAAAGAAAATGCAGAGCCAAATCTTGGCACAATCCTAGACTTTTTGTCTAAATTGTATTAAGCAGATTCCATCAAATTGCATGCATTTATAGGTACTGGATAAATTAATTAAGGGATTTTGCTCTATATGATAATATTTGTCAGGAAGATTGCACAAGAATGCAAAACAGAAGGTAGATTTATGGAAAATTTGGGAGTCTGTATGTAAGAACAGCTTACATAAAACATCTCTGAATTTGTCCAGTCAAAAGTTGCTAATATGGAACATTATATATATATATATATATATATATATAATGGAATATTTTTTAAAATACATATATTAATAGACACCAAAGTGTGTATGTCTAAAGCAGAAGTTTTAAATACAGCTAAAGTAACATTAGTGATTTATCTAATGATGGCATATTCCACCTTTCCTGGGAGTCTAAGCATGCTTATCTTGCCAATAAACAATCTTCTATTTATTTTCTCATCTGCTTTCTTTTGCATGCATCTATATATTTGTGTTGGCTATAGCTAATAAGTGTCATTAGTAATACAGTGCTAGCTAGTAAAAGATTTGTTATCACAAAAATATTTGTATTAATCATATGGGATATGGATTGGATTAGGGAATAATATGAAAGTCTGTAGGTAAATTATTGCTTCATTTTTAGATTATTGAACACAATTGTTATAGATTCATATCAAATTCATAAGAATCCACAGTTCTGCTCAAATGTTTTGGTTTATAAAAGTTACAAATATTATTTGAAATATTTCAACTTGAATGAATATTTCCTTAAATGGTTTATGTTTTCATAATCTCCCAATACTAAATACATTTTCCAAATTTATATGCTTTTTGTTATCTGCTTAACATTTACTTACTAGAGAATATGAATAAACTGATTTTTTTCCCTCTAGTTTCTTTATCAGGCCTGGATTACTGATCCTAAAACTGCCCTACGACAGAGGCGCAAAGAAAAGAAAAAGAATAAAAAAAGGCAGAAAGTATCTGATGAAGGTATGCTTCAGAAATATTCTCAGCTATCTCTGTTAGCTATACAAATAGCATTTTCCACTCTGATTGTAGAAGAACCATAGTTTGCATTCAGAAAATCACAGGTAGCTTCCATAGTTTTACTGAGATCTCTAGTTGGATTTTCAGGAAATTATGATTTCATGGAACTTACCAATCACAATGTGGTTTTTCAGTTTAGTCACATGGAGTCTAGGCAGCCAAAAAAATTATTGAAATAAAGTCTACCGGAATAAAAAAAAGGAAACAGAATAAGGAAATTCAAGATTTAATCTTTGTTTGCTAGTTTATCAGTACTCATCATGGGCATTATATAGACTAATATTACTGTTAGATGGCTACTGGAGAATAACAACTAGAGTGTTAAATGTCTATGGAGATTCTTACTCATCCAGGTCATGGTTGTCCCAAAAGTGCTTTTTCAAGGGACAACTGGACTTTCTCTTTTTTTCTTTGAAGACATTTCATTTCTCATCCAAGAAGCTTCTTCGGCTCTGACTGGATGTTGGGGAATGAAAGGATTTATATTTCTTGCATACAGCTGGTCATTTGCATTCTTGAGGCCACTTGGAGGTTTATCTGTGTATTCGGGGTCACCTGTGAAATGCAAATGGGTGTGGAGCCTTCTTGGAACTGCTGAAAGGACTATGTGGTCATTGAGAAGTTGGAGCTGTGCTTTCTGCAGGATGAATAATGGGATGAACACCCTTCGAATGGTGCGGGACTACTGGTATGAACAGATTTCCAGAAAAATTGCAGACTACAAGAACCATTTGTGCTTCAGTTTGAGATGCAAATAACACAGACTCATCCCCAACAGCCTGCGTCTGTGATCAGCAGTGAAGGGACACAGAGCAGAAAATATCCTGCAGAAAGCACAGCTCCAACTTCTCAATGACTACACAGTCCTTTCACAGTTCCAAGAAGGCTCCATACTCATTTGCACTACTCAAGTGACCCTGAAGACACAGATAAACCTCCAAATGGCCTCAACTACTCTCTAAAATAATGCAAATGACTAGCTGTCTGCAAGGAATATAAGTCCTTCCATTCCCCACCATCCAGGCAGAGCTCTTGAAAAAGCACCTTTGGGACAACTAGAGTGTTGGTTTTGGTTTGCGGAAAAAGGTAATGTTGGTCAAGCAATCAGTGCAAAGTATTAATTTAGCAGTGTAGCATCATTAAAAAGCTTCGTTTTGTGTTCAATAAATATATTTAATTATGTGTTCAGTAAAAAAAAGGTAATTGAAGTCAGTAAGTCTAATTTTGCTCATTCTTTCATTTTGATTTGTCAGTTGAAATAGATATGGAGGGTGCAGAAAGAGATGAACCTGTCAAAAGTAAATCTGATGGCCCTGGTAAGCAAAGAAGCAAGCTAAGTTTTCATTTTAAATAATAGCAGCTGAACGTGCAGCTCTATTATCTCTAAAATAAAGATAATAATCTTTATATACTGCAGAAGTTACTGATATTTTTATCTTGAAAGTCACTTAAATGTTAAATGTTATATAATTCAAGCTAACTTCCAAACATTAGTTGGAGTCTGGCAAGTTGTTCAGGTACCATTTTCAGTTAAAAGGTATTGCAGTCATAATCATTTTTCATATCAATCACTACTTTTTGAACAGAAAAAATACTGCTGAGAGTGCAAATAGTACATTGGGTAGAAGATGTTGATTGACTACAAAGTGATTTTAAAGCCAAATGCAAAATTTAAGAAACATTCTGGCAATAAACATTTTTGTATAAGCAAAGCAAAGTCCATAGCATGATCTAACAATTATACTAATAGATATTAAAATGAAATAAGTTTAATTCTGAAGTTTTGCTAATCACTAACCCTTGGAGATAGAAATTCCATAGAAAACAATGTCATCGGGTGCACATCAAATAAAGAGTATGTTTTCCTGTGTTTGTTAGAACGTACCCTCAGATAATGGTTCTTGGTTCTGATTTTTGTTATAACATTCATAACTGTTGAGTATCATTTTGTAAACCATGTTTTCCTGTTTCTTTCTCAGATAATATCTTTAAAAGAATATATAACATTTTGAAGTTTACCTGGGTTCTTTTTCTGGCGACAATAGACAGTTTTACAGCTTGGCTAAATTCAATTTCAAGAGAGCATATTGATATCTCCACAGTATTAAGAATTGAGAGATGCATGCTAACTAGAGAAATAAAAAAGGTACTACAACGTATTCATTTATTTTTCATAATGGTAAAAAAACAGATATGTGATTTCAGGTTTAATTTGATTTACCTGTTGGAGGGTGGTTAGAATCTTATAAATAGCAGCTTCGTTGTATTTTCTTATTTCCTGAAATGCTAAAATGAATAATTTTGGTTTTAGTTTTGTTTTATTTTATGCTTTTTTGCTGTCATAAAGTATGCAGGAAAATTTTAGGAGTGACATATAAAGAAAAACAATACTACAATACTCATGCGTCTCATATTCATGAGGCTGCAGGATTTTTAATTGACTTTACAACTCTAACTTGGGGTTTATTTTTTTGTCTTTTAAAAAAAGATCTCACGAAACAATTGACAATAAAGTCTTTTTTCTACTGCCCTGATTTGTCTCCTAAGTGTTAGCCTGCTTAATTTCCTAAATTTCACATTTTCCTTCCCAGGGAAATGTTCCAACTCGAGAGAGTATCCATATGTTTTACCAGAACCAAATAATGAAACTTTCTAGGGAATCAGGATTGGATGAAATTTATGAGCCTGGACAGGCTGAGAGGACTGCAAGTTTAGAATCAGCAGCTTCTCGTGACAGTGAATCCAGGTATTCTCTTACGATGAGCACAATAATTCTAAGTAGATAGAGTTGATCTTCATAAATATATAAACATCTAGTAATGAAGCATAGCTTGTAGTTGATGCTAAAGTAGCATAGAATCTTGCACTATTCTATTTAAAATTTAAAAGATGATAGCCAACATATAATTAATTCTTAAATTTTCTTATGGTAAGAGTATATAAAAGCAGCAGTGCGTTTATCTAATAAAGTATTATTTTGATGTGACATTCTTTCAATAAATGTAGTATCAAAAAGTTCACACTTTTAATACATAATAGCCCTGTGTATTAAAAGAATATGAGAGTCCACAAATTATTCTCAAATAGCTGATTCTTAAACACAGTGACCTACAGTAAAACTGATTTCTATATCATTTATTTTCGCAGCATTACAAAAGATTATTGTTACAGAGATCTGTTCCATTTGAGAACTGACTCTGACCCTGTGAGTACTTCTCATTTGGAGGAACTTCTATATTTGTTATTCTGTGCATAAAATTTCCATTTTTAGGGCTGGATCAGATGGGCAGAATACATTCATATGACCCTAGGGTCCTATAGTCAGATTTTGTGCAAAATGTTCTTAATTCATTTTAGAGAAAAACATTTTTCTTCAAAAACTCTTAACTAGTATCATGAAAAATGGATACCTACTATCTATTCCACAAAGCTGCTGCTTACACATTATTTATATCTGATTTGTTTCATTGCTCTCAGGTATGTTCATTTCTAAGCTGGAGAAAAATAGAATTAAAACCTCCCGAAATGGTTGTGGCTATGCTGGGATAAAGACAATTGTATTTTTTTTTAAAAAAATCAATATTTGGAACTTAAAATAATATAGCACCCTTTTAGTTTTAGTATAGGCTATTTACAATAACTTTAATATATTTGGCTATATCTTTTTAAAATATCGATTTGTAGTGCCTAATGTACCTATACGTTTCTCAACTGCAACATTTTTAGCTACTGATAGATTAAAGAAGCTAAAAATGATGCATTTTATCAATCTTACTAGAATGCATGGATTCCATTAGTCTTACATCATAAATAAGTTTACATCCTTCTTTCTCCTGGCTTCACATTTTGTTATTACTGATCTTGTGTGGTTATCAGAATAATAATAGTATACTTTGGCACCAAAAAGCTTGTTATCTTCCATTAAATCCTTTTTTGTCTATGTCTCCATTGGTATTTTGCTTGGCCAATCTGCACGTTCACTATTGAGCCACATCAGGATGCCATTGGTATCTAACATTCTCTTTGTAATTGTTTGCACTGATAGCTGCTGCACGGAAGCAACTACACTGTTGTTGTCCAGGCAATCTACCCTTGATGATTTAGATGGTCCAGACCCTATTCCTAAAACAAGTGAACGTGCACGACCTAGGCTTCGTAAAACATACAGCATGGATATGTCCTCCTCATCCGCTGACAGTGGCAGTATAGTATCAAGGTGCTTAATCCTTGCATGCTTTTCACTCAATTATCCCAACCACTCTATATTTTGGCAATGTAAAATGATGTTTGCATTTTTATAAGTAAAACTATTTGCATACTCATTTGAAGCAGCTCTGTCGTGTTTTGATGATGTAATATGTCATATATTTATGTCGTTTTCATACTTTTACTTTAATCCTTATATTTTTGCTCTCAGAATTCTTAATTATATGCTTGTTTATAGTTTTACTTTTTAGTTAAACTGAGAGCTTGGAATGTGCATTCAGATGCTAATTTATGATTCTGGTTCTCTTCAGTTAACATTATTGCTCACAAAAATGTTTAACTATGGCCAAGGCACAAGGGATCTTTTTAAAGCAGAGAGGATAGACCATTCATTGTATGATCCCAATTCATTTATGCATTATAAAACATATATCATGAACCTGTTCTTCATACGCAGGTAATATGTAACATAAATTTAAAAAGTACCTTAACATGCATTAAAATAGAACATTTCATGGCATACAACATAATTATACAATCCCAATGATGGTTATTGATTAATGAACAGAATCATAATAACTTCTAAAATGCTGAAGCAAATCAAAACTTTTTCAACATGAAAACATTTGGGGAATGTGAACATTTCCAAAACTGATGTTGTCAAGTCCACACTGATTTAACAGTGAAAATCCAATGTAGAATCAACAATTCAATTTTAATTTTAAAAAAAGAGGGAATAAATATTATTTGTAAAGTAAGAAATTGACAAAAATATTCTTTCTCCTTATTCTTGACAGTGAGGCTACCCAAGTCACTATGCTATATTCCCGTCAGGGAACGGCAGAAACTATTGAAGAGGTTGAAGGGGAAGACCATGAAGGAGAAGAGGCAGAACCTGAACCTATAGAAGAACATGAAATGGAAGATTATTGTATGGATTCTGAAGGAGCTGCATATATTTCTGATACAGATATGCCATCCTATTCTGGTTTAGATGGCATTGCTGAACCCCCTCCTTCATATAGCAAAGCTGTGAGCTTGGAACTTTTCCCCTTAGATAGTTCCCAGGATGATTCATCTAGTAGAAACCAAATGATAGTGAGCCCAGATGAAAATCAGTCTGAAAAACCAGAAGATTCTATTCTTCCACCTTTGACACATGAACTGACTGCAAGTGAATTACTACTTAACAAGTAAATATCCATGATTAATTAAGTATGCATATTAGGTACAGTGATGATGAAAATTCTTTGTGAAAACATTTGGCAGTTGGGGATTTTTGCAGTTTGTTTAACAAGCTGAATTCACTTGACATTCACTTATCTTTTCAAATACCCTGATTTAACTGGATTCCTTTAAATGTAATTGATTTATGTACTACCAACTTTTTGTCTTGATTTGGAAAATAAACAAGCTATGGTATAGTTTATAACTTGATCTGTGAAATTAGTTACATAGCTCTTGAACAATAAATACTCTGTTATGTAGAAGCATTGCTATTATTTAACAAGAGCTGTGGTGGTGCAGTAGTTAGAATGCAGAATTGCAGGCTAGATTTGCCCACAACCTGGAGTTCAGTCCTGACCAGTTCAAGGTTGACTCAGCCTTCTACCTTCTGAGGCCGGTAAAATGAGGATCCAGATTGTTGGGGGCATGCTGACATTGTAAATCACTGTAAATCTAAGTGCTTTTGCGATTGCTGTTACTTACAGATTATTCTCTAGAATAGGATTTCCTGCCATAAGTAGGGATTGGACTAGAAAACCTCCAAGTTCCCTTCCAACTCTATTATTCTATGTTCTATGTTTTAATTTAAAATATTTACATATAGTTAGCTTATAAAATCATGGCATCTAATTTTATTCCTATAGAATGTTTCATGATGAGGAACTAGATGAGTCTGAGAAATTCTACGCTGGTCAACCTCGACATTTGCTTCTTATTTATGCTCTATATAATACACTTGTAGCCCGCTCAGAAATGGTGTGCTATTTTGTGATCATTCTTAATCATATGATCTCTGCCTCCACAATTACCCTTGTGCTTCCTATCCTCATCTTCCTTTGGGCAATGCTATCTGTTCCGAGGCCTAGCAAACGTTTTTGGATGACAGCTATAATCTATACCGAGGTATGTCATTATTCAATAGCTGTTGAACAACCCCTTCAATGTTACAAGAACTTTGTCTTCATTTCTGGTTTAGAAAGAGACTGGAGACATCTGCTTTCTGGTTTAAACTAATTTCAACTGTTATATTTAAGCTTGAGCAAGTTGTAATTTGTTTAAATCAAATCATGGCTTTGAATTCTGACTTTTTTTTTAGTAACCAATAGTGTCAACTAATATAATTCATGGTTAGATGTATGCGTTAGGTAATTATTGTAGAAAGCAGATGCAGTCTTTATTGTGACCCTGATGGAGGAGGGGAAAAAGAGGGACTCAAGTTCGAATCATCTTGCTTAATGCTAAATTACCATAGTTTCTAAACCACAACGGACTGCTTTATGCACAAAAAAAATCGTAATATGTAAAGTGCATGAGCTACATTGTTCACATTGTTAGATCTAAGTTCCCGCATTTCTTATACTGTATTAAAGGCTTTTCACCAGGCTGTTACCTAGCCAGTTCATGCAAACCAGAGATTTTTCTTAAGAATATCACCCAGGCAGAGATGGCATTCCTAGGACAGTTGCAGTCATCACAGTTAGAATGATGATTTTACTTAAATCAATTTATGTCAATAAAATATCACTAAAAGTAATTTAGTAATTGGCCAAAGGGAATCCATATATTTCACTTCTCCCAGGGTCCTCTGAAATTGTAGCCTGACCACCTAAATATTCTTTAAATTGCCCAAAATGACTGGGTCTAATGAGGGCTTCTTAAAGGGACAAGCTACCACTCTTTATATATTGGTGAAACCATTCCCTCCTTCAGCCCTGGTGGCGCAGTGATTAGAATGCAATATTGCAGGAAAATTCTGGCTACAGCCTGGAATTTAATCCTTACAGTGCTCAAGGTTTACTCAGCTTTCCATCCTTTCAAGATCGATTAAATGAGTACCCAGATTGTTGGGGACAGCGTGCATATAATGCTTTTATACTGTAAACCTCCCAAAGAGTAAAGTGCTATGGAGCAGTCTATAAGCCTAAATGCTATTGCTACTTAAGAATATATTTTCCACCAAAGCTGCCTTGCAAATGGGGTGTCCAGCCCCAACTTCCTCAAGATAAATAGTTGCCTGTGACCCTCGAAACAAGATCACCAGGATATTATCTGCAAATGTATTAAGGGCAGAAAAGCAATTATGCTTTGCCACCCTTACTACCATGAAGTAGGCCTTACTAGCTGCTCTAGGTTATGCTGAACTGGATTCACCTCATGTTATCCCCTAGCAGGATTCTAGGCATCTCTTCCTTCATTTAACCTCCTCTTTAAATCACCAAGAGCCCCTGGATCCACAGGAAGAGAGAAGCTGTGTAAATGCAAGCTAATCTAAAGCCCCAACTGGGCGTTCATTCCAAGAGGCAAATAAGGCTTCAGCCAGGCTGTGTGCCATACTCTCAGGAAGAACCCCAAGCTCTCCCCAGAACCCCTATCAGGTTGACTAGGCACCCACACACTGATAGAATAAGTCCATCCTCCTTGCTGAAGAGACACACATGCAAGGGCAGTTGCAAAGAATGGCAAAGGATTTAGCATTTCCCTTAAAAATGTTTGTATATGTGGATATGTATGTGTGTGTGTATGTGTACTTATATGTGTACACATAGAGACACAAAAACATATATATGTAGACACAAATGTTTTTAAGGGAGGCTGCTAAATCCTTTGCCATTCTTTGCCATTGCAAAAACGTTATTTTCGGTGCCAATGACTTTAAACCTAGTCTAAAAAAATTGAGAGAATTACTAAAAGCCTTACAAAGATTCAGTATAAACAAAAATACTAGCAAAGCTCCCCATCTACACAGGGGAGTGTCAAATGCATATTTTTATCTTCAGTCCAGCACCCCTTTTCTTCCTAGGGTCATAAAAATGGTAAAAAATTGTGCCAGCTTCCCGTTCCCCTTTCTCTTTTTTCTTTTCCCTCATCTGAAATTCCCAATGCTGGCTGTGGAATTCTGGGAGTTGAAGTCCACATGCCTTAAAATTGTCAAGTTTGGGAAACACTGCTGTAGAGGCACATGTTGGATCCTCTTTTGTTTACATTATTTTGTTTCATAGTAGTGCTTCAGAATGTGGAAACCTCTTTGGTTCCAAACTGATAGCACAGACCCAAAGACAGTTTTGAAACTGGAAGTGCAGATAGTGCACATTTCGCTTTACATCATAGAAATCATCCAGTCATACCCATACTCACTCAGCATGGGATCCATCAGTGGAATGCCGCTGATAGGCTTCTATCCATTCTCTCTTTGAAACCTCTAGCAAAGAGAATCGACTACTGCATGTGGCATCTTGTTTCAGATGTTAGGCTTATTTTAATAAGGGCTAGAAAATAATAATATTGTCAGTCTGCTTTTGAGAAATCTGTTAAGAAATCCAGAGATCCAGCAACAATGAAGAAACAAGGCAAGAGATTGCCTAGTAATACTGAAGCAGGAAGTCAAGTCTTCCTTGTGAATTTTTAAGAAGCATATTGGATTTCAGCTTCCTTAAGTATTATAGATTTACTTTAGATCTTGATCTTGTTAATTTTTCTGTTTAATATGAAAATATTATCTTATTAATTTTTTTCTTTCTCTCCAATAGGTTACAATAGTGATAAAGTATTTTTTCCAGTTTGGATTCTTTCCTTGGAATAAACACTTAGAACTAAAAAAAGATAGACCTTATTTTGCTCCTAATATTATTGGTATTGAGAAGAAAGAGGGGTATGTGCACTACGACCTTGTTCAACTACTTGCTTTGTTTTTCCATCGGTCCATTTTAAAGGTATATTTTTTGTTTTTTATTTTGTTTTGGGAAAAGAAATAGTAAAACTGTCAGCATATATACCTGAACTTCCATTCTTTTTTTTGTTGTTGAATAAAATAGTGCTCCACTAAATCAAAAATACTTACTGATTCAAAAACATTGGAAAGCAACTCTATGCAAGAGTCCTTGAATCACTCAGAAGTTTCATGCTCAATTTATCTCTCACAGTCTCAGTGCTGAGTCTATGGAAAGGATTTATATTCTCAAATTTTCATAATTAAACCCTTTGCCTTTTGCAAGTACTAAAGGAATCTCTGAAGATAAGCATTTTACCCTCTCCTAGTGTTGTAAAAAGCAGCTCTACCGGGTTGGGCAAGAGGAATGTGTCCCTCAGCTGACAAAAATATTTGTATATGTGTCTTTGTGTGCATATGATATCTATATGAATGACTATGCAAAAATGTATGAGGACAACAGATCCTTGAGGCCAGAAAAAGTCAAACTTCAGTCCCCTAGTAATTATCTAACCCTACTCTAAAGGTCATGGCACACCATTTCAACTATAATCATCCCACATACAAGGCTATGAAATCCAGGAAAACTAAACAGCATTTCTGAAAATAAAAACTGATTACAGCACAGAAGTTATTAAAATGAAATACTTTTTGTAAGAATGTTATCAGAGGTTAGATGATAACACTAAATCCAAAGCATTGTATAAAGTGAAATAATCCAAAACACTCAATGTCTAACTGTAACAATTAATATCAATAATTCTGAAGATACTTTAATGTTGTTCTTTTTAGTGTCATGGATTATGGGATGAGGAAGATGGAGGAGACAATGGGAGTAGTAAAGATGACTCAGATGACGAGTTGGCTGAATCATATAGAAGAGATTCTGCTGACTCTTTGATGTCAGTCAATTTGGCAGCATCTGTTGAATCCATACATGTCCATTTCCCAGAACAGCAAACCGCCATCCGCAGGAAAAGTTCAAGCAGTGGCTCACATTTATCACAGAGATCCAGCTTCTCCTCTCACCGTTCAAAGAGAGGTATGACTAGTGTGACATCAGGACTCTAAACTGGTCTGTTTTTTATTTGCCTAAGCTTTTCTTTCAAGAAAGAAAGTAGCAAAGAATAACCATTAAATCACAGACAACAATGACCCTTATATTAAAGAAAGCTAAGCTTAGATAGTTATTATAATATGTTAACCTATTATTTTCTTTGAAGAACTATTTTCTCCCTATCCTATTAATGCCACAAACTTAAATTATTTTAGGCAAATAATAAAAACATTGCAATGTCAGAAGGCAAAAATGATATTTCTTGTTAAGTATATATTTTAATAGCTTTAACTTATGATGTAGCATTTTTATTTTTTTAAGGTATTTGTTGTGTTTTAAAATTCATAAGATGCCTGAGTTATATCTTAAAAGATAATCTAGGAGTTTTAACAATCACATTAATGCAGAACTCCCTAACTTAAAATAAGTTTTATTTCCCTAACAGTATTTTTAAAATATATTATGTTATAAAATTATGTATGTAAATTTACAGTTTATGATTTATATATTTATATAAATGTATAGAAGAGAGCCAATTTGGTATACTGGTTAAATCACCACACTAGAATCCAGATAACTGAATTCTAGTCCCCTTTTAGGCGTGAAAAACCTGTGGGTGACTTTGGGCAACCTAACCCATCTCACAGAGTTGTTGTTGGGATGTAATAGGAGGAGGAAGGAACATTAGGTAAATTTTCCGCGTTGTGTTATCTGAAAAAAGTCAGTTTGAAATAATATGAAATCACTTTAGAATTAAAATATGAAGCTCTGGTGCTCTCTGAGCTTGGTTGTTATTTGCCAATATTTCATTATCCAATCAAGTCATATCTAATAGCAGTAACAATAGCACTTAGACTTATATACTGCTCCACAGTGTTTTGCAGCATTCTCTGGGCAGTTTACAATATCATCATCTTGCCCCCAACAATCTGGCTCCTCATTTTATTGACCTCGGAAGAATGGAAGCCTGAGTCAACTTTGAGCCCCGTCCAGATCAAACTCCAGACTACAGGCAGAGTTAGCCTGCAACACTGCATTCTAACCACTGCACTACCAAGGTCATTTTAGAATTAAAAGTTTTCATTCCCTAGTTGCTGAATAATGTGAGTGAAAGGTGGATTTCCAAGAGAGAAGAATGCATCAGCAAGTTTTTGCCATTTTGGTCTTCACTACAAGTTAGAATGATCCCAAGCACAGAAGTAATAACCTGAGAGAGATTTTCTGTTTTGTTTGTTAAAAAAGAATTAATCTTTTATTTCACATTTTGATTCTTGCTTTTTGTTATTAACTGTAATTTAAAGGAATCTATTTTTCCAAGTGTGGAAAAAGAAAAAGGATATGTAGATCCAGGGTTTTTTTTCCTTTTCTTTTGAGCTTTCGCTTAAAAGTGCAATAATTCTTTCTCCACTTGTATTTTCAGGAAGTACCAGCACACGCAACAGTAGTCAAAAAGGAAGCAGTGTATCAAGCATAAAAAGGAAGTCAAGAAAAGAACTTCTAATGGAAAAACTGAGAGAACAATTTATCATTGCAAAGGCATTTACAATTAAAAAGTGAGTAATTACACATATCAAATTTATTGAAATAAATGCTGAATCCAGAATGTATTCAAAATGTTCTAGGATTGAAGAAGGGGCCAGAAGGAAATCTGTATCCATTTTATGTCACTAATGAACTCCAGTCCATCACTGATTGCTAAGGCAGACCTATATACTTGATTGCCAAGGTAGCAAGAAAAGATTTCAGGAAAATGGGAAACAGATTTTTCCATTCAGTGTAGTAGGGACACATTCCAATACTAAATCACTAAGACCACAATTACTCTGTTTCCTTCCTTCCTTCCAGCAGTAAATACAAACAGTCCCCCACCAAATTATTATTTTAAGGTTATTCTAAAATATTAATAAATCATTTTCTGCATATGTGAAGAACCTATGAGGCATCCATAGGGGTGTCAAGTTTCTAACATCCCTCTTCCAAATCAAGCCTTGCAGTTCTTTGCTTGCTTTAAATTATATGTGCTAGAAGAAATTAAATATCCTAAAACAAAGGAAGCTAGTCTGTTAGTTGACAATTTAGATATCTGGAGATAGAACTCTCACGGCAATTTTGGCCGGAAACATTTTGAAAGGAGTTCTACTCTTTCCTTGGAGGAATCAGTTACAGGCAATTGTCATTTAGTGACTACAGTTAAGATCGGCCTTCCATTACTAAGTGAAGCAATCACTTAGTGGGAAATCATGCTACTACAAATGTGCATTCTGGCTTGAAACTAATCAATTTCATACTCTTGGCTTTTGTTTGCTTCCTATCACTCTGCTATCCTTTGGCATGGCCTCTCCTGCATGGGAATAGTTAACAAAAAGGGAAATAATGTTTGTATTTACATTAATTAGAAAAGAAGAGATTACAAGAAAGTAAGCAGGAACAAAGTGGGGAATGTGCATTGAAAGAATGTGCTGATTCCAGCAGCCACTGGAAATTCCCCATTATTTGTGATTCCTTCCTCTCCAATCTCTTTGCTTTGCAAGGGGAAAAAAACACAGGTCAGGGCCAAGACAACACTTACTGACTGTAATGGGAATCACATGACTCCGAAGATTGTAAATGATTGTAAACTTTGAAAGGTTGCTGAATGAATGGTTGGTAAGTGAGGATTATCTGTACATTGATTAGGATCAGATCAAGAGAAAAACATTTAAGCCCACATTTGCATGTTTTTTACTGAAATGAATTCTATTATGAACTGTAGCTATGTCTATTATTGGAGTCAGGAATAGATCAAGGGTGAAGACAATGGAGGCCTCCATACTGGGCTTCATATAGTATCTGTGAGGCAACAAACGAAATTCTAAGCATGTGCATTTTTCCACAAAATTACTTTGTAATAATGACAGTGACTTTTGTATTACTTCAGGGCACTTCAAATATATCTGCCCATCAGACAGTTTTTCTACAATCTTATCCATCCGGAATACAGTGCTGTGACAGATGTTTATGTCCTGATGTTCCTAGCTGATACTGTGGACTTCATTATAATTGTCTTTGGATTCTGGGCTTTTGGGGTATGTTAATAAGAATTGGTGTGCTTGAGTAAGTAGTTATTTTTATAACTATTATAACTATTATAAGAAATAACTTTACTTTGTTTTCTTTCTCTTTTTTCCCCAGAAACATTCTGCAGCAGCAGATATTACATCTTCATTATCAGAAGACCAAGTCCCAGAGGCCTTCTTAGTGATGGTACTAATTCAGTTTGGAACCATGGTAGTAGATCGGGCACTGTACCTGAGAAAGACAGTCATGGGAAAAGTCATCTTTCAGGTTATCCTTGTTTTCGGCATACACTTTTGGATGTTCTTTATCTTGCCCATAGTTACAGACAGGTAAGTGCATTGTTTTTAAATGATTTTATTTGTTACTTTTTCATTTATTACTTTTTAAAAGTGACCTGTTCATCTACATAATGATAAAATTCATCTCTTATGAATGATTGTATTGAATAAATAAAAAGATAATGATATTGTGAAAAGAAATGGGTAGTTTTTACCACATTTAAATAATACAGAAAGTATTCATTTTATGAAAGGTATGTAAAAATGCATTTGTTTTCTTGATGTGTTTTGTGTTATAGGAAATTTAGTCAAAACATAGTTGCCCAGCTTTGGTATTTTGTGAAATGTGTTTACTTTGGATTATCGGCATACCAGATACGTTGTGGCTATCCAACCCGCGTACTTGGCAATTTCCTTACAAAAAGTTATAATTACGTAAATCTCTTTTTATTCCAAGGGTAAGTCTTTGAGTCTGGTATAATATGTCTTTTTTCTTTTTATTTATTCCTGCTTAATATTTATAGATTGCACTCCACCAAGACTTACTCATAACAAAGTCAAATGATCATGTCACTTTAATGTTTTCTTTAATTTGGAAATGCTATGGTAATATGAGTTAGATGGACACCATTAAATTTACACTTGATCATGAAAACAAATTTAATTCATAAATGGACCAATTATAACCCTTGACTATACACTTCTACTCAGAAGTGAAAAGGAAACATTTTTGGGACAAAATCTTCTAATTTCTTATAGGAGAGAAGGGAAATTTGGGGCATCATGCTCCTCTTGTACAAAAGGTTTTAGAAAATTATAGGCAAATGGAACATTTTAGCTAGTCTTCATCCTGGTACATGAATGGTGTTAGAATTAAATTCTAGGTCATCCTATATCTACATAAAACAGTTCTAAATGTTTAAATTAATATATCTCCTTTTTTCTCGAGGATTATGTTTTTATTGCAATAAATTAGGGAAATAGTGCTTCCAAAAGTGGTAGTGGTGATCGGGGGGGGGGGGGTTCTCTGGAAGCCACAAAATGGAGGGCATGGACTGCATTTGGCTCATAGCAATGAAAATCTCTTATCTCACTGTGCCACAGAATATCCCAGGCTAAAACTGATTCTTTTTCTTTGGCAGGTTCCGCCTAGTCCCTTTCTTGACTGAATTGAGGGCAGTTATGGACTGGGTTTGGACAGATACCACATTAAGTCTTTCCAGTTGGATCTGTGTTGAAGATATTTATGCTCATATATTCATTTTAAAGTGCTGGCGAGAGTCAGAAAAAGTAAGAAATTAAGTGTTTATTTTTTCTTTGCAACCTTATAATCAGGAAAAGGTTTACCTTGTACAGTGTCAAAGAGAAATGTGATCATATTTCTCATTTATCCATATTAGATTAATGGTATTTCAAGCTTCCTAGAGTTGATGGGATTGCAACATTAATCTCAATGTTTTACTTCCATTCAAAGGCACTTGTTTCTGTGTATTTTTATATCTGTGTATTTCTGTGTATTTCTATATACCTGTATGCAGATTCAAGGGCATAGGAAAAATTATACTTTTAAAAAAGCAGAACTGATAGAATACGTAAATATTTATTATATGTAATCAATATATAATAAATATGTAATTGTCCAAAGAAAACTCAAGCTTTTTCCATGGAAAAAAGAATTATAACTGAAAGTGAGCCTGTTCAACATAACTTCATACCTTTCTCAGAAATAATTTCTGGATGCACCACTGTGGTATCCAATTTAGAGTATATTAGAACTCTTTTCAGTGAGACATTCCCTTGGAAGACCCAAGATAATGATCAGAGCTAAAATTATTAGGGCTTTGTATGCAGCAGTTAGATTCTGTTAGGTTTTCTAATTAACAATTTTAATTTTTTTCCATTAGGAAAGCAGTATATAGTGCAGAAGTGTGGGTTAGGATGACAGCCAGGCTGCTAAACTATGTACCACAAAATAGATACATTAAAAGTACATCTATTAGTGCTACAACCTGTAGCATTAATCTAAGCAGAAGTTTATTTTCCCTCAGTAAGTATCCATTAGTACAATTATAATCAGTTATTTGAAAACAGAAGGGAAAATAAGAATTAGACATTTCAGCTCCTGCAATTTTCTTTCATTTCTATGGATCTGAAATTTGTAGCCACTATGAAATAATGCTTTTCATTGGAATGTTCTTTAGACAAGCTATTCATTCTAAATTCACGTTTTTCTAAGAAGTTTCAAACAAGCCTTTTCATCTACTTCCGAACAATGATGATAGACAGCATATACAATCAAATTCTAGAGGTTACATATATGTTGAGTCCCTGAATTACAAGACCTTTATAAGAATTCTGATATAAGATTCCTTTGGCACTTTCTGCAAAACAGCATTTTGCAATATAAGCTTTATGGGTCAGAGTTCTCTGTGTTAGCTGACCCCAAATACTAAGAGCTGCTTGAATTGCAGTGTTGCTGTTATGGCAGATCTTGCATGATGAATTAAGAAATATACTTTACTACTTCTAGCTTATGAAAACAGTTACAGCCTATCTGGGCATGTGGATTTCATTGTCAATGTCTGCTTGCTATTCTAAAATTTTATTGAAAACAAAAGCTTAGACCCTGTGGTTTTAGACAATGATCTTTACTATTGAATTCTCTATTCCTGCACAAGATGCTGGATTGCCTCAGTTATAGTCATTTGGATAATATTAATTATTTAGAACATGTGTGATCTGACAAGAAACTGTGAATCTCAATATAATAAGGACCCTACATGTGAACACAGATTAAGGTTCAAATACATGAAAGACGTAATTTAAAAAATTAATAGGTTTTAACTCTTTTCGGAGGAAAGAAAAACACAGGCATTTATTTATTTGCTTTTTTTCTCTTTTTGCAGCGATATCCCCAACCAAGGGGCCAGAAGAAAAAGAAAGTTGTGAAGTATGGAATGGGTGGCATGATTATTGTCTTGCTGATATGCATAGTGTGGTTCCCGCTGCTCTTCATGTCTCTAATTAAATCTGTTGCAGGTGTCACAAATAAACCTCTTGATGTATCCATCACAATAACTTTAGGAGGTTATCAGGTACAACCTGTTAAAATGTCATATGTTATTTTCTTTCATACGCTAACATTTGTTATAGACTTAAATTTCAGCAAAAGAAATCATTGATGTATATTTACTGAAAGGTATCCAGCAACTTTTATGTTATTTTCCAGCCTATTTTTACAATGAGTGCCCAGCAAAGTCAACTAAAAAATATGACAAATAGACAATTTAAAGACCTCCACAGAACATTTAAGAAGGATACTGTAAGTATTTCTTTAATAGTACTATAAAAATAATATTACTAATGGCAAGCAATTGTGGAAGCATTCAATATTCTTCAAATTACCATTCTGACTATGTTATTTATTTAATATTCCATATGCACTGTCATTCAGAACATATTCATGCATTAATCTGTAAATCCAGTTAATCTCAGTGCTTAATAACATGTAAAGAAGGAAGCACTAAATTTATATTAATGTGTATTTGGATGTATGCTATACCCCAGCATCTGCACCTTTCTGTGTACAACGAGAGACCAACAAGCACACCAAGGAGAAGCACTAGCACAAATATGTGAACACACATGCTTCACATATTACATACAAAGGCATATCTGCAATGGCCATTTTAAATCAATCATTTAGTAATGCTTGTCTGTTGAAGTAGCTGCCCTGTTATAAAATAGGAATGCTGAACTTTTCATAAACTGAAAAATGTTTCACTCATTTTCTGCAAACTAGTTAATCAGTTACATTTATGATGTTCTCATGCTTTTGAGAGAAAAGGAGAAAGTATAATAATGTTTCTCATCTTGGTCCTTTCTGCCATTATGTGTGCTGTTTCTGCCTGTTCACTCATCCACTAGTCACGGCTATACATCTTCCACAGCTTGTCTCTCCCTCCTTCTTTGAATAATGAAACCTTTGATGAACAGTTCTACAGACAGTAAATAGAGATAATTTTTTCTTTTATTTTTTTAAAGGGTGCTTTACAATTTCTAGAAAACTATGCTATAGAAGATATAACAGTGGCTCAGCTAGAAGGCAGCTCAAATTCTTTATGGACCATCAGCCCTCCTAGCAGAAAAAATATGATAAAGGAGCTCAAGGCAGATAATCCTGATTTTTCTTTGGTTATTTCATGGAACATTCAAAGGTATATCATTGATAGTATATAGGCTTATCACTTTTTTTGTCTGAGTGTGAAAGTGGTTACAAGTAAAATATGGTAAAAATATACTTTAAGCATTTTACAGAATACCATAATTTGATTTAAGTGTACCCAGAAACTTAGCCTACTCTAAAACAAAGGATTGTCCTTGGGATACATCTTATAGCAGTAAAGAACACTCAAAAGAATTTGATTTGAATAATTTCTTTTATATAAAGAATAGCAATAATCATAGGCCTGAATGAACCTCATGTAGCAGACGTGGTAGAATTCAGCATTAAAATGATTAGCACTGAGAAAATGTGGAACCCATCAGCTGTCTGAGATAAAATGATGATGATGCATTTTGAGCATCTATGATAACTGCGTACTCCACAATCCTGAGATATGAAAAATTATTCCTAAATATTTATAATATTGTATTCATTCTATTGTCTATCTATCAATTTGCCATCTTGTTTAACCACCAATTTAACCTTAGTTTTACTGCTAGTGAATACTGTTGTAAGATTTCTACACTCTTATGGATATCATAATTGTTTATGGAACAATTAGTGTAAAGGTTATTTGAACTAGGAGCCCAGTTTAAATATTTTACATTCCCAGTAAAAGTATGCTACTATGCATCTCTGTTATCTGAGTGTGTAAAAGACATGAAATGGCAGCCTTAACACAGAATCTTAATTCCTGGAAAATTATTAGCATCAATTTTCTAACAGTATTGTGGCAGCAGGGAACAAATCTGAAGTTTTGTTTTATCTGTGAGAATACAAGCCACAGCCTAGAATAGCCTCATAATGAGATAGGCTTCAAATAATAATAATTATTATTATTGCAAACATTCATAGTATAGTCAGTCAAATTAGTATTTCAAAATTTCCTATCTAGTGATTATGTAGAATATAACAATTAGAGAAATACAGTAGTTTGTAATATATGGTATTGTATGATTAAATAATACATTTTTATAAAATATTTATTGTAAAGAAATGCCTCACTTGGAGCAAAAGCAGAAACAGTAACAGATAAAATATCTCACAATCTACCAGCTGATACAAGAAAAAAAATTGCAGCAATGATGGAAAATCCAAATCTACATGTAAACCACTTTGTGTAAGTACTTTTGGATATATTCTAAAATACAAGAGATTTTATTTCTTATATAGAAAAGTAGAAAAAGATCATGATTGTATTACATTTGTAAATATTTTACACTATACAGGTGCCATACTTTTCCTTCCTTCCTTCCTTCCTTCCTTCCTTCCTTCCTTCCTTCCTTCCTTCCTTCCTTCCTCAGTAGAAAGAATGTATTATTCCACCTTCATGTTGGCATTAATTCCTTATATCCTTCCTTCCTTCCTTCCTTCCTTCCTTCCTTCCTTCCTTCCTTCCTTCCTTCCTTCCTTCCTTCCTCAGTAGAAAGAATGTATTATTCCACCATGTTGGCATTAATTTCTTATATATTGGTCCCTAAATTGAACTAATTACAGAATTATAATCTTCTGGGTAGGATTCTTCATTTATGTAAATGCACATCAATTATCTGCAAGGGCTTTTAAGATGAACGAATACCTAATTTCAAACACATCTGGAACTACATATAAAGAATGGGAAAAAGATTGTGGCTATTGTCTTTACACCCTTGTAGTCATTCATGTTTTTGAACTGATAATATGTGCTACATGTATTCAACAATAACATGCACTCGCATGTAGATTTGGTTGTTTTTTATTGTATAATACTATCAAGAAAGCAGAAACATGTACAGGTAGTCCTCAACTTACAACAATTTATTTAGGGCTGACAGTTATGACAGTTGCAGTGTCATGTGATCATGTGATTACCTTTTGCAAACTTTGACAAGGAAAGTTAATGGGGAAGGCAGATTTACTTAACAACCATGTTACTAATTTAATAACTGCAGCAATTCACTTAACAATTGTGGCAAAAAAGGTCGTAAAATGGGGCAAAACTCATTTAACAACTGTCTTGCTTATCAACAGAAATTCTAGACTCTATTGTGGTTCTAAGTTGAGGATTATCTGTATATATATGAAAATCTCTTTCTGCATAGTTTTTACTGTACTTGGATCATAGAAAATCATTTAACAATTAGATGAATAGTTAACTGTTCTAGAGTTTGTTTTAATAGAAAAATGTTGTCCTTCTGATAGCAAAATTGAGAATATTTTGATGATGGGCTAGCTGCCCTCAAAATTTCAATATATTGAAGAGTGATAAATTTAAAAAGAAAATGAATGTGGAATTTGCAACCTGGGGATGACACAAAAAATATTTGTAATTATAATAGTGATCCAATGTAGTAGATCAAATAGAGTTTTGGTCTGAAACCAGGGAGACATGTTAAAATCATAAGTCACTTATGGTGCTGGAGTGACTTTAGCCAGTCACTGTATGAGATAAGAAAGATCAACTATGACCACAAAACATTGTAAATAAATTTCCATTAAATATCCTTCAATCATGCTATTCCTTACCTAGGACACTTGCTGGAGTATATCCACATTATGTCAAAGCACCTAGCGATAATGCTGCAAAACCTATAAAACAACTTTTGGAAGGTATGAATTTTTAGCATTCTTTCAGGTGATAAAATATTGTTTTGTAATTTATGAGTCTCCCATGTTGCAGACTAAGGGGTGGGGATGAATCATATTTAGAAACAAAAAAAATCAAATGAAATGTTTCATTTTGTGGTGCCTCGAAGAATAACAGAAAGTGCTGCTGCTATGTGTATTTTCTTGCGTTTTACAGTCTTTTAATGATTTATTTCCTGTGGCCTTGATTAAAGGATAATAAGAGGGTTTTCATGACTTTGAGATAACATTAAATGCATCCTTCATGGAACCAGGTTTTCCTTATATTTAAGGGGGAAAGTATCTTCTTCTCTTTTGATTTTATCACAACTTGCATTATAGGTACTCCTCACTTAATGACCCTACTTGGGACCAGAATTTGCATCACTAAGCAAAATTGTCATAAAGTGAATTACCAGATGACTGCATCTTTTAGTGACAGCACCTCTGGTTCCCAGTTATAGTCATTAAGCCAGAACCTCACACTTTTCTTGCCATGTCATGCTAGACTCTGCTTCAATTCCCCCACCTGGCTGTCTCCCCCATCTCTTCCCTTTTGGCTGCCCTGCACTTCATCACCACTACCTACCCCTGCCTCCCCCCCCCCCGTCAGCCCTACCTGACTTCCCTTATCTTCCTCCCCTGCTGATACGTGTGCCTAACTGAGGCAGCTCCTGGCTCTTTGTAAGGCCTTCATGTGGCCTTGTAAAGCAATGGGGAGACCTTGTGAGGTCACGTGAATGTCTTGTGCAGCATTCCAAATGTGTCAGCAGCTGCTTTGGCTGGACACATCTCAGCAGCAGTAGGAAGAAGATGGCAAAAGTCAGTGGAGGGCAGAAGGGTAGACAGTGGCAGCAGAGTGAAAGGTAGCCAAAAGGACAGGCAGGGGGAAGGGAGATAGGCAGATAGGGAAAGTTGAAGTACATGCTGGCAGTCATAAATGCAGGCAGCTTTCCAAGCACCAAATTTTTATCACATGACCACAGGGGTGCTGCAATGGCTGTAATTTGGAGGACTGGCCGACAGTACATCATCATAACTTTGAATGGTCGCTAAACAAATGGTCATTAAGCAAAGACTGCCTACCAATTATAAGGCCTTGTAGACTGAAACAGTTTTACTTATGCAGTATTGCTTACAATCAAGGAAGTGATCTTGTTCAGCTACAGCACTCCTGTTACTGCAGTGGAAGGTAGCATGTTAGGATAAGGCAGAAGGATTTCATTTGCTTCCTTTTATTTTCAGACATACTGATACAGGCCTTGATCAGACAATCTGAAGGCTTAAAAGAAGGATGACTAGTTCTAAGTTTTCGGAAGGTATTCTCTTTTCTAGACACTAATCCACAGAGATATACAGAAGTGTATTTTGACATTAAGTTAATTCTTCTATGAGAATAGATGCAATGATAAACTTATCTCTAACATAAATTATTTTACAATTATAAAACATTTGTATGGTGTGAGGTCATTGATTCCATATTATTTTTGGTGGGAAATTGAAAAAGTATTTTCTTGCTTCTCTAAATAGCTCATAGGTGTCCGATCTTTTGGCTTGCCTGGGCCGCATCAAGTGAAGAAGAATTATCTTGGGCCACATATAAAATATATAATATAATCGATGTATATAAACACAATGTATATAAATGTAATGTTTAAGTTTATGATCATTTGGGGCCACATTACTAGCTGTCCAGGGCTGCATGTGGCCCATAGGCCGCAGGCTGGACACCTCTGGAATAGCTAATAAGGAGGGTGTTCCTTCTCTTCTTTTTTATAGGTGGGAAGTTTAAAGATATCACTGTTTCACTATCCAATAATAATGTGTCTGGTGAACTTCATGAATGGTGGGTTTTAAATCAGAAGAACAAATTTTTGGAGTCAAATAAAACTAGATTGGAACTAATTGTGTTCAGTGACAAAGTCAGTCCTCCCAGTCTTGGATTTTTGGCAGGTTATGGGTAAGCAAATATTTCATGTTAACATTGTTTATGTTTTTGGAGCATTACTGTTTATATTTACATTGTATTAAAGCAAACTTTCCTCACATGTGTTTATCTGAAGGAAACTAGTTTCATTGTCATTATCTCCAAAGACCAGGTCCAAATTATCAAGATATTATGAATGGCTGAAAAGATCAATTTTTAATGGCTATAAGATAATTGAAAACTCTAGATGATAAAATATATCCAAAAGAGTCTGTCATAACTATTTCCTGCAACTGTCATACATAAAATATGGACACCTATTCAGATGAATGGAATGGAATGGAATGTAAACAAAGATCTGTCATAATATTTGATGTTCAAATGATGTCAGGGAAGAAACACAAAAGGAAATATAATTCTCAACTATGTAATCCAAGCCTTGACTCTTTTTAAAATGAAATATGTATAAAAAAGTGGAGTAGAGCTTTGATCATACAAATGAATAGAATAGAATAGAATAATAACTTTATTGTCATTTTGTACACTAATCGGCATACATTAAAATGAAATTTCGTTGCATATAGCTCTCAAGGGTCACCACCTCCGATATATACTTCATAAATATGACATAAATACATACATACATACATACATACATACATATATACATACATACAGAATTATGCATATACCTACATATATTATATGACACAGAGACAACAGTCTAGTTCAGTCTATGTATACATGTGCATGGCGAGAAAAACAAATCTTGCGAGTTTACCAGATGGATGGCATAGAGAACAAAGCTATTACAGAATCAGGTAGTCCTGCTAGAAATACTTCAAAACCTCCTCCCAGAGGGGGGCAACAGAAACAGACCGTAAAGTGGGTGTGTAGGGTCTCTAACCATGCTTTGAGCTCTAAGCACATAGTGCTTACAAAGCAGCATCCTGAATACCAGGGAGTGAGCTGTCCTTACCAATCTCTGTATGGACTTTCTGAGGCACTGCTGCCACCAAACCAGACAGTGATGCAGTTTGTTAAAATGCTCTCAATCGTAGCTATGTAAAAAGCGGCCGGGACAGGAGAGAGATGAGCTCTCCTCATCCAATGCAGGAAACTGTAAAGTAGGTTCCCTCATAGCTTATATTGATTTCAGTAGATTCTGAAGGAATAAAGAAAGTGTTTAGATTCTGACTATTTGATTTATCATTGCTGTGCATTGGATCTCATGCTTCCAGCAGTTAAGGATCCATTTTGGAACATATACTCCAAAGAGCTCCAAGCCAGTTAAAATTGGTCTCCAAACCGTAGTTCAAACTGCTAGTTTTTGGTAGCAACTACTATCATATCTGATAACATGTTTGGGCATAGGTGTGTTTGCTTTCATAAATTTTAAAATCTGATTCTTATGACTTCTTATCACATTACTTTTATCCTTATGACCATAAAGATCCTGTAACTGAATGAGAACATTAATGGTAATGTTTTATCAGTAATAAAACAGAATCAGAAATTGGACTGAATCCAGATTAGTTACATTTTAATTGAAGAATTTATTGGGGCTGAAGGCTCCCATAGATAATTTATCCCATCAATTTGCATAGGGTTAAAATATAGGCAACAGAGTATAATACAGCCCACTCTTTTCAACATTAGTGAGTGTGAAGGCTAGAAGAGCTTGAAAGCAGACAGGTATTTACAATAACAGTGTACAGAAGTCAACTGCCCCCCATCAGAAAAAAAAAACCCATCATTCAGGCCATTGGGGCAGTCAAATGGGAAAAAATACATGCAAAATTTTAATCAAGCTTGAGACTTACAATTGGCAGTTGTTGATTTTATATTCTACATATAGTCCTTGACTTACAACCATAAATGGACCCGGAATATTGGTCATTGAGTGAAGCAGTCTTTAAGAAAGATGTCACATAACCACTTATTTAACAGCTGCAATCATGGCACTCTCAGTTGCAGTTATTAAGCAATCTTGTGGATTAATCTTGTGGATTATTAAATAGACAGAGTCCCAGGTAAGGAGTGCAAGATGCCATGGGGAGGGGGGGGAGAGACCAAAGTTAGGTGTGAGTTGGGGTTTGCTGTGGACAAGTCCTTCAGCTTTGGGGCTGAAAAACTCTGGCAAAATCCAAGGAGGTCTTTCAGCTGCTCAGTGGAGAGACACTTGCACACTTGCACAGCCTGCGCCAAGCCACCCTGCACCTTACTACTTTCCTGAGGCATCCTGTGGCCCTTATTTAGCCATGCTGCATCTCTGTACTAGGTCTGTCTGTCTTTTTTCAAATTATTGCACATTTTAAAATGTTATTTTTTTTTCTTCTTTTGCAGAATCATGGGTTTATATGCTTCAGTTGTGTTGGTAATAGGAAAATTTGTCCGTGAATTCTTCAGTGGAATCTCCCATTCTATTATGTTTGAAGAGCTTCCTAACGTGGATCGTATCCTAAAGCTGTGTACAGATATCTTCTTAGTGCGGGAGACTGGTGAATTAGAACTAGAGGAAGATTTATATGCTAAACTAATATTCCTGTATCGTTCACCGGAGACTATGATCAAATGGACTAGAGAAAAAACGAAGTAATCTAATTGGAGTTCACAAAATTTGGAATTTTTTTGGGAAAAAAATAAGCACAAAATTCACTTTTATAATTGGGAAGCGATTTTTTGTTCATGGAATTTGCTTGCTTCCTTAGAAAGAATTTTTTTTCAGATGCAACTATTATTAACATCAGAGACTTTTTCTTTTTGATTTAGTGAACAGCATTATCTGCAACCACATCTAAGTTAATTCTAAGCAGAAAATAAAAACAGAATATGAGATCTTTTGTCTGAAAAGAAATCTTGAACTGTGCAATTTGCTGTTTAACATCAATAATTCTCAAGGATCTACTACTATGATCCAAGTTGCCCTTCTAGGAAGTCCAAGGCAATTAATCACAGTTGGTGCTGAAGGCAATTTTATTATTTGCATTTCTAAGAAAACATCTGTTAAAGACTAAACAGCCATACAGTTTTGGAGGGGAAAAGATCAAGTGATATAATCATTAACTGCCTTATTTTATTTAAACAATTAAAGAAGATATTGAAAACATCAGTGACTTTACTCAGGAAAATAAACTGTCAATCTTCAACTAATGGATAGTTATAGAGAAATATTGTGATGTTTTTGCTGGGGCCATTTTCTCCATCTGACAAGATAGATATTAAAAAGAAAAATAAAGAAGACGTTGAATCATGAACAGCCTTTGTGGGCTAATCTTTTTCTTTAATCACTACAATGTGCTTTCCCCTATTTTGACATTTTAATGTAATGATATGACTTATACTTAGCATTTCCTTCCAGTGTTTCAAGTTTACATATTCCAATTCCCATTTTTATGTCCAAGATGTCTTTTTAAAATTCCCAGTCATGAGAAAGTATATATATATATATATATATATTGAAATGGGCTTTTCCTAAATTATTGCTATAAGTGACACAGGCTGTTTAGCAAAAGACACTGTAGCATGAATATTTAGTGCTGAAAGGTAGTTTTCATTTGATGATTTAAAACACATTATTTCTTAACATTAATTAATTATAATTACAATATGGTAAGAAATTATGTCATCATTCCCAAATATAATGCCGTTCAAAGGTAATGGAAGTGCTATTCCCGGAGCATCAGGTTAGCTGGACATGTTGGGGATTGTAGGCTCAAAACAGCTGCAGGGAGCCAAGTTGGAGAAGGATGGAATAACTAGTTTTCATTCCATACCAATTTCAAACAACGTTCTTGTTGCAAAGACCATCTTAAAAGTATTTTTCCTATGCTTGTTTACACTGAATGAAATTCTCTTTGTATAAATTAAATATGTGAAAATTGTGAATGTGTCAATTATCATTAAAAATGATCTAAACTATTTACTATATATGATGATATAGTAAATTTCAAAAAATATATGAAATTGTAATGGCATAAACAACATGAGAGTAAAATTGCTTGCACATTAGTTTGTTAAACAAAATGTAATATGGTGGTGATGCTTAGAGTTGACTGCTTCCGTGAAAATATTGCTGGTACTTTACTGTGAAAAATGGCACATTTTGACATTACAAAAGATATACTGAAATAAACCATTTTAACATACTCCAATAATAAAATACACCATGACTGCCACTCAAACATATTCTAATTTTCAAAGAAACTATAATGAAAATGAACAGAACCAATAATGGATATGTTGACTATGAGGAAAAAAAACAGCTTGCAACTATTTTGTGTATCTTCAATTGACCTAACAAAAATGTTACCTTTTTATAGGCTTTTATTGTTTTTCCAATAAAAAGAAAAGAATTACAGTGACTAATCAAATCAGAATAAACAATTTAGGTACCTTAAAAACTATCAAATTTATAAATGAAATATTAACAGATGTTTCACGTGCATACATGGATTCTGTAGAGAAAACTGACCCACTGACCTTTGTATTTTAATTCCTTTTTTTAATTATTTTGTGCAGCCATTTGAGAAAACAGTCATTGTATCTCACAAAATAAGATGGAGTCCATGAAACAGGCACCAATGAGAAATTGTTACCATGTAAGGCGTCATATGCATTTTTCTTTCTTATATTTTTATTAAATAAATAGATTCTTCTGTTAATACTGAAACAAAAAACTTTGCACCTGGTATCCAATTTCCTCATAGTGATTAGGAAGCCGACATCTCTGAAATGGCTACCTTTTATTTGCCCAACAATAACTATAACAAAAGGCACAGTGAAGGTTCTGCCCTTGGAAGCTCCAATTACTGCAGCAATGACTGAAATTAGGACTACATTTTCATTTAAAATTAAATCCCTTTTTAACATAATCTAGAAACATGGCTGTCACAAAGTAGGTTTTTTAAGTGTTTTTTAGCCAGGACTTACTGGTAATACGATCTACCTTAATGACTACCACCACCACAGCCGCTCCCCAAGTTCTATTACTACTTTTTCATCTGTGTAATACTAAGTTTTGCAAACTATTCCAATCTCCACTCCTTTTTCTTGTACAATGACACCTTTAAGAAACATGTTCCAGTTACTAAACATGCCATTGAAGTTGTATTTGTGTTGCAATAAGATTCTACTAATGCAGTCCATAATTTGATTATTTGATCGATATTCTTCAACACTATTTTGCCAATATTTGTGTTATTTTTTGCAACTAGTATTCATTTTTATTAAAAAACAATATTAAACAGTGAGTCAAAAATAAGAAATCCATGTTGCTTATAAAATATTGTCTACTAAAATGTATAAAGCCTCCATGCATGCGTTGGGCTTTTAAAGTGATGTATTCTTTAAAGTGCAGTGTGCACTATAAATCTCTGAATTTTTCTGATTCACACAGATTTAGCTATTTATCTGCTATACCACCAAAGCAGATTCAATTCTTACATGGAATCCTACTTGCATGTGTATTGAAGGAATAACGTGCTTCTAAGTATTTTTTTTAAATGCACATGTATAAAGCATACTTTAAAAAAAAGTATGAATCTTTTTAAAGTACATGTTGATACAATTCACCTAGAAATGAGCTTTAATCTGTTCAAGAACTATAACCTTCAACAGGAAAAATGGATAGAATGCATTCCTCTTGCCACTGAATAAACACAGCTGCCCAGCCACAGCTAAAATTAAGGGCATGATTCTAATGCAGATTGTACAGCATCCAAAATCCTGATGGGTCTTTAAAAATTGTTGTAAACAATTATGATTATATAGAGAAGGAATTTGTGAAATGGAGGCAAAAAGAATGGCTTTCCTCTTCCAAGGCAACGATAAACTCCAAGCATTGTATTTTTCAACAAGCAAGAAAAAGTTTTTTTTCTGCAGTGCTATGTATTGCAGAATACATGTATTGCCATGAATCTTGAAGTTCACATTGTATGAGAAAGAGCATTATACAAGCTAAGCTTTTCATAAAGAGAAATCAATGTGATTGGCCCCTCCAGATTGCAGTATCTTTTCTATAAATATATTTCAAACAACAAATGCACTGTTTCAAGAAAGATTACAATTTAAAGGAGGGGCAGGAGAGGGTCTTCTGAGAATCCATGAAGCTCAAATTCCAATACAAATAGGGACTCCACACCCTTTCCTAATTAAAACCATATTGTGTATTTGTTGAAAATAGATCAGAGACTACCCCAGACCATTTAAAAATGCATAATATTCTTAGTACAATTCCTTTATAGCAGATGATAACCATAATGCTATGTTATATGGACATCACAATGAACAATTAATTCTTTGTTTGTCACTTAACACATGCATCACCCTTGAGCTCATCAAGGCTCAGAAATACATATGGAGATAGTTTTGGTCTATGTACTCTGAGACAAAAATAGCATAAATGAACCTCAAAATTAACTTGTTTGTTCTATTCTGCAATGTTCTTCCTATAGCATTTGCTTTTTTGGAAAAGATATTATCTTAACAACTCCCATATGATACTACCAATATCTTTTTTTCAGGTTAATTCTGCTCATGGACAGAAAAAAGAAAAGCTCACGCTTTTCCTTTTACACATAGAATTAGGTAAAGAAATAAGGCTGAAACATGTAAATGCCACACCTAACACAGCCACGATTCAAACCACAAGGACCTAGTTTGTCTCCTAAATTTTGTATGGCTAAATAGGTCAATATTTTTGTATTTAAACCAATCAAAACAATCATAGTTTAAAATGAAATAAATATAATTCTTGAAATATATTTAAAATGTTTTATAATATTTTAAATGTACATAAATACAGAAAAAATGAAGCCACCTAATTATCTTCTTTTGTAAATGATGGAGAAGACAATATATCCATTTGAATTCTCTATTCTCTGATGTCTTGGTATTTTTAACATTGAAATAAATATGTGTTCTCTAGGCTTGGTTATATATGCTTATGGAGCTTTCAAGTTCTGCAGAAGCTGTAAGATTTTTGAGAAGATTTTTGAGCACCACCCCTAATTGCAATTTGTACCAATCTGAAGGTAGGAGGCAGAACTTTGCAGATGGAATTCATACCCAAATTTTTGAAAGATCTTCTGGAACCAGCGGCTTTACTAGGCACACATATCTTGGATTCTGCACCTCAGAAAACTGTTAGAGACCGCAGGAAATAACCACCTAATAACAGTATCAAGCATACATGCTGCCACATGTGACAGCAAACTTTTTTTGGGTTGATTGGTTTTGTTTTTTTGCTTTGTAAAACTTTTGTGAAGGTTTCATTATTGGACTGGGGCTACTTTGTTGTTGTTCCTGTATAGACATTCCTCAGATCTGGGAAGTTTAGGTTTCTTTCTCAAATGCCTATTACATATTCTCAGTGCCAGATCAGTAGCAAGCATGATTAGACTGAGGTTCATACAATATTGGTTGAGAGTTTCACAGCTTTATAAAATTTATCTACCAGGTAAAATCAAGGCTTTATGGGATAAAGTCAGAAAAGTGAAATAGCACCTGAGACGCAAGGACCCAATAAAAACAATTGACTTTTGTTCTGCTTTCCAAACATCCTGAGGATAAATTAGGTCTATTTATAACCCAAAGCAGGTACACTGGATTTGGGGTTGGAAACTTTCATGTAGCTAACTCATCAGTGTCAAATTCTAACTTACCCTTGCAAGTGAACCTGGGGGCACAGACCAAATTTTTTATCAGTCCCAATGGCAACAAATCAAGTTGCATTCAGTTGTAACTATTAGGAGCTCCACTGGTTTCAACATAAGTAGTTGTTTATCTTTGTAATAATTTGCTATTGGTTCCAGATTATTTTATTTGATTTAGACACTCCTATAAATTATTTGGAAGATCCATAGAAACCTCCAGGCACCAACAAAACAACTATTCATGTGTTGCCATTTGCAGTTAATATTGAGTATTACTCAATCAAGGAAAAACATTTTCTGGGAAAGCACATAGCTAATGAATTTAAATTGAGCATTCGTTAAATTGAAAAACCAACAAAACCATCAACATGAAAAAAAAAGAAACAATCTTCAGAAAGTGACCAAGGTTGACAATTGATTAGCTGCACGTCAAATGCAGAAGAGGAAAAGAGTACCTCATTGTCAGCAGAATTTCAAGTTGAAACCACTCAAATATATAAGTGATCCATAATCTCACAGCTAAGGGATGGTGAACAAGAATACATGAGTGGCCAATACGGCATGAATGCAGAGGGGCTGGAAGAGAGTGGGTGGGAGGGTAGACAATCATGTCAGCAACTTGCAACCTTTCCTATTGGCTTTCTGGGAAAGCCACCAGGGATTGTGAGGCACTACAATCAGTTATAAATGTAAATGGATTGCCAAGCACCAGATTGCAATCATATGACCACAGGATGCTAGGACTCCTAAAAATTTAAACAACCCACAGGAAACCCCTTAACTATTCCAAATCAACTTTCTAGACAGGGATGTCAAACTGGCAGCCCATGGGCTGGATGCGTCACACGCAGGCCATGCCTACCCCAGCTCCACAAAGGCAAAAAACATCGCGATACGTCATGATACGTCACATGACGCTATCGAGTTTGACACCCGTATTCTAAACCCTCTTGCTGTTTTCCAACAGTGAATTTTTCTTTTTAATTCTTAAACTTACATATAACTTCTTTAATCAAGGATAAAAGGAAACTGTCCCAGCATAAAAAAAACCTTGCTCTTCTGAAGGTTCTTAACATAAAAAAGATCAGTGACAAGCAATTTCCTAAAGTGGTTAAGAAAAAAAGGCAAACCCAGTGTCAATTGAAGGGTTGAATGATGGCTTAGGGCAGTGTTTCCCAAACTTGACAATTTTAAGGCATGTGGACTTCAACTCCCAGAATTCCACAGCCAGCATTGCTGGCTGTGGAATTCTGGGAGTTGAAGTCCACATGCCTTAAAATTGTCAAGTTTGGGAAACACTGGCTTAGGGGACATGATTTTCCTTTTGGCTCCCATAGCTCCAATACCCATTCAAAGTTTTTATTTTATAAACTCTTTTATGGGGAGCTGTATGGAGCAAACCTGGTATCTAGTCCAGGGAGCCAGACCATTCACCATCTCTTTTTTCTGCTTAGCTGTTGGCTCTGCTTTTACAGAGCCATCTTCAGTGTGTGTTACTTTCCCAAAAGTCTGTTTTGCTGGTAAAATTTGTTACTAATAGGGCAGGTTTTTATTGTCAACAATTCTTTGGGAATTATGATAACAGGATTGACTACTGTGCTAAAGATTAATATAAATATTTCTATTTAGTATTAGTCAGAAGTTTATGTTATGGTTTGACTGAGAGGTGAGCTAATGAGTAGTGTCCCTTATTTTTTGAGAAAATATAGAAATAAATATTTGAGATTTTTCAAGTTTCGTTATGAAATTTTAACGTGAAAGTTAGCATTAGGGAGAAGTTTTATGATTTACAGTAGTTTGAATTTGAGATAATAGTTTAGGTTAAATACTCATGTATATATTTTATTGGTGTGACAGCGTTAGAATTAGGGTTTGGCTTTCTTAAAGTCTGTAGTGAAATGTACCATTAGGGAACCATCTCATGCTCTGTCGTAATTTGGGATTTATGTTATGATTTTAATTGCTCTGGTGCTTGTTGGAACAAAGATGAAATTCAGATCGGTGTTAGGAATCCGTATGGGCAGGAACGCTTGATGTCTTTTGTAACATTTACAAGGTTAGCTTTTGTTTTTACAGTTGATGATAGTCTTCCGTTGGTATTACTTTATGCTTATGCATTGTTTATGTAGTCCATACAGGTCTGACTTCCTGTCTCTGGAAGAGCTGTAGAGGCAATTTGATTCTCAGCAACTCTTTACACAGCAGTATCTCCTGTCTGGCATCCCCGCTGCTTTAAATTACTGTGCTGTGTTTTTTCCTTTTACTTTCTGTTCCTTATAGTTCACTTACAGTTGCTTTGACTGAAGCAGTTAATATATTGATCAAATGAATAAAACATTATTTGTAAAATGTTGACATATCAGGTGATTGTGTTGCTTATTTTTGTTCCTTGAAAACTACTGAATTATACAGTTAAGTGAAATTCCCAGAACATGATTGCTATTAAGTCATAGCAACAATCAATATGATTGAACAGTGTAATTGTATTTTAATGGCTCATGACTGACTTCACTTAACAGCAATCAGATTACTCTTAACTCTTCACAAAGGAGGTGTGTCTCATTTTCTGCTACTCATTTACCATAATTTGGTGGTTGTTTTTTTCATATCACAAGGAGCTTGCAACTTTTGCTGTCGATACCAGCAGAAAGCCACTCTGCTGGATATGTGTTGCTAGTCTTACCACAATCTGTTAGAAATAAATACATATACCGCCTCCTGAAGGTATGAAAATTCCAAAAATACCAAGACTACTTTTTAGTGGCTAAAATTGGAGTGAACAGTAGTCACAGCACCATCTTGTGGCAATAGTTATATATTTCACTGAAAAGGTAAAGCTGAGGAAAATTGCTGGATTGTGGGACAAATGTCAAATGAGGGATGCACTACTTTCTTCTGCCAAAAATACTGTCCTTTTTAACGATTAAATATTGTCACATATGGCATTGTCACAAACCAGAGACCACTTCAAATGGTCTACAATTACTGTAATCATCAGCCTGAAATTATTATCTTCCATCATTCTGAGTTGCACTTCTATGTACAATTAAAGTGCAATGGGATACCGGTAAGTAGCTATGTAATTAAGGAACCCCTGTCCTCATTTTCTGAAGATTGACAGTTTATTACAATAAGAGTCATCATGTAGAAGCAATAAAGTTCACAAATCAACCGTTAGAGTTTACCGCTTTTATTTTGTACAGGTGAACTACAGAGTTTCTTAGGCTAGGCAATTATGACATTTTTCATACTCTATTGCATTTACAGATAAGATGGGCACGATTAAGTACAAGATTCACATGGCAAAAAATCATTTTATACAGCATCTGGATATACAAACAAGTCACTCTGAATGGTTTCTTTTATGTAACATTGGATTACATTTTAGCATACTCATGCAAACCAATTGTTGAAATGTTGCTCACTAAAAGCTGGCAATTACTTCCAAAACTGTCCTCCCTGCTACATTTTTGATCCAATTAAAAGAAGTATGTATACTTTGGAAAACAAAGTACTAATTATTTGGAAAGCAAAGATAATTTGCATTATACAAGGGAAACAGCAAATCCATTACTTTTTATTCTGCTATAATATAGAAAAGTACCTTAAATATTCAAAGCTAGACAGTGAAAGTATTAAATAAATCCACTGTCACAAATTCCTATCTTGAAAACATAATTAAATCTAGAATTAAAATTTTATTTCCATTGACAGCCATTCCATGTTCTATGTTGAAATTTCAATATAACAGTTTTTAATTTGGCTCTAGATTCAACATTCTTATGTTGAATTTGTTCATTGGGCAAACAGCTAACATAGTATTTGAGAACAGAGTTAGAATTAGCACAGTCCACCTTGAATCTATTTTTTTGAAAACTCTCTGATTCCTGGAATCAGGAAATCAAAAGCCTACCGCTTTTCTGAATAAACACAGGGGCACATTTGACTGTTATTTCTCTTTTGTCACGTAATATACTATTGTGAACAGTTATTACAGCTATCCACAATCTGGTTGGTATTTGCCTAAATTCCCTTAAATAGAAGAACTGTTGAGTTTAGTGGAAAGTAGCAGGAACTAATGTACAAATGTCTATGAAAATTCAAATTATTTTAAATTATTTCAGCAAAATCTGAAATATAAAGGCTGAAAATGCGAGCTCTACAATATCAAAGAATATTCAAGAAATAAAGCACATAAATGTTAAATGTTCTAGCTCACTGCGATTTCAAATAGAACACTGTATAATCTTTTTTAACTAAATTTCTTTTTTGATTTGTCTACAAAGTACATAAAGTACATTATTTGTGCATTGTGCATTACTGATTCAACAACTAGGAGCACTGAGTTTTCTAACCCATGACAATTGTACTTAGAAAGAACCCAATGGTTATCAAAATTCCTGCCTCTAATAACCTCTGCTTTCCTGGCAAACAAACTCCTATGAACTCCTGTTCAAATTATATAGGCAAACATGTCATTAAATATATTCAAAGAAGCAAAAGGAAATCTATCACAATTTTAGGTGTTTTGAAATAATTTAATGGTATTATTCAAAAACAGAAATAGTATGACTAGCAGGACTGTTGCCACTAAGCCATGAAACAGATTCCCAACTTACTTTAGAGAGAAAAATCCAATATAAATATTTCCTTCCAATCTCTCTCCCTTTTTGAAGGGCTTACTGTATTCAAGTATGCATTAAAACCAACACGTTGTAAAGAATTATGGTTAACTGTAACCCAGAAATACTTCAAGGTGCATAGTCATGCTTTGTATACAAATATCCCAAAGCCAATATTACTTCCTTTCTAATTTCATGATTGCAATGATGCCATTTTAATTGCTCCTGGAATTTGTTCATTGGGCAAACAGCTAACATAGTATTTGAGAACAGAGTTAGAATTAGCACAGTCCACCTGCATATTCATCATCTTCCTCATTTCTATGAGAATCTGATATAGCTGGTCCACGTCCTTTACTTTGTTCAGTAACTGGAGATTTCTTCTTTATACCTCCTCCTGGGACACCAAGCGAAAGGCCAAGCTTTGCATACTGGCAAAGGTAAAAAAAATAATAAGATGCCTGCATTTTAAAAGCACATCACAATTATTTATCAAAGCACTAGACAACCGTGTTGTAGTAAACTCTATCTAATACGGTGAGGACCTAGGAAGAGTATTTTTTCCTAAGAAAACGACTGGAGAATACCAATTTACTCTAACAGTAAAACACCCAATTATCAAATACCATCTTGTACAAATAAACTAACTTAAGGAAAACAGACTGTCAGCTAATATGCATCTCATTGCTATATGAAAACAAAATATTTATTACTAAAAACATAAAATGAAGCAGCCAAGAAAACAAAGCTATCAAATACTTATACATATGTTCAGGAAAGATTGGTCTCTGCAACAAATAAATTACAGCAATCATTCTTTTTCAGACAGGAAAATGTCTCCAAAAACACTATTAAATCCAGAATAAGACATCAGAAGAAAACAAGAAAATAAATGGTTTCTTCTAATGCTGTTTTTACATGATCCGTACCATTCATTTAAAGTGCTGATGCACTTTAATTTAGGTATCATATCACAAAAGTGTGTAAAGAGAATGCAGTAACTTAGAACTATTCAATTTTAAAGGCTGGATATATTATACTAATTTATCAATAACACACATTGTTCATCAGTGGTCCAACTGATTTTTATCATCTGCATTTTTCAATAAAAATGCCTTGTTTAATAGGTACTCTGTTCAGCAAATAAGCAGCAACTTACATCATGGTCCATATACTTAAAGAGTGGAGAATTGCAAACATCTGATACTTGGTCCTGATCCTGTTGATCGTATCCTTCTAGGAGCTGCTCCAGGGCTGCATAGTCTTCGCTTTCTGTGAAGCCTGGTATGCTGAAGCAATTAGGTATTTATTTGAGGTTATTTTTTTAAAAAATGAGAAAACTCATATACAAATAAGCACAGATTTTTCTTAAATGAATATTTTGGGTGAAGATCAGAATGCCTTTTGGTCTGTGGAATGCCTTCTTTAAGGTGCACTTCATTATCTGTACTGTCCCTGTGCACAGCAGGCCTTCTAGCATAAAATGCCAATTACATTTAGTGCCCATCTTACTTTCTCTGCTGGATTTTATCACTGGGTTAATTATCGCATGCAACAAGTACAATACTGTTTGTTATGATACTGTTGTGGTATAATTACTGTACACTACCTAGATCAGTGATGGTGAACCTATGGCACATGTGCCAGAAGCGGCACTCAGAGCCCTTCCTGTGGGCACGCATGCTGTCGCCCCAGCCCCGCCTCTCCCTGTGGCCCCTTCACCAGCAGCCCCCCCGGAGAGTTGCCCCTGGGCGCGGCCCATGCGGAGCAGCATAGCGCAGCCAAGGACATGGCAGCTGGGCAGTGGGGACAAGACTCCGCCCTCATACCCTATTGTGAGCAGATGATGCTGTGGGGGACGGGCGGAGGGTGTGGCCATGGTGCTGCAGGGCCATCTGGGTGATTTGCTGCAGCAGGCCGTGGAGGCGGTGGGTGGCCCTGCAGGTGGAAGAGCGGGGGTGGTGGAGCAGGGGCAGGTGGGGGGCAGGGGTGGTTTTGGGCACTCGGTCTCTAAAAGGTTCACCATCACTGATCTAGTTTAATTGCCAGCTGGCTTCCCAGGCACTTCAAAGAAACTTTAAAAAACCAAATTGTTTAATTTCTATGGCAGAAAACAATGTTAATAAATTAGAGAGATACCTAAATGGTAATACAGGTAGTCCTCGATTTACAACAGTTCACTTAGTGACCATTCAAAGTGACAACATCGCTGAAAAAGTGAGTTATGGCCATTTTTCACACTTATGACTTTTGCAACATCCCCAGGGTCATATGATTTACATTCGGACACTGACAACTGACTCATATTTATGACGGTTGCAGCGTCCCAGGGTCATGCGATCACCCTTTGCAACCTTCTGACAAGCAAAGTCAATGGGGAAGTCAGATTCACTTAATAACCATGTTACTAATTTAACAGCTGCAGTGATTCATTCAACAAATGTGGCAAGAAAAGTCGTAAAATGGGACCAAACTCACTTAACAAATTTTTCACTTATCAACATAAATTTTGGGCAAAATTGTGGTTGTAAGTTGAGGACTACCTGTATATAGGGAAAGCCTGAATTCTCAATTCTTAATAATGAGATAAAATGGCAGGTGTGTAAATAGATGCCCTCTTAAACACAATTCAAATTAAAATTCAATCAAGCAATCAAGCAACTCACCTATAACTCTCCCTGACACATTTTTCTGCAGCAACATAGTCATTTCTATGTAGATGTACTAAGACCTGGGCAATAGTTTTCTAAAAAATAAAAATAAAAAATGAGTATTTATAAAGAAAATCAGTATTTTTCTCACTTTAACCAAACTATACCAAAAAAATAATTTCTATTGAAAGGAAGGTATATAGTGTAGTAGCAAAACAAAGGCAGTTTTCTTCTACGAACAGAGATTCTTTTAAAAGATTACACTAGTCTTGGTAGAGAGGCATTATAAGGTTAAGGATAATCATCCCTTTAGAAAAATAAATCTGGGATGTGAAAACTAAAGAATGTAAAAAATATGATTCATTTTGATTGCTAGCTCATTCTGTCAGTTTTTGTTAAAACTATTCCGAATGAAGGGTAATGGTTTTGCATTTACTGGTCACAACAGTTTGTAGAAAGGATTTGTAAATGAAATCACAGTAGAATTTTAGGCACTTAATTAACATTTTTCATTGAATGCAACTAAAAGTACTATTTTCATATGGCAACTGATTACATCAGAGGTCAAAAGAATCACCCAAAACAGAATTATTAAATATTAACTTTTCATGTAATCACAATGAGAAATCCAGTTTTCTTCTCATTGTGTTTTTAAAATGCATGTTTCATGGGGATTGGTAAATCGATATGGTATTAATGATCCCATGTAGTTTGCATAGTGACATAAACTAAATAAACTGTCTATCAGGAAAATAGGCAGAATATTGTTTTTTATCCTCAGGCTGCTGACTCAAAAGAATTGGAAAGTTTGAATTGTGAGCTAAGCCCTTACTGATATTAATAGTAACCAAAATATTTGTAGATCAGTTTGTATTAGTGTATTATCTGCACAGATTTTCTGTTTTTATTATTACAGCTAATGTCAAAAGCTCAGATAACACAATTTCCACAAGATCTAGGAAACCAAAATATCTCATAGCAACTGAAGCCTAATCATGATAGAAGAATGCCAAAATCATATTAAGAGTAGCATTAATATCTTTTCAGCACTGTGGGAGAAAATTCATCCCTGTGATCCAATTACAGTAAATACACAAATATATAGATTTTATAAAGGCCTTCTCCATGTGACTCTTTTAAAATCAACAGAAAGAATCCAGATAATGCTGTATAATTAGAAGTGAAATCCCCCAAGTTAAAATAATTCAAAAGATAAAGCACAATTCCCCCCCCCCCTTCCTTGCAAAAACAAGAAATGTGTAGCTGTATACTTTGTAACAGGTTGGATAGTTTTCAATATCTTTATAAATACTCTTTTCTTTTTGAAGAGATAGTGCAGCCTCATCTAGTCTGCAAAACAAAAATGAGCAAGAAAGGGTTATTTAAATATGCAGGAATCAGAAGGTCAAAATTAGCCAATTTCCCAAATAAATGTCCTATTTCAAGAGGAAAAACAAGAATATCCTCCTTGTGTGAGCATATTAAAACTGAGCCCATATTAAAACTGCAGTTAAAGTTATCAATACAAATTCTTGCAGAATGAATATTCAGGCCTTATTTATATGCACAAGAATGATATATTGTGTTAAGATATATTAAGAGTGCCTCTATGTTTACATAAACAGTAAGCTTTTAAGGAAGAAAAATTATTTTTGTAGTCATGGTCCAATTAAGGACCAAAAGCAAAAGGTTTTCTTCTCAAAACCAGATTCACTAATTGAGCTATTTTTTTAAAAAAAAAAATGTTAAAACATGAATTATGTTGCACACCAGAACAGCTGATACTTGTAATGTCATAACCAGTAACATCTGTATTATCACAATGAATTTGTCAAATAAGCTAGAATTGTTTTTCTGATATTTGAAAACAAAACTGTTAAGATGCACACCTACGGCCTCTGACTAAAAGCCTTGAAGCCTTTCCATACATTTCAACCGCTTGCCTTAAACGCTCTTCATTCTGAGTAAAAAAAACAAAAACAAAAGCATAGGCATAAGCAATGTTTAAGTGGTTGATTTTAATGCAAGTTTTCTGAATTATTGGAGTTAACTCAGATTGAAATACATACCATTCCCCAAATGCATTTCTCTTGAATTAAGTAAAGCTTGACCAGGTTATTAATTAAATATAATTTTATGAACCAGACAATACAACCTATGATTACATCATGTTAATATGTGGCACTACACACTTCCCTGTCCCATATAGCTAAATTACTTTTCGATTTCTCAAAATGCTTTCTTTTAAAAATATCTCAGACATATCATTTGTCAGAATAGAGAAATCACGAAGCTAGACCACTGATGGCAAACCTTTTAGACTCAACACGTCAAAAATTCAGACAATGGCTCTACTGGCATGTCACACACATCCCAGAAAAAGAAGCAATTCTCTATGTCCCCCACCCCCAAACATCTAGGGCACCCTGAACAGCGGTACTCAGTGGCAGCGCTGAAGCTGGACCTGAAGTTTAGGCGAAGTCCTTTCAGTCCTACTGCCACCATTGCCACTCAAGGCATGCGACCCTTGGGGAATGGAGTGTTTGCCCCAGTGGCCCAATGTTCCCCAGGCTCTGCGACACACCGCTTACTTTCGGGCGGTGTTTTCTTTCTGTTGACAGCGCTCTGTGGCCTACTCTAGGCTGCTCCGGGTTGCATGAGATACTGCATTTTTAGAAAACTACTGAGAAATCTATTGATGAGGTGCAGAAAGATAGCTTATGGCCAGATTTGGTCTCATTGACCTAGCCAGTTTAAGTTTCACCATTCCTCCCCGCAGCTAACTTGTACTATACACAAAGCAAATGATATTTTCAAATGGAAGCTGGAAAAGTCTACAAAGATGGCCTCTACCACATCAGCTAGTCCATTAATCTGTAGCAGTAATTGCCAAGAAAATAGTAACATCTACAGTACATGCTTTGAAAACACTCTTATCTCTTAATATTCACTTTTTTGGTAAATAGCTAAATTTGCAACAGTGGAACGATCACTTTCTGCATTCTTAGTTAAAACGTATTTTATTTTGTACTTTCAGAGGACTTACTTCAAATACTGAAGCTGTTTGCTGATATAGCTGTATAGCTTTGTCTGGATTTATGTTTTCTATGACCCTAAAATAAAAGATTCAATATTATTACTCAGTTACTCAAAGGACTAAAGAAATCTGCCTTCTTTTCCAAATAAAAAAATAACAGCTTGAGATTTCAAACTTACTTCCCAGCCCGATCAAGTGCAATGGCAGCTGTGTCAGGGGTTCCATTCTCCAGGTACATCATGCTGGCTTTCTGAATCAGTTCCACTGCATCATGATGTTTTTGCATCTCCTGAAAATGAAAGAAAAAGAGCTAGATTTCTCAGGGTGTATAAAATAAGTTGCTTTTAGTCTAATAAAATGTTATTTATTTTAAATCATCACATATTTTGCTAAATCTCTCTTGAATAACAGTGAACATTTTCTGATAGATGGAAATAGTCAACTGACTAAAAAAAATACTGCATCAGAAATGTGTGTCTGTGTGTGTGTGCAACTGATTGAGACAGTACAATAGCAGTTTGGTTGAAAAATACTTTGAAAGCCTAAGAACATTTTATCTGTGATCGATCTGTGAAGTCTTTCCAAATGCCATAAATATCAAGTGATGCATAAATGTGCAAGTGAGAAAAGCAGAAAACTGTTCTTTTGCTCTAGCAATGAACTGTTCTGAGAAAATTCCCATCATTTTACAACAATAACTGTTTCAAAAATACATTATCTACAATGCATGCCAAAGCTAAAGATATAAATTCATTTCCTAAGACAACTGGAGGGAGGGATGGATGGATGGATGGATGGATGGAAGGAAGGAAGGAAGGAAGGAAGGAAGGAAGGAAGGAAGGAAGGAAGGAAGGAAGGATCCCAAATATCTAATCAGCAACACAGGATACATCACAGAAAAATGTGAATTAACAATTCTATAAAGAAAATGCAAATTTAAATAGAATTCAATTCAAAAGATAAGTTTGTAAGTCTATGAATTAGTTTGTAAGAACTATGAATCATGGATCCCCAAACAGGTTTATAAACTGCAATCTGAGTATTGCACAGATCATTCCAATATTTAGTTTTAACTAAAGGTCTTCATAAAAAAAGCCCTGTGATACCTTTAACATCATCCCTGCTTGTTCATAAGCCCTGAAAAGAGAAATTAAAAGTATAACTGAACAAATCAAGTAAATATCTCATGTTAGTGTAGGACAGTTTCAATATACTTATGTACTATGTTGTTTTATTATTAATATTGTTTTAACTGCTGATTTGGAGCCACCTAGAGTTTGGTAGAAGATGGGTGGATATATAAATGTTTTTTTAAAAAAATAAAAACAATTAACCTCTGCAAAAGGAGATCTGAGGTTTCTGCCCTGGCTGATAAAACTGGTTTCTCAGTCAAGAAGAAATGGTAATATACATCAAAAGTAGACTCATTTTCTAAATGTCACTCCTAATTTAATCAATAGGGAATAATAAAAGAAAATCAGCACCTTTAAAAAGACAATATAAACCATCAACTCTCGTCAATATCAATTGTATTTCACATATATTATGAAATTTGACAAATATTCATACGTACTTTGCAGCATGGAAGAAGCTGGATTTATGTTATTTCAAGTCAAGGATAAATATATATGTGTATATAAAATCTTTCTGGATAAATTCAACTGTTTAGGAGTTTCAAAAATTCATAATCATATATTAATTAAACATTCTCTTTACAACAGAAGTCTGATGAAAAGAAACTTGATAAAACATAAAATGTATCAATAAGCCCTCATGCCTACTTCAGAATCAACATTTTTTTTTTCTTAAGTACTTTAGTTTTCAATACTATGACTATGGTTTCCTAACCTCAGAAATTTCAAAGTTTGGTCATAACCAAAATTGCACAAGAGGACTTCACACTGCAACGTATTTTTCTCTTTTTCCCCTTTTCTCCATAATATCTCAAGTTCCTCCGATTTACTCTTGAAGACTTCTCAACATTCCAGATCATATTTGGAAGTAGAAAGACTGCAGGGGAAAGGGACATTTCTTATCACTGCTAGGCAAGATTTTAAACCTGTAGAAACTTCTTAAAACACTCTGCAATCCTCCTAGGAATAGTCATTTTAAGCAGCTCTTGCATGAGTGGCTAAGCAATGAGGCCAATGAAGGAATTCTCTAAAATCTTCCTCACAGATTTGGTATAAAAGAAATATATTTGCTGTTCTAATGCTAATTTGTTACTCAAAACTATTTTTCCATATAAATAAAAATCTCAATGAATATACATTAATGGGTCACTGGGAGGTGTAGAAACATTACAAAGTTGATTAACAGGCATATCCTATAACTAAGAGTTTGTTATTTAATTACATAATTAAATTGGATCTGGACATACATAGGTACAATAACGTTTTCCTATTGCAGGGAATAGTCTATTAATTTCCTGTTAAAACACTCTTAAATATAACAAAATACAATTATATGTTTGGAATAGACATAAATTAATATAAATCCAACATGATTTCCAATTACTTAAGGCAGAAACAAGAAATGATGAAAAGATACGCTTTATTATTTTCATGGGATACAGCTTCTTTAAAATATGCTTCTTTTGCTTGTTCAAATTGTTTGGCATTTTTAAAAGCAACAGCTGCAAAAAGATAATAAAAAAGAACATTATTGCTTTTTGGAAATAACATTAGCAATTTTTTAAAAGACATAATTTATTGATTTAAAACTGTTTTTATCCAGCATTTTGCCAAAGTTGGGACTTGTATGCATGCTCGTCCTCCTGCTGCCCCTACTGAATGCACTTTTAGGTAGTCAAAGTAAAACCTTAATGTTAAGCATTATCTTTATTTAGAAGAGTAATCTTCTATCCCTTAATCAGTCATAGAAAATGAAATTTACAGATTCCTATAGCCCTGTGCTGTAAATAAAGAAATAAAGTTAAAGTTCACTTACTTACTCTAAAAAATATATAATGGTCAATTAGGGCCTGTGGAGCTTTTTAGTAATATGTATTTTTAATAGCTACATCTATTATTAAAAGCCATTTTTTGTGTTCCTACAGGCTTCCAAATGAGCTGGTGACTCCTGGTCTACAGGTTCTTAGGGAAGCTAACCAATCTAACAGTTTTCTCCTATCTCTTTTCACAAACTTCCTATAAGCTTCAATTCAAAGTATATGTGATTTTCTCAATATAATCCCAGTATGTGCTATTGAATACAATAGGGATTAATTCCAGATAAAAAAAGAAATGGGTTATTCAAAATACAACAGGACATATACCTGATGCAAGCAAGAGACTAGACAACATGCAGATCTTTAGTTACTAGATAATAACATAGGTAGATAAAGCTTTGTAAAAACACAAAGGGCAACACACTGCAACTATTTTAAAAAAAATACATGAACTATTCGTAAATGCAACCCAACTATACAGGATAAAATTAATGCAATTTGTTACTAAACCAAAGCATACTATTTTTATCAACAGCCCATGGGTGGAATAAGTATGATAAATACTTAAATTAGGGTTCAGCAATAAATTACATTCATAAAAATGGGTTTGGGAAAACCATTGTTATTGCATATACCACAATGACTATGAAATACATTTATTTTTTACCTTTTTTACTAAACATTTTTAGAAAAGAAAAAATAATTAAGATCCATTACACACACACACACATGCAATCATCAGTACAGTATAATCATAAAATGAGATTAGGAATTACAGTTTTATATCCAAGACAATGGATACTTCATGTTACGAGAAACCCAAATTTTGGATGAGGTACAAGCCTACAGAAGGAGTTATAATTTGGGAAATTATTTCCAAATTTAATTAAATTCAGTGTAAGATTTGCTTTTGAAATGTATAGTTATTCTGGACATCAAATCCTGTTCCCAAAGCTGAATTAACCACTATTCTGCAGAAGAAATTAAGATTTTACAAGACATACCTGCCTTGGAATATTCTGTAGCTGCACTGTCGTAGTCTGGTCTCCATTTTAATAATCCAGTTTTCAAGCTGAAAATCAAAATGTGAAGCCATTAATATTGTTCACAATGAAGCAGGGGATGAAGGAGTCAGTATGCCTTTTTTCATACCACTAATTTCAGTTCATTATAGCAGAAACCTGATCCCAATATCAGGTTCATCTTTTCGATGGTCAAAGCTATAAAAAAAATAGTCAAGTCTAATTACACATGCTGTGTTTCGGAGCCCATATTTTATCACTGTGCTCAGATGTGGCACAGCATCTGCTTCTCATTTCAATCCCTATCCCTGTCTGTCATAATTTAAAGTATCTCAACCAAGGAAGGCCAGGACCAGATGAAGCACTAATAATATTATTTCAGGCAGCAGATGTCTTTGAAGAAAAGAAGGAATAGGCAGCTGTAATATGACATAAATGATATTGTGCTCAATTACAGAAGATTTTTGACACATTATGCAAAGACCAAGCTCTCTGGAGAAGGCTCTGATGCTGCAAAAGGAGAAAAAAAAAAAGACGAGATGACCAGCAGCAAGGTGGATGAATTCAATTTCAGTGGCCATGAGTGCGCTGTTGGAAGACCTGAAGGATTAGGCTAGGGACAGACCACTGTGGCTAAAACCCATTCAGGTAGTCCCTAAGAATCTACACCAATTGGAAAGAACATAATCAAAATCAATCATTTACAGAGCTTCAAACTGAAGAGACAATCAGCCCAGGAAAAACAGTGGGACCATTGAGCAGTCTGTTTAATAAATGTAAAACCTATATGGTTTTGTACTACTGGTAGTCCTCCACTTACAACAGTTTATTTGACCATTTGAAGTTACAACAGCGCTAAAAAAAATTAACCCATTACCATTAATACTTAATGATCATTGCAGCATCTCCATGGTCATGTGATTTACATTCAGATGCTTGACAACTGGTTCATAATTATGACAGTTTCCATGTCCCGGGGTCATGTGATCACCTTTTGTGACCTTCTGACAAGCAAGTCAACGGAAAAGCCAGATTCACTTAACAACGGTCTTACTAATTTAGCAAGGGCAGTGATTCACTTAGCACATGTGGCAAGAAAAGTCGTAAAAATGGGGCCAAACTCACTTTACACACTTCTCACTTCACAACAAAAATGCTGGGCTCAATTGCGGTCTTAAGTCGAGGACTTAAACCTGTATATAAATAGGATCAGAGGTTCCAAATACGAAGCCATTTGCTTCTTTTCTAAAATGGAAAGTGGACCTTGACATGAAACGCCAAACACCAGCCTGCCCTCCACTCCTTCGTGCATCTTTAACAGGCGGACCCAACCAGTCTACCAACCCATCTCGTGATGCCACCCCTTCCCCTGCCCCTCCCCTTCCCAGACCGTAGATTTTGGCCCAGCAAAGCCTTCTGTCAAACCAGCCGCCTCGGGACCCACTTTGGGAGCCCCCTGGAAAAGGGCGTGGCCAAAGAGAGGCGGAAGAACCTCTCATCGTCCTGCCCAGCCGCAAGGGGGGGAAGGGGGCGCCTTTCCGCTCTGCCTCCCGCCCGCCCGTTCCCGCAGCTCTGCTCACTATTTCTCTGCTTTAGCGATGTGCTCCAAGGCTTCGTTGATCTTCTGAGCAGCCATATCAGCCAGCCGGAGTCGCGGCGATTCAAAGAGTCGACGTCAGCGGAATAAGGAAAGCCGTTTTGTCCAAATAATGCAAAAGGCGGAGTCCGGCTTCAAAGATGCGCCTGCGCAGCGAGAAGAGTTCTTTCCTTACGCTGATGGATCGGTTAATTTAACGGAGGGAATGCCTGGAAGCGGTCGTTTTTAACGGAATTTCCTTGAGAAGGACTAGTCCGGGAGTCTTCAAACTTGGCCCTTTTATGACTTGTGGACTTCAACTCCCAGAATTCCTTAGGCAGCTGAGGAATTCTGGGAGTTGAAGTCCACAAGTCATAAAAGGGCCAAGTTTGAAGACCCTGGACTAGGAATTGGGCAACGGACGGACAGCATAACAATTTCCTGGCTGATAAATAAATTGTAATGCAGTCTTCCTCAGATGAAAGGCTTCTACATTCTTTTTGCATTGAAAGAACTATAACCCTCAAATTCTTAGAATTCAAAAGGCTTTAAAGATTCGAAAGAACTTAACGGTCCTACCCAAAACTATTTTTCATGCCTGGTGGAAAATGCGCTTGCACGGAAACTCAAGGTGAAGTGAAATATGGTTTACTGAATTAAGCCAACACAATCCAGCCAAGTGTATTTCAGCATGTTGCATCCCCACATAACATGGGTGTCCTTCATATGTGTGTCCTTCAACTCTAGAATCTCCCATCTTCCAAAGCCGCTCCAAAAACTGACAGCGAACAGTAGAGATCAGTGATGAGAGGGGATATTCTTTCCAGTGGGCAGAGTATCCAGTCGAGTAGAAATGAAATGAAGTGTAGCAGGTGAAGGCCTGGGTGACATTGCAGAAAACCAGAAAACATTTTTGGGGACAAGAGCATCCACAGAAAGGGGTCAATGGTATCAAATGATGAGCATGACTGGGAAACTGCCCTAAGGGCTGGGGCTTTGGTCTGTTGATTATACACATCCTTTTCACACTGCTGACATCCCCCATTCCTCACACAGAAGCACCTGACTGGTGAAGAGGTACAATTCATTTAATCCATTTGTAAGGCTGCCCTGCTCCATAGAGATACTTGAGTGGGATACAATATTAAAAACAAATTAACAACAATAAGGCAAAAATAGAAAACATCTGGAAACAATAAAACCAATACCTACTCAACCATACAATATTCCTACAAAGGAATTCTCAGCACTTAACCCAAGGCATGGGGGAAGACTTGGATTTTAAGAAAAAGATTTTGGTAGAGCAATAAAAAAATCGGTTTGTGGATGAAGCCTGAACAGCAAGCAAGTGAAATGAGTGACTGCCTCTTATCTTTAAGCACTAGCTGTAGTTTAGGAACAGAAATTAACTGTACACAGTTTTGTGGAAAGTTAATATTAGAAAGGTAAACAAGAACATCTTTGAAAGACTGAAAAAGTGAAACACACTGCTAAACAAGTATAGGTTTGATATCTGTGTGCAAACAAAACTATTATGCAAGTGCGAAGAGCATGATCTATTGTTAACTGGAACATTTCAGTTAAAATAGAAAAATATACTCCAAAGAGAAACAGAAGCAAAACTGACTGGATAAGATTCAAATATGATGCAGCTTATATGTACATTCCTTTGACCTCTAAATCATATTGTGTGTAACGAACCTGGGTCAAAATATTTTTATGCAATGATATTCATTAGATCTTGTGGTTGTTATTTCTTCTGAGCAACATCTCCCTCTATTCTGGGCAAATGCCATAGGAGAACAAGAATCTGATATGATCAGATAGGATGGGATGGGAAGAAAAAATGGGGGAGAGAGGTCCCATAAGTACTCCAGCTCAGAGCTATTGGATGTCATAATGGGACTTTTAAAGATGGTTCCCAACATCTTGAATTGTACTCAGAAGTATATTGGAAGCCATTGCTGGTCACAGAGTATTGGTATCACGTGCACCAGGTAACCAGCGCCTTTTACTATTTGTGCCATCACATTCTGCACCAGTTAAACTTCCCAATGTTTTTCGAGGACAGTTCTACTGTGTGTGGGGGGGGGAGGTTGTGCATGTATGATCTGGGAAAGCTCAAAGGACAGTGCATTTAGCAATCCAACAATTGTCCAGCTTGTAGGCAGAAAGAACGAACACAGATTTATTGACATTCTCTGCAAACCTTGGGTCCACAAAAAATAGATATTCCAGTTATATCTATTATGATATGTAAAATATATAAAAGCCCAGCAATACTAACTTAATTTCTGTTTTGTGAAGCCTGGGTACCAGAAAACCCAGAGGTCTTAAAATACCCAATTAAAAGGTAAAGGTTTTCCCTGTCCAGTTGTATCCAACACTAGGGGGCAGTGTTCATCTCTGTTTCTTAGCTGAGGGAGCCAGCATTGTTCAAAAACACTTCTGTGGTCATGTGGCTGCTGAGGTATACTGAGCGCTGTTAGCTTCCCACAAAGTGGTACCTATTTATCTAGTAGCAGTTGCATGCTTTCGAAGGTTGGCAGGAGCTGGGGCAAGTAATGAGCGCTCATCCAATTGTGCAACACATTTACAAACAATAATTGACAAAATTGCTTACAGATGCTTCAGAAGAAGGCATCAGTAAATTATGCTTTAAAGCACAAGCAAGTGTCTAGTTGCTTTAACAGATATTGGAGGGCGGGAAGCCCATTTTTGGAATATGGGAATAAGATTTCATGCTCCTACCAGCTTTATCTATGAAAATAAACTGAGTTTGCTATTTGTTTAGTGGTTTACTGAATAGTTGACTAGATAGGTTAAGTATTATAATAAATATTCTTTTGAGACTAGCACCCTGGGCATTTCTCTGACTCATTATCTATTCCTAAATCTAGCCCTGAGCATCCTAGCCTGTCCTTTCAAATAACAAATTAAATGGGAGGATGTTCCACAAAATTTGACCAATGTTGTAAGAAAAGCTATAAGAAGACTGTGAAAAGAAAGCCAGCACTTCTGAACCACTGTATTAATTCATTAAAAAGACAATCCAGAAATGAAAATATATTATTCATAAAGAAGTCAGCATGGAAGAAAATTCATATGTCTCAAAACATATGTCTGCAAGTTTTTTTTTTCCTCCTCTAAAGAAATATTCTGGAACCAACCACACCACTCTGCTGTCTACACAACCTTGCCGTTGAACTAATTGCAAAAACAAAACAAAACCCAGCTCTGAGAGAAGCTAGATAAAATGAGGAAATGTGGGGATGTTATGTGTGTGACCTGTTCCAACAGAACTATTCTTAGGACTTTAGTTGTAAGTGGCATCAAATATTCTGGTCTATATTTCTGGCAAAAAAAAAGTAGTATAGAGCAGTGGTCCACAACCTTTCCAGCTCTGTGGGCTGGCAACAGTGGGGGGGGGGAAGATGGTTTCGCTCACTCACCCGCCACTTGCACGGTCCAATACCAGGCCACAAACTGGGGGTTGGGGATCTCTGGCATAAAGACATTCTTAAAGGCTCATAATGCCAGAACATCTGCAACAGGGATCATTAAATGATACTTGCTTATTGGTCAATACACTATAGTGTTCTTATTAAAGTTGCCTATTATTATTACATCTCCGTAATAATAAAGTCCTGTGTAAACAGAGCTTAATAATCTTGTCTGCTTGCTTTTGGGTTTTTCCTACTCTGTGCAGCTTGTTTAAGAAAATCAAGTACATTTGGAGGAATGATGAGTTTTGCTGCCAAAATATTTAAAACTTTTGGATTGCTATTAATAATAATAATAATAAAGTTGGAAGGGACCTAGGAGGTCATCTAGTCCAACCCCCTACTCAGGCAGGAAACCCTATACCGTTTCAGACAAATGGCTGTCCAGTCTGTTCTTAAAAACTTCTAGTGTTGGAGCTTTCACCACTTCTGGAGGCAGGTTGTTCCACTGGTTAATTGTTCTAACTGTCAGGAAGTTTCTCCTTAGTTCTAGGTTGCTTTCTCCTTGATTAGTTTCCATCTGTTGCTTCTTGTCCTGCCTTCAGGTGCCTTGGAAAATAGCTTGACTCCCTCTTCTTTGTGGCAGCCCCTGAGATATTGGAATACTACTATCATGTCCCCCCTCGTCCTTCTCTTCATTAAGCTAGACATACCCAATTCCAGCAGCCTTTCCTTATATGCTTTAGCCTCCAGTCCCCTAATCATCTTTGTTGCTCTTCTCTGTACTCTTTCTATGGAAGACCTTTGGCGATAGGCATAATTTCCCACTTTGCACACAACAGGCAAATGAAAGAAATATCAGAACATCTCAATGACACATGTAGTTTTTATACAGAATCTTCCATTCTTTCCTGTAGAATCCTTTGGAAATGCTTAAAACAACTGTGTCTGTTTCCTTTCATTAAGATTTTGTGTTGTTTGAGGCAAAAGAACAGGACAAAACCCATTAATTCTGCTCAGAATTACCTGTCCTGTATAAACAATATTTGGATCGGAAAGGATTTTTCTTTCTTTCTCCAAACAGTCTAATCCCCTAGAGACAATGCAACATGATATCAGCTATTAATACCAATGTTATTTGGAGCTGGATGTAAAAAGAAATCCAACAACGTCTATACTAGATCAGCCCAACAATTACTAATAGAAGCCCAAATGCTTACAATTTGAGATATGCAAATTACATCATTTTGTTAAAGTAAGAAATTCTTAAGAAAGCTCATTGTGAAAGAAAAAATGGATAAACTTGATTAAATATTAGGAAGAGAAAAGTAATGTCAATGTGCATGTTTGATGACCTTACAGTAAAGGCCAACTGGTAAGGTCAACTACACTCACTAGGACAGCAAAAAAAAAAAAAAAGATAGTAGATAGTTTATTCTTCTTAGGCTCAAAAATAGTGAAAAATGGGGACTTCCGGTGGATCTGCGTTGGGCGATGGCGGCTACTTTGTAGCCGTCCTCCTGGGTAAGTGTAATGAACCGCTATGAACAGCAGACATCAGCTGTTCAGCGGTTCAAAATCCCCCTCCCGGGCAAAGGGGGGGGGCAGAGGGTAGTCTGAATAGTGGTAGAGCCTCTTATGTACCCCCAATTTTCTTTTTTTGGGGGTGACAGAGTGCTCCCACGGAGTTCAGACTGTCTCCGCTTCCCAGCTGCTTTT